TTGTTGCATGAAGTCAGTTTGGAGTACTCAACAAAAGATGTGTATGGTTATAAACTCACCTCTTCTTATCCATAAACCCACTTCTTTTGCACATTGTCTCTGAAAATGATTTCTGGTGGTGACTGGATTATCATTCATTGTCTCCCAGCACACCTGAGGTATCCAAGCAAATAGTCTGTCAATTCTCCCAAATCAAAGCAGTTTGATTAGGATACCAGACCCTGGTGAAAATAACCCTCTCATTTTTTACTTTGTTGTTTATGCTGACATTAGCTGAAGCACTGTTATGCTTTCTTGCATTTCCAGTGGCAATGTAGCAGATCAAAAAGAATCTTTGGCTCAGAAGCTGCAGAGAGCAGGCTGAAGGTTGTTGAGGGTCATGAAGGCAGTTGGAGCTCCTGATGTCAGTGAGGAAAAAAGAAATGGGCTGTTTGATCTGATTTGGTTTGAAGAGCTTTTAGTAGAAGCAAAATGTTTCTAGAAAACTCCACCAGCATTTCCAGTCCTTTATTCAAACAGATGCTCTTTTGCTTAGGTGATTAGCTGGCTGGATTCCCCGTTGTCCTCTGTGTATCCTTTACAGGAGGGATCCCCTTTCTTTCATTGTTCTAAACTCTGGCCTCCTGGCTTGTTCCTGAAATGAATTGGTGGCACAAATCTAATGTGTGTATTTTAAAGAAAGACCAACAAACTCTGTATGGGCAACTATACATTCAGGTATCTTAAAAAATAATAAAATAAAATAGCTAAGATTCCCACAAGAATATGCACAAAGGCATTCCAAGCACCAGGAAAGCACATGTGCTCCAGCATTGAGTTGATCTGCTCTGGCACAGTAGTTTCAGTACGTAGCAAACTTTGTAATCATGGTTTCACCAGAGTCAGGAATTCACCACTAGTTCAGTCAGTATTTAATTCATGATCTCCAAATTGTCCTTTCAGGTGTGGAGACCTGAAAAGACTTCTTTTTATTGGCAGTTCTGGAGAGCAGGTAAATTAAAACTGAATCAGTGCCCTAGGTTTGATTCAGTGGAAATACTGTTCCTTTGAAATAAACCACAGTGTATTGTGTAAGAGCTGGGGCAGCAGGTTTACAACTCTCACATTGTAAACTAATGGTCTGAGTCTTTACCAGCTTATTCAGTATAGTATTTTATTAGTGTTACAACCAGCATAATCATCTTGCTTGTCTTATCTATGGTTCTTTATAACCATGATATTACCAAGATTACAGCAATTCATTGCCTGACATTTGTGTATCTGTCAAACCAAATATTCATGGAGTACTGGTTGCTGCTCTGAGTAGCCTGGAGTAATAGTTCTGATCCCTCTGGTGACCTATTAGTATCTCCTAGATGGTAGTGAAGGAGGTCTTGCATATGTGCATTTGTTTATGTGTTTCTAGGGCAGTCAGTTGCTGTTCCTTTCCTGTGTCACGTATTTGATGGTGTTGTCAGTAAGCTGGTGTGTGTGTGTAACATGCACTTTCGTTGCTATTTATAATATGGTATCAATGGTTAGTTTGGTGGTACAGTAAGAGAAGGCAGATTACAATCTCTTCCCCAGTGGATAGCAGCAGATAGGAAGTCATGTCTTTCATAATGGAATAATGTAAATAAAATGCTCCTCATTAATTAAATGTAATTAACTGAAAGGGAATACAGTTAGTTAAATTCACTAAATCTTAAAAATAGAGACTGTTTGTAAAACACTGTCAGCATTTTGAATTGTAATTTTAATTCACGACCATCAAGATGTTGAAGAAGTTTCTTGTGAAAAGTCTTTGCGTCGTGGATTTCCTGTTATTCATTGGTTAAATGGAAATATCTGTCGTACTGTTAAGGTTCTTGAATCCAGAGGAGGGCAAGAAAGCTGATGAAAGGGCTGGAAGGAAAGTCCTATGAAGAGCAGCTAAGGACTGTGAGCTTGTCTAATGTGGAGAAAAGGATGCTGAGGGGCAACCTCATTGCTCTCTACCACTTCCTGAGGAGGTGAAGTGGGGAGAGAGGTGCTGAGCTCTCCTCCCTTGTATTCTGTGACAGGACGAGGAGCAATGGCTATAAACTAAAACACAAGAAGTTTCACCTCAGCATGAGAGGTGAAACCACCAAGAGGGTGGTCAGACACTGGAATGTGGTCAATGCCCCGGGCCTGGCAGCATTTAAGAGGCATTTGTACGATGGCCTTAGCGCTGAAATGATCAGGCAGATGGACTAGATGATTGTATATCTCTTCCAGCTGAAAATATTCTATCCTCTATGTCATCCAGCTTTCAGGCTTCTCCCAGTCTTCATCAGAGACCCTGTGAAAATGCTTCTGAAAAGAAAAAATAAGAAGTTAGTTTTTAATGCAGGTCAGATAAAATAACTTCAGGCCCTTCCCACAAGGTACATGAAATGAAACAGCCTCAATAATTCTTTACTCTGAGAAAATGCTTGGTGGTATTTGTAGAATCATAGAATCAAGTAGACTGGAAAAGATCATCCAGTCCAACCATTCCCAGCATTGCCAAGGCCACCACTAACCCATGGCACTGAGGGCCTTGTCTCCACGGTGTGTGAACACTTGCAGGGATGGTGACTCCAGCACTGCCCTGGGCAGCCTGTTCCAATATGTGATTGGAATTGTCCATGTCTTTTCCAGGTGTAAGAAAGGCATAGAAAAGTGAAAAAACAGCAGCAGAGCATCTCCTAGATACTCTCCGAGATGCTCTGAGGTCAAGTTAAACCAACCAGTGTAGAACACTTTAGGGGAACCGCTCATGAAAAGTTAGTTAAGTGTTTTGTGTAGCGTACTTCTGTGACTGTAATGAACACAGCAGTTGAGGCTATCACCCTGGAGAAGCCTTCCTTGTGCCAGGTTAGAGTTAGAGTTAGAGGTCGAGGGGCATGACTCACCCATGAGGAGTGCGGCGTGTGTTGTCCTCGCCCCATCTGGGCAGCGCGGTCCCACCTCTGCTGTCCTCATTTCCAGGGCAGGAGCATGGCTGGCCCTGATTGGCCACACCAGCTCCCCGCCTCGCCCCGGATTGGTTGAGCCTTCCACCTCCTCCCTCTCATCTTGCTGGGCCACCAGCACTGCCAGGCTGCAGCTCCTCCACGCTGACCACCGAGGGACCGGAGGTGCCCGCACGGAGGGAAGGTGTGTTGGTGGGGATGTGGTGGATGGGTGCACACTAACTGCTGGTACTTGTTCTCCGAGGCTAAGGAGGAGGTCTGTGGCTCATCAAGAGCATCTAGGAGAAGAAAAGAGAGGATAATACTCATAAATGATGGGGTTAGAAAGGGGTCTACAGGACTGTTGGCAGGATGGGCATGCCAGGACTATGCTTTTTCAAATTACAGAAAGGTGTTTATTATATTAAATGCTCTATATTTAAAGGCTTTTAAAACGACTTTTGTCTCTATTCAGAAATTTGCCTAAGGCTCTGGAGAAGCAAGCCACCAAAGCACCTCTTCCCAAGTCCACTAGACTTTGAATACTGTAGCTAAGTAACTAGCACATGGGGATTTAATTGTTGGCCCCAAGTCGTAGTAAACTAAATGTTGAAGTGGATATTTAAGGTAGCAGCTCAGGTACTGCAAAGATGAGGGCCATGTAGGCTCAGAGGAGGAAGGGATTGTATCTGTGATAAAAAAGAATTAGAATCCATTAGATAAAGGAACTAAGAAGACAAGTCATATTTTCACAATTATATCCAATTAGAAGCTTGCAAATGATACTTGGTTGACAAAATTCCTTCTTTTGACAAAATTGCTTCTATTTTATAAATATTTACTTTTAATTTCTTTACATTTTCCATGAAGAAAAGGTCAACTTGTGATGCAAGATAACATGATTGCATTGAATATGTATTGGAACTCAGGGTCCATTGGAATTTTTTTCTGCTCCTGCCTCAAGTCTGGACTTGGAGTTTTGTAAGATGCTGCTCTCTCCCTCTTCATCTAAAACCTGCTTCCAAAGGATGGCATGTTGAGCCTCTTAGGATAGCTTTGGAACTGTTAAGTCAGAGAGTTGATGCATGGAGAAGGCATCTCAGCTGTGTTTCAACTTGTTGTGCTTTCTTCTAGTCAGAAAAAAGAGGAAAGGAGATTTCACACTGCTTTCCTTTCGTGGCGGAGTGTAGCTCCAAACAGTTTTTCAGTACTAGCTGAACTAGTGCTAAGGACTCTGTGCTTTGAAATAGAACATCTAATTAGGAACAGTTTTTTCTTCCACCTCTCTGTGAGTCAGACAGAGATTTCAACAACACGTAGACTGGTTCATATTAAATCACTGTTTACCACATCTGTCGCCATAATAGCACCTACATGCTGTGTTTAAAGTTTAATTAGAGGCGGGCCATGTCCAAATCGTCACAAGAGATGGGACAACCGCACCCAGCACACTGATACCAAAACATGATGCTGCCCAGGATCCCATTGAAGTGACATTTTCATGGCACTTTTGGGAGGGATAGTCTCCCTCTGCTTTAAAGACATGGTAACTTGCATATGTATCCTGATTGCTGCACTTACTGGTTATGACACCACGCAAACCTCCATCTTCCTATAGGAAATCTTTCAACACTTCACAGTCACCTCTTTTATTATCTATTGACTCATGAGGCTTTTTAAAAAGCTACCCAGAGTTAAGTATATGAGTGTTTGGAATTGTGTTCTGAAGCTTTCCCTGCTGCTTCCAAATGCTCCTGTTACTTAATTCATTAGCACATGCAAAACCAAATGGTCTTCCACATTCATGTGCAAATGAAGATACACAGGTTGATGATACAAACTGAACATATCTCTTGTGTTTGTAAAACTTAAAAAAATCTCAAGTCAATTATCTCCTTTCTGTTACAGCTTATTGTATCGCACAAGGCAACCCTGTAGCAGACAGCATCGAATATAGTATTTGACTAAGTTCTTCTTGTGATTTAACAGTTGTATCAGCCCTTTTGTAGCTGGAACAGTGATGATATTCATAAGATGTAATGGCCTGACAAATTTTGTGGTGCCATGGTTGAATGTTTAGACTTTGAGAATGGGCCAGAAAATCTGGTATTAGACACCTGAGAATACTGCTGGGAAATGTTTCTTTTCTTTCCTGGAAACAGTTTACTATCAATGTCAGTGCTACAAGTGAATTTATAGTTCATTTAAGAAAATACATTTTCTTTCCACTGAGAGTCCTTGGAGACTGGACTTCAGTTCTGCCTCTTAGTTATTTCTGTGAATTTCTGTCCTGGGTATAATATTCTTATCCTATAGGAAGCATGCTGAACAATTTAGTAGTTTTAACTTGTTTAGAAGTTCCAAAGGAAGGACTTTGCAGAAATCTTGTTAAGTCCTTCAGGAAACAAATATCTTTAAAAACTTATAAGAGTTCTCTGGGGCATTTAACAATAGATTTCTTGGTTGTCTCTTGGAAGTGGGAGTAGGCAAAGCAGTCAAAAGAGACCATGTTAATCATGGTTAGAGCTACACAAAGCAGTTTGAGAGACCAAGGATTGTGTCTTAGCTCTTGAATAACAAAGGGACTGAGCTAAATCTGCTGGCTTAACCAGGAGGACTTTTGTTTAAATCCTTTTCCAGTCTAAAGCCATAATGCAGCAGACAGGGCTGTTCATGGATTGCTGGCATGTGTGTAACAAGAGATTGTATTTTCAAATGGAAATACTTGTGTCATATATTGCACTGCTCTGCCAGTGTATATAGGCAGTTTAGTTTAACTTATTTTCTTCAAAAGACATGAATGCAATGAAAGCCCAGCTCTCTAGTCTTGTTCTGTTTCCTACCCTGGAGAAAAGCAGCTGTTTGTCAAACATGGCAACTACTCAAAAGAAGTCACTTTAATCTATATTGTCTTTTTATTTCACAGATGACGAGACACCCCAGCTTCGTTTTTTTGTTCTGTGGGATATTTTTGCCCGGAACCCTTGGTTTTCCACAGACAAATACCTCAATTGATTGTGATTCTCTGTTACCAAACTATGAAGCTGTCCCACAGACATCTGCACCACCCTATATTATTGCTGTATCTTTTGATAACTTTGAGCCAGGAAACGAAGTCCAAGGTAAAAAAATCTACGTTTTTATCTGTCCCTCCCAGAATTCCCCCTTCTCACCAAAATTCTCCCAATTTCCCTCTCAGTTTAGTTCCATTTATTTTTTTATTTAAATCTCATTCATCTATACTAGAGATACTAATTTTTTTAAAATGTTTTATATATATGTATATATTTGTTTATACATTGTGTCCTTTATATATATATATATATATACACATGTATATCTCTTTTTTTATCTTCCTTGGCTAATAAATTTATTTTAACTTTATGCTATGATCTTTATGACAAAGTTAAAATGAAATGGGATGATGACTGGCCAAACCAGACTAATAATTAGTTGCTCTTCAACTTCGTATATGAGTATTTGCTGTTGTGTCAGGCCTCTGCAATACAAAGGGATCCTACTCAGTAGATGCTCACATGCTGTCATCTTACAGGAAAATAAAATCTCAGGGTGCAGTATAAGACAACTCAAGAGTGAGACATTTTGAGTCATACTTCTAAGAGCTGCATCCCAGATTTTATCGTACTGCAGGAGGTGGATCTATTGTGGCTTAAACCAACCTATTTATCTTCTTAATCCAAAATTGCTCTCTGGAAGGAACACCCTGACAGCCTTGTTTCTCCATACTATGATGCCATCTCATGGTGCTATCACACTTTAAATGGTTTGTTAATGCTGCTTTTTCTAGCCATTTGCTAGAAGCATGGAAGTGGGAGTTGTAACCTGTCACATACCTATTCTTCTATCTCAGTAGCTGAAAAAGAGCATTATTCATTAATGCTATTGCCTAGTTCACATTCTGTTTTACCTAAGCCCGGTAGCATGGATGTGCTTCCACAGAGGGTGGTATGTAGGGAGAAGAATGGAGAAGTGTCCTATTACAGCTTCCATTCTTGGAAAAACATGTGAATAGCTCCTACAAGGATGGGAGGACTCTTTGGTAGCTATTTTTTAAAGAGTATTGCCAGCAAAATGTTGAATGGCTGGATTTAAGTATAGACAGATTCTTCTGTGATTTTGTATGGGATTTACCATGACAAAAATACTGAATCCCAAATGTTAATAACCTTTTTTCTCCCCCTTTTTCTTTTAACCATGCCTTTCTTGCTTTAGCACTACTTTTTATTGCTTCAGATTGTAAAGTGTCCAGTACCTGGTCTCAGGGATCTACATTGTTACCCCCCAGTTGAGTTCACTGCAGTTTCACTTGTGGCATGTCATGTCCCAACACTTTTGCAGTTGCATTTGTGCTTGATTTAACAGTGTGTCTAAGCTGTTGATGTCATCCCTCCTATGAGACCTGTGAAAAATTGGTGAATTAGGACTGAAATTTGATGACAAATGGGAAGGCTAATTATGGAGGTGTTATTGTCAAGGAATGATTGAGCCTTGCCTTGTCTTCTGTGCCATTCCTAGTCTGTCTGTCCTTATTTTTAATGACTACACATAGATTTGGGCATAAACCCATTACTCTGATTGTATTTGTGAAAGTGCTTAATATTGGCATTAGCAGAGCAAGTTTATGATAGATCCTAACAAATTTGGTTATGCCTGTTTAAATTTACTTTTAACTGGGATATGCACAAACTGTTCTCTTCCACAGTCTTCTGAGCTCCTTCAGTAACAAAATTGAGAAGTCAAATTGAGAAGCTCATAATCACTAATTTTTCATATTTAATAGAGAAAATGAGAGCCAAACTCTCTGGTTCCTCTTTTTCCAGTTATAGCACATAAAAAAAAGGGGTCTTGCAATTCAGCATTAGGCAAAAGTTAATCTTTTCTGTTCAAACAGATGTGGAAAGAAATGTAATTCTCTGTAGCTTTTTTGACTCCGTAGGCCTAATTAGACAGAAAATAACCTTTTGGTCAGCAGGGCCATTGGCTTGTATTCGGAGTATGAATGTGGAGCAAATGAGATTAATGAGACAGTTGCAGTCATTCAGTAGGGCAGGGTTACTTCTAAAATTGCCACTAAATTAGATATTTCATGTTACTTTAAACAGAAATGCCTCTCCAAATTTCTTCCTTTTTCTTTCTTGCCATTTCCCTGATTATTAACATTTTTAAAAGCTGAACAACTTTTAAAGCACTTTTTCTACATGCAGTCTTGTGCTTTGCAGTGAGGGAAATCAGTTGTGAAACATTTAAGAGCTTTTAGTTGTGTGTGAAACTTAAATTTCTCAAAATGTCTGTTTTCACAGTGACTCTGGAAGCACTTCAAGATGTTGGGTTTAAAGGATTTAATCTACAAGCTCGAGAAATAGATGGAGATGTTCCTGTTGGTACATTTAAAATTACAGATCCAAACACTAAAGGCATGGAGTGTCATAACGTGACGGTACGTGTTCAGTTTTTGGAATACTTACTTGAGCTTAGTTTCCTTTTAAATATTTTAATCAGAATTGACAGAAGTAGTGAGCATTTTTTGTAGCAAAGTTATTTCATTAATAGAGTTAAAAAATTTAGACTTGCAAAAGAAATACATGTATGTTCTGCATGTGGAATGAATCTCATAGAATCTATGTGGCGCTTTTTAGGAGGACATCAGTCTTCCCTCAAGAGACAAAAAAAGTCACTTTTGTATCTTATATAATTATATGTATTTGTTTTTAATTGCAGAATTCAGCAGTAAGTCATGCCAATTCAGATGTGAAACAGAAAGTTACAACAACATGGATTGCTCCCCATGGTGTTAAAGATCTTCAATTTATGTAAATAATTGTTTACATTTTTTCTTTTTCTTCCTTGAAATTTTATTTCTATGGATTATTTTGACATTGGTTTGTGTTGCTCTTGCTGATGTTCTTGTCTTGCCGCAATTGTGGGGTTTTCATAGTTTGCTGTAACTTTCCACTGTATCCATTAAATAACATAAAATCATAGAATCATGGAATGGTTTGGGTTGAAAACCCCTAATGCTCATCCAGTTCTAACCCCCTGCCATGGGTAGGGACACCTTTCACTAGAGCAGGTTGCTCCAAGCCCCTGTGTCCAACCTGGCCTTGAACACTGCCAGGGATGGGGCAGCACCCTGTGCAAGGGCCTCAGTGCCCTCACAGGGAAGAACTTCTGCCTAAGTGCTCATCTCAATCCTCCCTCTGGCAGGTTAAAGCCATTCCTCTTTGTCCTGTCCCTACAGGCCCTGTCAAAAATCCTTCTCCAGCATCCTTGTAGGCCCCCTTTGGGCACTGGAGCAGCTCTAAGGTCTCCCTGGAGCCTTCTCTTCTCCTGAAGAGAACAACCTGAACTCTTTCAGCCTGTATTCCTAGGAGAGGTGCTCTAGCTCTCAGAGCATCTCTGTGGCCGCCTCTGATCTCTCTGTTGTGTTAGGGGCCCCAGAACCGCACACAATACTCCAAGTGAGGTCTCACGAGAGCAGAGTAGAGGAGCAGGATCACCTCCTTCAGCCTGCTACTCATGGTCCTTTTGATGCAGACCAGGATACAGTTGGCTTTCTGAGCTGCAAATACACACTGGCAGGTCATGTTGAGCTTCTCATCAGCACCCCCAAGTCTTTCTCCTCAGGGCTACTCTCAAAACATTTTTCCATTTTAAGGTATAATAATAAACATATTTATATTTCCATAAATATATACATTTATATAAATGTGTATATAAATTTATATAAATGCTTATATAAATTTATATTATCAATTATTATAATAATATAAAATGAACACTGTCCTACAGATGTTAATATATGTAAATAATGTTATTAATGGATCTTTGAGTAACCAGTTTTTACACTTTGGCCTCTTTAATTACAGGGGTAGCAATATGAATATAACTAAGTGAGTACGTGAAGTTCGAACTAATTAGTTAAAGCTTTTTTCATTTTGAACAGCAGAACAGTAGTTTGATGTAAATGCTTGTAAGACAAATTTAAGTTTACAATCCATGAACTAATTGTTGCAAATAGAAGACAGATTTATCCTATGTTCAGAGCTCCTATTCTTGCAGATCTGATGCTTGTAAAAATATCACCTGATCTACAAAAATGCATGTTTGATGTAATTGGAAAATATCTAAATATTTGATCTCAATACTGTTTGAGCATAGATTTACAATAGGGGCCTTGCTTCATTAAATCTTGAGGAAAACAAAAAAGGGCAAAAGAACAAAATTTAAAACCACAGTCATTTCCTGTCATTAATGCCGTGAAAATCAGTTCGTGATCATAGAGCTTGTCAGCGCAGGAAAGAGGTGTGACAATTGTTATGGACATTTGATCTGATAAGCCTCACTGAAGTCAATGCTTCTTGAAATAGTGCCCATTCTGCTCCTTCTCAGCATCTGTTTTATTTATCTTCAAAATAGTTCTGGATGATAACACAGTAACTGGGAAAGCGAAGCGTTCTGGGAAATGATGATGTTCTTTTCAGTTTTGGACTGCACACTCTTAAAATCAAAACAGTGGATTTTCTTGGCTGGGGGCAGAGGAGGGAAGAGAGTTCATTGGTAATTTATATTGAAATAATTTGATAGAAAGATAATGGTTATTTTGTTCTCTCTCCAGTGCAACTGTTGTTCAAGATCTAGAGAAATTCTGGGTTGGAATTCAAAGCAAAACTCTCACACCTACACATTCTGAGTCAATTAATGGGACAGGAAAAAGTAAAAGGAAGGTATGTTTTGAGTGAAAGGAAACTAACAATCTAGTTCTTAAAACAATCCATAGCATAAAGACAAAGAAAACCAAATTGGTCATCAGGATAACTCAATTATACTTGTGGTGTACTATGCTAATCTAAAGCATAGTACACCCATCTGAAGCCTCAGTCACTGGAACAAGAGCTGTGTAGCATATTCTTAGAAATGAGTTTGGTTACTCTTTAGCCAAGAATTATGCTTATATGAAACATCTTAAACATGACTGGCAGCTAAAGCAAAGAAAGTCTGTTCAAATATACAGTATTGGTTCTTGGCTGTAGCAATACTGATTTATGTCATCTCGTGATCTAACCAAGAGTGAGTACCTTGATTTTGTCTCTCTCTCCTGTTTCCTATAATAAGTTGCTTTTTTTTTTTTTCCGCAGTAAATAATTTCTGCTCTTTCCCCCCAACAGGTTATGATAGCACTAGAATGTAAGAAGGTAAGAGCAGTTTTTCTTCAATTTCCCAGTTTTTAGAATTCCTGTCATACTGGCCCAGTTGTTTCATGGTTATAGCACAAAAAGTTATATTGTCCCATTTAAATTACTTTCCTAGTAAGATCTCATTTCTGCCTATATTCTTGTATGCAGTTTTGAATTAATTTTTAATTAGTTAATTAATTAGTTAAATTAGTTAATAATTAATTTTTAATTACTTAATGTCAGTTCTTGGGTCGGATTGTTACAATGTGTGAGGTATTGTAAGCAATGAAACACTTGACTCCTTCATTCAGACATGAATGTGCATTCAGTTGATTTACTGTTTAAAATAGTGTAGTACTTATACACCAGTCAATAAACAGTAACTGGAACCTGTATTTTCTTGCAGCTTGGGGGGACTTACACAACACAAGGCGGATGCGTCATGGTAAGTATTCTTTCTCCAAAGACATTGAAACACTGCTAATTGCTCAAGACCTCAAGAGCCAGTCAAAACCTGCTTCTACTCAAATCTTTATCCATCTTGTTGCACAATTAATTTTTCTATTTGGCAATTTACCTTGGTTGATGAAAGTCCCAAACTTCCTAAATGGTCATCAACCTTGTTCCCATTTCCTCCTGCCAGTTCTCTTGAGCTGATTTGGAGTAACTTTCTAAGAGAAGTTTCCTTTCTTCTGTCTTCCCTTTTTAGTCATAGTGCTTGCTTGCTTTTAAAGACCACTTATTGCAACAGCTCTGAAAACTTGCCTTTTGCAAATCATCATCTACTTATAGAATTCAAGTATTTGATTTTATTTTTCTGAAAGCTATCACTGGCAGCTAAGAGAAGAAACCTCTTTTTCTTCTTTTCTTTCTCCCAGCAAATATGCCCTACATGCCACAGTGTTCAGTGATTAGATAGTCATACCACTAAAAAGTTTTCATATACTTTTTAATGATCTTGACAGTGTAGATCTCCTCCTCAATGATGCACATCAAGTATATGAGGCCAGATAAAAAAGGGTGCAAGCAACTGAATTATGTTGATTTATGCCAGCTGTTTTGGTATAGTTTTGATTATTTGATTTTAACTTTTGATTATTTGATTAAAAATTCAGAGAACTTTAAAGATCTCTGAGATAATTTCAATAGTATCAGTTGATATAATGAAGTCAGAGAAGACTATCTTGTATGTTGCTCCTTTTCCCACTAGGTAGATCTTTCTTTCATAAAAAAAAATCTAAAAATAAGCTAAAAATCAATTTTCTGCAAAATAATAAATAGCATTTTGGTTTCTTTCCAGGTTGGACCTTCCAGTTCCTCTCAGAGCAGCTATTCAGGCAGTCCGGTAAGAGTTCTAACTTCCAGTAACCTCAAACGACTAAAACTCTGTAACTACAGCGTTCTCAGGTGATCTAATACTGTACTGAAATACCACCTCTGCTAGCTAATGCAGAATGAGTTATTGTTCCATTGAACTGTGTGTCCAGTACATGGACTAGGTTCAGCTTCCTACACTCTGTTGAATTCAGTAGATTGCTGTCAGTATTCTTAACTACAAAAAGCTTCACCATCTCTGATCTCACACATTAAATGTTTTTATCAAGCTTTAACTTGACCCTTTTGCAGAAAGATTCCTTCCATCTTCCTAGGGGATTCCTACCTGTGTATACAGCAAACACTCTGTGCATTCAGTCAAGCTGGTTTGTTGCTGACCCCTAGGAGTGTTCCCTGTGATCTGAAGCCTTTGCATATAGAAACAATAAGTGTGAGATGTCCCTGCCCATGGCAGGGGGTTGGAAGTGGATGATCTTTTCAACCCAAACCCTTCTATGATTCTATGATTCTAAGAAGTAAAAGGACCCCCTCACTGTGTGCAGTGCCTTTCAGAAAGAGGAAACTGCAGAGATGGAATAATTTCTTTTCCATTTGTCATAGTGAGAATGATAATTTTATAAAGCAAGCATAAGCATTTGTATTGTAATCCAAATATATTATTATAAAATCATAGAATGGTTTGGATTGGAAGGGACCTTGAAGATCTAGTTCCAACCCCTCTATGGTTGGTCTCCATGATCTTAAAGGTATTTTCCAACCTAAATTTTTCTGTGGTTCTATGGTATTTATAAAATACAGAGCCATAAAATCATTTCTTTTATAGTTTTGGAATTATGCATGTGTTTCACTGACTTCCCCACAGATTTTCTCCAAACTTCACCAGATACTCATGTGTATATTAAAGCTCCACTATAATGTCTGTATCACTTTTAACAGCAGATTATACTTGCAGTTGAAAATTTAGGGACTTCGCTGACTAGTTAGCCTTTTAAAGCTTCTGGGGAGTGTATGTCTGCACTCTCATCGATTGCTTTCACTTCCTTAATCACAGAAATGGATACTTGTGTTCTAGTTAATTACCTCCACTACCATAACATGCCTATTTGCACTTGAACTGTCAGATGCTTTCTGGTATGTCTCCAGTTTCTTGAACTGAGCTTCTCAAAGATGTATTTCTTACTACTTATTAATGAATTATCTGGTAATACTCCATTAGTTCAGTCTTCACTACTTGTAAGCAGAATCACCAGCCTCTGAGAATACCAATTGTTTTGATGTCTATATACTAAATACTGATTTTTCTTTGTTGTATTTTCTTCAGATATGATACATACTCTTTCCTAAGAGTTAGGTTTCTCATCCTGTCATTTAACTGCATGAAGTTGTTTATTTTTTCTGAAATACAGACCATTTAGTAAAACAACTTATAGCTTTTGAAAGGTTGTACAACCAATGGCAAAGTTATACAAGATCCAGATGATGACTGACTTAGAATTGATACAGCCAGATGCCAGTGAACTGGTAACCTTTGTGCTTGCTTATCCCCTGTTTGCACGTACACATTCTCAATTGTACAACTTTTCACACCGTAAGCAGTAGGGCTTCTCTTTTTTTCTGCCCCGCCTTTATTCTTTACATGGAAATAACTGACTCCTGTTTTTATTTCAGAATGCAGTAGTCTACACAATAAGCAAGAATGGATGTGGCCCTGTAAGCACTTCTCTTACTTTTGCTTTTTTGTCCCCTATAAACTATATTTATACTAATTCCTAACCTTCGACTGCATTATTTATGAGTGTTCATGTGGGAGTTTCTTTTGTAAGTAGAAAATACTGGAGTGAGCAAGAAGATGAATATTACAGTTTATTCAGTATTATGAAGTACTTGGCAAACAGAGATGTTAAAAAGTTAAATGGAAACCTATGGATCATGGAATCATGATCCATGCATGACATTACACTCATACATCTACTCAAGATAAAAATGATGCAAATTGGTCTGCATGTTCTAAGTTGCTACTCAATACAAAAAATGACAAAAAAAAGCTTGAAACAGTCAAGTTTAGTCTTTCTATGTCGATGACAGGGTTTTGCTTATTTTTTCATAGTATAGTAAGTAAACAAAAATGAGCTAGTCATAGGTAAGCACTGTCAGTTGCCACTTCCAATTAGAAAAATGAGGATGACACAGCTCCAACAAGGACAATGTTTCCAAAAATGTAAACCATTCCTGTCATTCTGTAAGCTGTAAAATTCATCACAATGTCTATTGTGTGTTTGCAAAGAACAACAAAGTTACAGTTCGGAGGGGGACCATTGATGGTATTAATAAGTGGGATTTCCTTCAAAGAAGGAGCTATCAGTACTTATGCTGGACCTTGCTATTTTATAGTTGATTGACTGGTGCCAGTCAGGGAGGTGTTAATTCTTATTTCTTTCAAGTTTCCACTTCCTGATTGTTACATATATATGTACATACACATGACATAGATGATAAGTTTGAATCACAATCTTTACATTAAATCTTGATCATTTATTTCTAATAAATGTCTTGACAGTGTCTGTTTTAAAATGTTTCCTGAGTACCACTAAATAATCATGAATATACAAGGGGCTATTTTGCCTGGTGTCTGAAGTGTGCCTTTAAGCAATTACAGAAGAGAAATAACTAATTTCATTTTGTTTTTAGGGGGGTGCTGCTGATGCCTATAGTCAACAAGCCTGTAGAGATGTAAGTTGGTTATATATGTGTTTACTGGTTGTCGAATGCTGTGCTCATCTCCTTACTGAAAATTTTTTGTTCACGTCTGCAGAGTTACATTATTCTTCCTAAATATACTAAGGAAACTGGTGGTAGGCTGAGGTATTATTCTGAGGTTAAAAACCAAAATTAAAAGGTGTTGCACTCACTTCCTCAGAAAGTAATAATTTATGTTACAGTTGGTACTCATTGCCTGTTATAAATGCCTAATTTGTCAGCTTACTAAAATGTCAGAATTCCTAACTGCATAATGCTCTTTGTCCGATAAGAGTAATTGTCTTTGGCTATTGCATATTGTGCAATACTATTTGGGTTTCTATTTGCAATCTTTGTGTATTAATCAAATGATTTTTTAATAAGTAATTTCTATTGTCAATCTCAGTTATTTCATTTTCACCTGAAAACAGGTTTATTTCAAAACCTGACATATTTCCCATTTTTAAAACCATAAAAGCAAGTAAGAAAACACTGTCAAATATCTGTTAGAAACTGAAACTGTAGCAAAGAAACTACTTAATGATATGCTTAACTTTAAATAAATCATTAGATATGTTAATTCCTAAACGTTAAATATATTTCACCTTTGCTTACTATGTAAGTGTAAACTGTATTTGTGATAGAGCAACATTAATCTTATGACTGCAGTAGAATGTTGGAAAATCTTTTCTTCAGTTGCGTTTAAGCAAGTTCTGTCTACTTTACTACTGCCCTAGATTTATTTACATAGAGATAAAATCAGTTTGATTTGAAGTGTATATCCTCTAAGAAAAAAGAAGTGATGACTTATCTATATAATTAACAAATCATTATGTAAATATATACCTGATTTCTGGTTTTATTTCAGAGTGCACCCTCCAGCAATGGTATTTCCTATGGCCTGGTAACTATGTGCTTTTCAACATGTTTTCAGCTTCCTAAGCTATTCAGAAACCAAGCAGTAATGCCAAACTTTTACCAAATAGTAATTAAGTTCATGGAAGGGGATAAAGGAGCACTGTATCCAAATGGTTAAGTAATAATGGAAATAACTTCAACAGACGAATTATATGCTTAATTCATGTTGTAATATCAGCTTTGTTAGAAGTTATTTACTTCTGGTTTGCACAGAAACTCCATATTTGTTCTGTGAATAAACACCAGTTACTTTTATTATGATTTTCCAAAAGTCAGTGCTTTCATTGATAGTTACAATGAATTAAAAGTGTATTTTGTGGATTTTGCCTATGCAATTGTATACATGATTTGCTGAAATGCAAAACTTTGCTGCAGATTATTTTATGCTTCTTTTAACACATTTCTCATGGCACATCCCATTTATTCAAGTTCACATTTCAACAGTAGGCTTTTCAGTTTGAGTGGAATGGAGTTTGGGTTGGTTTCTGTTTTGATGATGGTAGAAGAGATTAATTTGTTTCTACCAAGAGTTTATTATAAACAAATTCCCAATTGGATGTTGGATGAAGCATTTGCAGCTCTTACACAGTGCTGTGGGAAGCTCACAAAATAACTGGGGCTTGTAGGAAAAAATTAAACCAGGCAATTTCTTTCAGTCTTTCATTTATTAATTGCCAATACTTAAATATTTTTCATCAGAATCTTATTTTGCTTGGTATTTTAGGGAAATTATGTTAGCTCTAACATTCTTGTGACAAATAGTGCTGTAATTAATTTGTCATACGCTTACCTAGTGCTGTAATTAATTTGTCATACACTTACCTAAGTAACAAATGGGTTCTGTATTCTTTACAGTCTGTGCCTTCAAGCAGTTCAGAGTCCAGTAAGAAGGTAAGCTCTCCTTTTCAATTCAAAGGGGAAACATACTTAGAGATAGCTTGGCATTACTCCTTTTATTTCAGTGGTGCTACAGTTCCTTTTACCAGCTGGACAGAGCCTTGGATGACGTGGTCATGAGGCGACACTGCCCATGGCAGAAGGTTGGAACTGGATGATCTTAAGGTCCTTTCCAACCAAAACCATTCCATCATTCTAAGGCTTCTCAAGGTTTTAACCCAGACTGAGTCATATGATTTAAATCAGTTTGGCTCTTAGATTCTTTATGCTAACTAGCTGTGCTGTGGTGGCTTTTGTTGGTAGTTGACTTAACTGTATGTAAAATAAAATCCATACATGTTTATGTTGACTTGCTTTTAAAGAGTTAGCATAGTGATTGTGAGGTAATGAGGACTTTAAAGGTTATAGGTTATGCAGTTATTATTTAGATGGGGCTGGAGAATGAGTGTGGCTCAAAGCAAGTGAAATGAATAGAATTCATATTACTGTATTTGACTGATAATATTTACATCAACTGTTCCTCTCAGTTCAGCCCCCAGGAGTGCAGGGCTAATTCTATGGTGTATGTACACCATTGTGTAAACGTAATGTACCCATTCATGTCCTCACAGATCTAGTTTTTTATTTAATTTCCCATTGTTCTAAGAATTCAAAACATCCTGATAGATTATTTTTTGTAATAGCTACTTTTAAAAGCATAATACTTCTCCCTGGTTTATACTAGAATTCTTCTGATAGCACTAACTCTCCTCTTCCTTTTTTACACCACTGGATAATACAAACTGTTTTCAGTCAAAAAAATTAAAATAAGGTGGGAAGAGAAGCTTCCAATTAGACAATATTAAAACCTTTACAGAAGTTACTACTACTGCATTTGGCTTCATTTTTTTGAATGGACTCAATACGAAGCCTTTTTTTTTAGCATAATGCTGAATAAAGAGAAAAGAAATTGCTCTTCCATTTTGAGGTGGAAAGTTGAAGATCAAAAAGGACACACAATATAGGCCAGTGGGTTTGGTACAATACATGAAATCCTGCTCCTGCCTATACAGCTGAGTTCTTGTGTGACTGAGAGCAAGTGTTTTACCTCCTTATACTCTTGTATATACATATATAGTCTTTTTTGATTGGTAATGTGCATTGAATGAGTTTATAAAAATAGTATTTTATAAAAGTGATCATACATAGCATTATTATTAGAGTTTGTAAATTTAGAGAACTCTGTATTCTTCTTTTTCCTAACATATTGAACTATCAAAGTAAACTCTATGATGAATAAGCAGCTTTCTCTTATTCCTCTGTAGGTTGTGGTGGTGGCCAACAGCAACCCTTTTCCACCTGTGGTAAGCACTTTTTCTCTACACTACTCAAAGTTCTGACTCAAAAAGCTTTGAAATACCTACAGGCTTACTTTGTCAGAAAGGTTCCTGGTGTATGGAGACAGCCCTTGGCAGGCATAGTTTACCCTAGGTGCATAGTTATCTTCAGGGAAAGCCAGTATTAAGATAGCTACAAAACTCATGGTTCTATGATTGCTGTAAGTACTTGCAGAGATACTGGATTAGCTGCAGATAACAGGTCTCTCAATGCATACAATCTCTGTTCCTGAATAGTTTGATTGTTTTTTTTTCTGTATCTATTGCAATTCACTTTTACTCTCATTTTTAAACTGTTCAATTTCCACTCTGCTCACTTGGAACTCACACAGTCAGTCAAAATTAAATTTAGCCTGAAGATGGTTAAAGAAAGTTTGTGTGATGAAACACTTGATAATATGTTTTTCTGATGCCTAGTTTCTAATCAAGCATCTTATTGTTCTAACCTGAGTGACGATTATAATCCATTTGTCCTATACTGTCCTTCCTATATCTTTCTTTCACATTTGGTTGTGTATTGTATCCAAAAGATAGGGCCCTTTTTCTGCTGCAATGTTCTGTTGGACAAGCTGTTGTACAAAATAACTAAAGGTTGTTTTCTTTCATTTGTAGCGTCACACCTATCCCCAGGTAAGCAGACTTTTATTATTTCTATAATAGGAATGTGGTTCTTATGGGATCAAACCAGTTGCCTCAGGGTGGTGTCTGCTACCCTTTTACCCTCTTGCCACCAAGTACAGCAAACAAGTGCCTAAATCAGTAATTGAATTAGTTTGTGTGGTGATATATGTCCAGTGCAGATGACAGTGAGCCAAGTCGGAGGGTTGATAGTGTCTTAACCTTCACTCACCATATCTTAAGCCAAGCTCACTGGTTGTGTAAAGAGGGCATAGCCTCTGCTCTGCTGCTCTCACCAGAAACTGCAATAGAACCAGACGCAAATGCAGAAAATTACTTAGTAGAGAGCTGAGGATAAAAAAATAACTAGTTTATTGCTGGGTGTTAGCACTTTAATGCTCAATATATTGCATATACAATCTTTCCCTTTATTCTCCCAAGCAAACCAGTACAACTTTGTGTTTTCTGTTTAACTGCACTCCATTTAAACAAGTCAAATTCTGTTATCTGATGTGGGGTTTTGATTTATTTTTTCTTTCAGAGTTTGGGAAGTTCTGCTGCTAGGGTCGTTATACAGGTAGACATTCTTTCTCCATTATGCTCAAGTTTCGACTGAAGCCCTGTGTCAATAAACTAATGATTCATCTCTTTGTGAATGACTAAATATGAATACCTTATGGGTATCTTAGATATCCATAGACTACAGTGGTGGAGTAGGGGGGTTCTATGGTTACAGCAAAGTGGTATTGTACTTGGCTGCTGATTAAAGACCATTGCATGTTTTCCACAGCCAAGAAATATGAAAACCTCTGTATGCTCATTCCATAGTACTCTCAAAATCTGCGAAATTTAATCATCTCAGTCTACTCAGCAAGATGCATGGAATTCTAGAACTTAAGTTTGAATGTTATTCACTATTAAATCAAATATGCATAAATCCTAACCTGAACAGTTCCATGTTCACTTAAACAGTCTATTTTTAAAATGTAAACAACTAGTTTAGTATTATGGCTATCACTCAGGAGTGTTTTTTCTGGGTCCTTTGCAATTTTAACCTACCTACCATTCTTCAGAGTTTAGGCTTTCCTTCCTGCATATGATAGTTCTTCAAACTGTAATGTGTTCTCACTTCCACTGAAAGATCAGTAGCAAGTTACCACAGCTGAAATATGTTTATTGAACATCATTGTTTGCAAAATGTATAACATTAGATCCTACCATCTATTAGATATAAGGATAGAGTTGCTTCTTAAAAAGTGTTATTACAGAAGAAATTTCTTTTAAAAGTAAATAACCATTTTTTGGTCCCTATGTAGAGTGCACCAAGACCACAAAGCAGCAGTACCTACGTTCTGGTAAGTTTCCCCAGCTTGGAAATCACTTATTTCCTACATGTTCAAATGTATTTCACAGGGTGCAGCTACTTCTATTTTTCTGGGGTTTTGTTCATAAAATTATTACCTGGTACTGTTGTTCAATTATTTTTGATTGAAATGCTCATAAGTGTATTTCCATTTGTGGTCAGTTGAAGTGGAATGTCTGCATTCCACTCAGTGTGTCCTCTGAAAGGGGCATAAAAGTCATGGCACTGAGAGTAAGTGATTCTAGGCTCAGTATCACACCATAAATCATATACTAGTAGATTCAGATCCCCTGTATATTAGATCTCACATAGTTGCTTATCCATATTGTGAACAATGGAGAATCATAAAGTCAAACCTGCATGCAATGTCTTTCGGCCTTACTAAAACCATGCAGACAAAGCTACTTATATGGAAACCAAGTGTGTGATTTAACAAATACTACCATAATGATAACAGAAATTGTTGCAGAGGAACACAATCGTAGTATGAGCTCAGGTACAAAGGTTATTCAGAATTCCTTCTATTTGGAGGCAGACAAAAAGAAAAAATGACAAATGTTTGTCAATATTATCTGTACCACTATATGCAGCCAGGAAGATGTGTTTCAGAAGGGTAGGTATGACTTCTAGGGACCAAAGCCCGGGAAACAAGTACTCAACAGCACTAACAATCAAATGCAAAAGGTTGGGAGTCTGCATCTGAAACTGATTCAAGACTTTCACTTTAGAATAGGGCAACCTATTTGCTGCACAGATGCCAGCAGCCTGCCCTGGCTGCTTTGGCTCAGGACAAGCCTTTCTGGGAAAACCTTGCGCAACTATACTTTCATAAACATGATGCTCTCTATAGAAGCCTCTTGTCAAGGTGTTAATTACCTTCTCTTTTTTACAGACTCCCCAAAGCAGCCAATACTCTGGCCAGGTGAGATTTCTTTCCTGAAGTGCAATGAGCTTTTCTCTAGGGGTCCTGCCTTGCAAATGGGATTTGGGGTTTGGCTGGGGTTTTTCCTTCCTGGTGTTGCTGAGTGGTCCTTGGTTTTGGTTTGTGCCACTGAGTGAAGGAAAAAGAACTGAGCATAGAGGAACTGTTAGTGGAAATGGGCTGTTCTGTTGCAGCTCTGCTGAGACTACAGCTTTACTTACGGCTGAGTTCTTGTCTTTCTTACAGGGCTCCCGACCTCAAAGTGTTTCTTACAGCCTGGTAAGTATCTGCCCTTCACCAGTCAGAGCACAGCACTATAGCAAGGGGAGTGCCATGGCCCTGCAAAAGCACTCAGCAAGCTCTCACAATGGAAACTTTGAAGGATGTTTTCCTGAACATCTGTATTTTCACACTCAAAATACTTTCTTATCTGGAATCCCAGCACATGAAATCATTGCACTCAGCATCACTGCAAGGGCCAGGAGGAGGTCTGGGCTCTTCATACTGCCCCACAGAGCTTTAAGATGTAGTTGCTTGCTTTTCCTAACACAGGCTGGATCCCTTACAAAAGGGGAGTAAGCACATGTCCTTGTCCTAATGTGGGCCAAGTTCCTGGGGCAGTAGCAGTTCTTATGGCCAGGGAAGCAAACTGGCTGTTCCATAGGAAATTCTTCACTGACCCCTCTGTGTGACCAGCACCATTGGCAGGTTTTTGATGTTTCCTTTGCCAGTTGCATCTCAAATTGATTCAATGCTTTCACTGAGAATAGCAAATAGAATATTTGCTGCACAGATGCCAGCAGCCTGTTCTGTCTGCTTTCTCAGGATATGCCTTTCTGGGAAACCCTTGCGCAACTATACTTTCATAAACATGATGCTCTCTATAGAAGCCTCTTGTCAAGGTGTTAATTACATTCTCTTTTTTACAGACTCCCCAAAGCAGCCAATACTCTGGACAGGTGAGATTTCTTTCCTGAAATGCAGTGAGCTTTTCTCTAGGATCCTGCTTTGCTAATGGGCTTTGGGGTTTGTCTGGGTTTTTTTTTCTTCTTGGTTTTTGTGAGTGGTCCTTGGTTTTGATTTGTGCTACCAAGTTAACATGAAGGAAAAAGAACTGAGCACATTGTATATACTCAGATATATATTCTATATACAGAAGAGCTGTTAGTGGAAATGGGCTGTTCTGTTGCAGCTCTGCTGAGACTACAGCTTTACTTACGGCTGAGTTCTTGTCTTTCTTACAGGGCTCCCGACCTCAAAGTGTTTCCTACAGCCTGGTAAGCATCTGCCCATCGCCAGTCAGAGCACGGCACTGTAGCACTGGAGTGCCATAGCACTGCAAAAGCACTCAGCAAGCTCTCACAGTTCTAAGTTTGAAGGACATTTTATATGAACATATGAATTCTCTCACTCAAACTTTATCCATGTGCTACTTTCTTATCTGGAATCTCAGCATATGAAATCATTGCACTCAGCATCACTGTGAAGGCCAGGAGGAAGTCTGGGCTCTTCATACTGCCCTGCACAGCTTTAGGATGTAGTTGCTTGCTTTTCCTAACACAGGCTGGCTCCCTTACAAAAGGGGAGTAAGCACATGTCCTTGTTCTAGTGTGGCCAAGTTCCTGGGGCAGTAGCAGTTCTTATGGCCAGGGAAGCAAACTGGCCGTTCCACAGGAAATTCTTCACTGACCCCTCTGTGTGACCAGCACCACTGGCAGGTTTTTGATGTTTCCTTTGGCAGTTGCATCTCAAATTGATTCAGTGCTTTCACTGAGAATAGGGCAACCTATTTGCTGCACAGATGCCAGCAGCCTGTTCTGTCTGCTTTCTCAGGATATGCCTTTCTGGGAAACCCTTGTGCAGCTATACTTTCATAAATAGTATGCTACTTATAGAAGCCTCTTATCAAGGTGTTAATTACCTTCTCTTTTTTACAGACTCCTCAAAGCAGCCAATACTCTGGACAGGTGAGATTTCTTTCCTGAAACGCAGTGAGCTTTTCTCTAGGATCCTGCCTTGCAAATGGGCCTTGGGATTTGGCTGGTGTTTTTCCTTCTTGGTGTTGCTGAGTGGTCCTTGGTTTTGGTTTGTGCCACTAAGTTAACATGAAGGAAAAAGAATTGAGCATCGAGGAACTATAAGTGGAAATGAGCTTAGCTGTTGTACCTCTTCTGAGAGTACAGCTTTGTTTACAGCTGAATTCTTGTCTTTCTTACAGGTCTCCCGGCCTCAAAGTATTTCCTATACCCTGGTAAGTATCTGCCCGTCACCTGTCCAAAACCAGCATTGGAGCAAGTGGAGTGCCATAGCACTGCAAAAGCACTCAGCAGGCTCTCACAGTGGCAACTTTCAAGGGCAATTCATGTGAATATGTGTACTCTCACACTGAAAATACTTTCTTATCTGGAATCCCAGCACATGAAATCATTGCACTCAGCATCACTGCAAGGGCCGGGCGGAAGTCTGGGCTCTTCATACTGCCCCGCACAGCTTTAGGATGTAGTTGCTTGCTCTTCCTAATGCAGGCTAGATCCCTTACAAAAGGGTATTAACCACATGTCCTTATCCTAGTGTGGGCCAAGTTCTTGGGGCAGTAGCAGTTCTTATGTCCAGGAAAGCAAACTGGCTATTCCGTAGGAAGTTCTTCACTGACTTCTGTGTGACCAGCACCACTGGCAGGTTTTTGATGTTTCCTTTGGCAGTTGCATCTAAAATTGATTCAGTGCTTTCACTGAGAATAGGGCAACCTATTTGCTGCACAAATGCCAGCAGCCTGTTCTGTCTGCTTTCTCAGGATATGCCTTTCTGGGAAATCCTTGTGCAGCTATACTTTCATAAATAGTATGCTACTTATAGAAGCCTCTTGTCAAGGTGTTAATTACCTTCTCTTTTTTACAGACTCCTCAAAGCAGCCAATACTCTGGACAGGTGAGATTTCTTTCCTGAAATGCAGTGAGCTTTTCTCTAGGATCCTGCCTTGCAAACGGGCTTTGGGGTTTGTCTGGGCTTTTTCCTTCTCGGTGTTTGTGAGTGGTCCTTGGTTTTGGTTTGTGTCACTGATTTAACATGAAGGAAAAAGAACTGAGCACAGAGGAACTGTTAGTGGAAATGGGCTGTTCTGTTGTATCTCTGCTGAGAGTACAGCTTTGTTTACAGCTGAGTTCTTGTTTTTCTTACAGGGCTTCCGACCTCAAAGTGTTTCCTACAGCCTGGTAAGTATCTGTCAGAACACAGCACATGAGCCAGCGCAGTGCCATGACACTGCAAAGGGCAGGAAATATGTAATTTTTTTACCCCAAATTTTACTGATCTCTTCAGAAAGAACAAATCTGAATTCATTTCAAATCTTTATTTGTTAAAGTGACAGTTGTGTTTGTAATGGATATCTGTCAGAAGTATGAGTTACTGTTGCTGTCTGATATTTTATATGTGTATGGAACCTCAAACTTTATGGTATAGTCTGTTTGCTGTTGTTCTAGTTTGTTTACATGTTGCAAGCAAATTTACAGTAAGTTTTTTGCTGTCTCCTTTGGTCCCAGTACAGAGAAACAGTGTTGAGGAGCTGAAGAATATTGGCTTAGGTCCTTAGATGCAGGAAGATTTGGTCTTTAAGCCTGCAGATGATGAATGTTCACCTCCCTTTACCATTTCTGTGTGAATTAAAGCAGCCCTAAGATAACTCTGAATTTTGTCAGGATCTTCATGTCAGAAGGCAGAAATACACAAGATAATTCCAATTCTTTTTAGTAATCCCTGACTTCATAACCCTCCCAGAAAGCTGTTGCTCAGGTCTGAATGTACATGGAGCACCTGCATTTATTTGACATTCTGGTGAAGGCAGATTGCTTCAGCAGCGTATAGTTACCCACAGTACTGGCATCCTTGACTGATTCATTTGACCTGCTACTTTTAATTGCATTGTTTCCATTTTATGAATCTTTATCTTTTTGTCAGATTCTTTCTTAATTTTTTCAAATTATTTTTCACCTTTATTTTCCCTCAGAGGAAGGGAATTGTGCATATCTGGCCCAATAATACAAGCACAGGAAATCAAAAGTTGTAGATGCCTCATACAAGGCCAGGTTGGACGGGGCTTGGAGCAACCTGCTCTAGTGGAAGGTGTCCCTGCGCATGGCAGGGGGTTGGAACTGTATGAGCTTTAAGGTCCCTTTCAACCCACACTAGTCTGTGACTCTAAGATTCACTTACAATTAGCCATCTAAGCCCAATGTCTGAGAACAGCAGACAAAAGAAACACAATGAGAAAATACTGTGTCCCTTGAATGTGCTGGGAAACCATTATAATAGTAGAGTCCCACCTGAGATGGACATAAAAATACTCTGTGATTGTCATTTGATAAATACTGTGTGATCAGATATTCATCCAGAATTAAGATTAGAATAACTCCAGTAAAGCAACGAAGACTGTACATTCTCTGTTGTATTCTGGGGGGTTTTGCTCGCAAAGAGACAAGATTGAGAGAGGCATCTACTTCATCAATACAATAATTATGAATCACTAATTCCTTTCTTACAGGGATCCCGGCCTCAAAGTGTTTCATACAGCCAGGTAAGCATCTGTCAGTACCAGTCAGAATACAGAACTGTAGCAAGTGGAGTGCCATGGCACTGCAAAAGCACTTTGGCAATCATTCACAATTCCAATTTTGAATGACGGTTCTCTTTTCATAGGGTCCCCAAAGCAGCCAGTACTCTGGCCAGGTGAGATTTCTTTCCTGAAATGCAGTGAGCTTTTCTCTAAGCTCTTCTTTACAAATGGGCTTTGGGGTTTGGCTGGGATTTTTCCTTTTTGGTGTTGCTGAGTGGTCGTTGGTTTTGGTTTGTGCCACTGAGTTACCTTGAGGGAAAAAAGAACAGAGCACAGAGGAACTGTTAGTGGAAATGGGCTGTTCTGTTGCAGCTCTGCTGAGACTACAGCTTTACTTACGGCTGAGTTCTTGTCTTTCTTACAGGGCTCCCGACCTCAAAGTGTTTCCTACACCCTGGTAAGTATCTGCCCATCACCAGTCAGAACACAGCATTGGAGCAAGTGGAGTGCCATAGCACTGCAAAAGCACTCAGCAAGCTCACACAATTGCAGCTTTTAAGGATGTTTTCCCTGGACAGCTCTATTTTCACACTCAAAATACTTCCTTATCTGAAATCCCAGCACATGAAATCCTTGCACTCAGCATCATTGCGAGGGCCAGGAGGAGGTCTGGGCTCTTCATACTGCCCCACACAGCTTTAGGATGTAGTTGTTTGCTCTTCCTAATGCAGACTGCATGCCTTACAAAAGGAGAGTAAGCACATGTCCTTGTTCTAGTGTGGGCCAAGTTCCTGGGGCAGTAGCAGTTCTTATGGCCAGGGAAGCAAACTGGCTGTTCCATGGGAAGTTCTTCACTGACCCCTCTGTGTGACCAGCACCATTGGCAGGTTTTCGGTATTTCCTTTGGCAGTTGCACCTCAATGTGTTTCAAGGCTTTCACTGAGAATAGGGCAACCTATTTGCTGCACAGATGCCAGCAGCCTGTTCTGTCTCCTGTGGCTCAGGACGAGCCTTTCTGGGAAACCCTTGTGCAGCTATACTTTCATAAACATGATGCTCTCTATAGAAGCCTCTTGTCAAGGTGTTAATTACCTTCTCTTTTTTACAGACTCCTCAAAGCAGCCAATACTCTGGCCAGGTGAGACTTCTTTCCTGAAATGCAGTGAGCTTTTCTCTAGGATCCTGCCTTGCAAATGGGCTTTGGGATTTGTCTGGGGTTTTTCCTTCCTGGTGTTGCTGAGTGGTCCTTGGTTTTGGTTTGTGCCACTGAGTGAAGGAAAAAGAACTGAGCACAGAGGAACTGTTAGTGCGAAATGGGCTGTTCTGTTAAAGCTCTGCTGAGACTACAGGTCTACTTACAGCTGAGTTCTTGTTTTTCTTACAGGGCTCCCGACCTCAAAGTGTTTCCTACAACCTGGTAGGTATCTGCCCTTCACCAGTCAGAACGCAGCACTGTAGCAAGGGGAGTGCCATGGCCCTGCAAAAGCACTCAGCAAGCTCTCACAATTATAAATTTGATAGAACATTTTCTATTCTAAAAAATACCTAAAATTCTATTCTAGAAGATTGCCCAATAGGGCAAGCAGCTTTGTTTACAACTGAATTCATGCCTTTGTTACAGGGATATCAGCCTCAAGATAGCATTTCCTATGGCCTGGTAAATACACCAGTTAGTATACAACACACCTGATGTTCCTTTATATATCAAGAATTTTATGGTTTTTTTCTTGAAACAGTATAGTAAGGTCTCATTAGACATTGTGAACTTTATTCATATGGGTCTGCTAACTATAGGGTTATTGATACATGTCCTTCCCACTTAGGGAAGTACTTCATAATAAAACACTCACTAGGATGTGCCTGGTTTTCTTAGAAAGTGGTCAGGCAGCTAAAGCCCTTTCCAACATTTTTTTTGTATTTGAAATGAAGAAAAGGAATATTTGGATTACTGAGCTGCTCTTTTTTAACTCGTTTTCTTTTTTCCAACAGGGTGGATCTGGTTACTCAGGCGGCAGCAACGGTTGTGGACAAGTAAGTCCTCTTTCTCCACACTATCTGAAAACTAGACCTAGCTTTGTTTGTAGTAGTAACATATTTTCCAATAAGTTAGCTAATTTTTATTAGTTGAAATCTTTTGGTTTCATTCTTACATGGAATCTTCTAGCACAGAGATCAAGAAGCACTGATATTGTTGGTCATTGTAACCAAAATGAAGTGGCTTCTCACCATATAGTGTTACACACAAAAGATGGCCAAGTAATGTTTCATGTATCTTCTCAGTAAAGAGGCAAAAACTTTTCTTGGGAATGATTTTTGGATGTTGGCCCATTTACTTCCTACAGAAAGTGTTAAGATTAAAGAGTGGCTCCTATGGATTAAGAATTGCATTAGTAGTTTTCATCCTGGTTCCATTTCAACTTCTGTATGCCCACACAGTGTAAAGACAGTGTCTTCAATGCTGGGGGAATGGTTGGATTTGATGATTTTAAAGTTTTTTTTCCAACCAAGCTGCTTCTATGATTGTTGGGCAGTAGCCTTGCCTAAGATCTATGATGGGTGAATCTATTGTGATTCTGAAGTAGATGGTCACACAGCTGTAACTGTTGATTCCTAAATGGACTGTCCAAACCAACCCAACAAAACAATTTACCTTTAGCAATCAAGAGGAACTAGAATGATACCGAGAGTCTGTATCATTCAGCTGCCAGCCTACCTTGCTTTCCATATGGCACACAGTAGTCCTCCTTTGATCATATGTGTGCATATGTCTTGGTGCTTGTGACTATGTGGGTATGGGAGTGACAGAGGGTAAAGTCACAGACTTAAAGGGTTAAATGCAATTAAACTCACCCTCTGTAAAGTTTTATGTAGAGATTTATTCCATTAATTCTCACATAGAAGTTTGAAGAAAGCTGACTACTCTGCAAGAAAATGACAGTTGTGACATTTACCTTTTGGTTTATTTTTTAACAGGGGGTCTCCTATGACAGCAATCCCTGCCACCAGGTAAATGCTTTTCCTTCTCTGATTTTTAAGACACATTCAAAATCATTTTTGCCACTAACTCAATTGGAACCAGCTTCTGATTCATAGACTGTAAATCCATGTAATTTTACCAATTACGAGATTAGCACTTACTGTCTTCCTATACACAGGAATATCACATGGGCTTGGTGGCTGTTCTCCCCTTTTCCTAGCATTATGTCTGTGAAATGTCTAGCTCTATAGGATACTAAGGCCAGATTCTGGAAAGCTGAAACTTTTGGTGCTGGATCTCTAAAAAGCACTATCCTAAAAGATGTCTACTATGTTTAAAGAAACAATCTCTGTAAATGTTAGAAATTATGAAGAAAACAGCAATAGATGATCTGTTCTTTTTTTTTTTATTCACACTTCTCTTGATTCTTGCTGATTTTTCAGAAGAAATAGAAAAATGAGATCCATTCATTGTATTAGCAATCTAAATATATTGATAAATATACAAACAACATAAATGTTGCTATAATATGTGGTATGGAATATACAGTATTCACAATACACTGTACATAACTTGAAAGAATAATATATGATGTAGGTACATTAGTATGTTTTTTTATAATAGCTATTTTTTTAAATAAAGAAGAACTATTTCTTTCCAAGACTAAAGGCAACACTTAAATTTTGTACTAAAAACTGTTAGAACACTGACAGACAATACTTCTCATTTCATTTTCCTTTGCCTCTTCTGGATGACGTCTGAGCCCCATTTTAGTGACTGGCAAATATCCCACTCTTCAGTAGCTCAGGATCTCACTGTTCTTATGCACTTTTGTCACTAATGCTTCTACAAATATCTCTTTTGATTTCACTTGGAGAATTTACATCCCCCTTCTAAAGAGGGCATGTTGAAACATACCGAGTGCTTTATTTTAAACCTTTTCCTCAAGGCCACTGTATTTGACGTCTCACAGCTTTCTGTGTAATAATGCTACCAGGGGAATTTTTCATTCCAGTTGTAGAAGTTATGTTTTCCACAGAAGAAAAAAAGATACATTCTCTAGAGACTATTCAGAATGAAACTCATCTGTGTGCTAGGCATTACTTAAAGCTAAAAGTTTGTAGCTCCTTGGCATAGGTATTATGTAGAATTTACCTTTGCACTATTGGTGATCTATACTCACTACATTAGACATCATATCTGTATCGCATAGCTGCCTCTGCTCCTTACTCTTTCTTAGAAAGAATCATAGCTTTCATTAAAAATAAGCCATAGCCAACCAGCAAGTGTCAAAAGCACACCTATTTTTGTCTCATTTACAGGATGGATCACAGAGTGGTCAGGTAGGCAGCTCTTTATTATCCATCGGTAAAAACTTTTTAAGCAGGTCTAATCCAGAATACAGTTTCCTTGCTCATGAGGGTATAGACTCTTGCAGAGGTTCCCCAGCTCTAACCTGCATCTCACTCTCTTGAAAAGGAAGGGGTTTTCAGCCTAGAAATTCCATTTACATAGAAAGAATTCAGCAACCCGATAAAGCTGCTGGTCATATTCAGGTCTCTAGCATTACCTGTTGCTGTTTTGTTTTCACAGGGTGGATCATACTCCTTACAAACCTATGATGGTAGCCAAGTAAGTACTAGATTATTATTTCCTCCCACTGAGGTTTTACTTCACAGGTTCCAAAAGGGATTATCAATATCTGATTTACAACATTGTAATATTAATTCTATTTGTTTTTGTTGGCAGGGTGGATCACCATCCTCACAAAGTTATGGTGGCAACCAGGTAGGTAGACCTTGATTTTTCTCCTGGTAAGAACTTTTATCATATCTGATAAAGCTGTATAGATATCCAGAAAGTTGTATTTGCTCAAAGGAATCCCAGGTAATTCCAACTTTACAGCCCCCAAATAAAACCACAGTTTCTTCTGAAATAGGGTTTATATTTGTTTGTTTTTACAGGGTGGATCCTACTCACAAGGCTATTCAGGTGGCCAAGTAAGTAATGCTCTATTTCCCTACTTATTCATCGCTTCGTACAAGCTTTAGCCTCTACCCAAAATCAGGTTTCCCGTATTCTAATTTCTTCTGATTTCGGTTTGTTTGTTTTAAAGGGTGGATCCTACTCGCAAGGCTATTCAGGTGGCCAAGTAAGTAATGCTCTATTTCCCTACTTATTCATCGCTTCGTACAAGCTTTAGCCTCTACCCAAAATCAGGTTTACCGTATTCTAATTTCTTCTGATTTTGGTTTGTTTGTTTTAAAGGGTGGATCAGACACATATTACGATAATCAGGTAACTAATTCTTTCTGTCTTCTAGATATGTATTATTTTGTGCTAATCATTGTAGTCCCTGCATAATCTTTCTCAAAGATGTACTAGAACATAACAGTTTCTATGCTCTTTTTGGTTTGGATTGGTTTTGTTTTTTTCAGCATTCCCTGTAAGCAACTGTTGTATTTGGCTCCCTATTTTCCTTATAAAGGACTTAATTTAATTCAGCTTTCTGTTTGCACGTGCCTCAATTCTGTCTTGCAGAGTACAAAGTTTAGTTTTAACCATCCATTTTTGTGAGGAAATAACTGGTATTTAATGTCCTTCTAGGATTCACAAAGTTACTCAGACGATAATGCTTGTGATGATGTGAGTATGCTTTCTCTAGTATATTTTCATCAGAGTATTTTTCATGTAGATGGGAAAATATTGCACTGCTAGATGCGGCCTTGCAAGCAGAATAAACCAGAAAGAATGTTGATTTCCCACACTAATAGCATGTTTTCTTACTGAAAATTGTGTAAGTGTTGGCAGGTGCATTTTGTGCTTTTAAATGCATTTAACTTGGTGAACTGAAATACGGATAAAAAGACTTTGGTGCCTTTGCAGTAACGGAAAACTTCACTTAAAACCTAAGGATAAATTTTACAGTAGTGTTCAAAAAAAAAAAAAAAAAAGCAAGTCCCATAGACAAACTTTAACTGCATACTAGGAAAAAAAGAAGAGAGATACAGTGGCTATGAAAATCTTTTTCAGACTGAAACAGTAGGATTTCAGACTGATTTAAGCAAGGCTGTGGGGAATATGAGTAACAGAGTATTATTTATTTTTTATGTCTGTAAGCAGTAGCAGAAAGAATTGGGTTTCTATAAGCTTACTGTATTTAAATAACTCTTAAAGAATGAAATCATTTATTCTTTTCCAGAGTGACACCACCTATAGTGCCAATGTTCAGGTAAGTACCTTTTTCTTCTGTGGTATTCAAATTCTTATGATTAATGACAGTGTTAGTAACTGAGCACTTCAACATTAGTCCTGTGGGCCTCTGATTGTATAGTATGATTGCTTTATAGTACCCCTCAAAAGGTAGCTGAAGAAGGAAATATTTGATGTTATAGTTCTCTGTACTCAGTGCCTTCTAGCCCTTCTCAAGGCTGCTGGGCAATTATTTAAAACTCAACAGTAGTAACACAGGTTTTTTGTAGTATATACAGTTGACTGGATAGTTATTTGGGAGTTAACCATCTAGATAGGTGAGGCATGTAGCCATCCCAAGCTTTTTCCACTTGTCCTCATTTAAACTTAAATATCTGCTGGTGGTGTAAAGTAACATTCTGTCCTACAAGTAGAAACTGGTAACATGGGTTTTAACACGTTTCAGCCTCCTTTTGTTCTACTGCCATCTAGAGTAACTTTCTGTCATCTGCCGCTTACATTCAGTTGCCAGCCAGATACTTTACTGCTTCATTATTTTTCCTATTTTTCCTCTCTAGTATTTTAGTAACCTTCTGTCATCAGCCACTTACCTTCAGTTGCCAGCCAGATACTTCACTGCTTCATTATTTTCCCTATTTTTCCTCTCTAGTATTTTAGTACTGCCCAAAAAATGTACACTAGGAAGTAAGGAGGCCTTCTGAAAACCTCTTTTTCTTTGCCCTGAATGCATTGCATTAGGTTTTTGTTCTGCAAACAAAAATCGTTCAACAACAAACCCTCTTTGAGTCTCATCACCTCCTCCTTTGTTCACAAAAGATGTTATTATTCCCTTGGTTATCCCTATCCAGTGCATATTGCTGGATTTCATTGTAAAAGAGTTTGCTTCGAAACATTCTCACAAAGAAGGGGAGGGGATTTAAAGAAGAACAACAAATCTTTATACTGATGGCTTCTGAACCATTGTGTTTGAGCTCAGGGAGACTCCGCTCAGCAGGAACTTCTGCTGAAGGAGTGTGAGGGTGACAACAGAAAAAGAATATGCTTTTTAAGACTCTTGCTGGTAGTAAAATGATAGATCTGGACATTTGCTGTCTTGAAATATGCCACCTTGACAAGTTTAAGTAAATCTTTGCTGAAAGTATTTTGTGAATGGCTGCATCTATAAATAACTGGCTTCTGGCTCCTTTGCAGAGTTCTGGTTGTGCAAAGAAGAAAGTTCTTGTTGCCCGAGTAAGTAGCGTCTTTTCTTTTTTCTTTAAGGACAAATAGCTTGGCTATTTGCTCTTTGGATGAATTTATGTTTAAAAAAAAGGTATATATATGAATAAAAAGACATGAAATTCGTGCTGTGAGGTATAGAGCAGCTCAGATTCCTGTTTTTCAGGAAGCACATACAGAGTTGGTCCAAGCTAAAGTTAAAATCAAATGAGCGTCATAAAACCAGAGGACAGCTAAAATTTTAGCTGAAGAAATGTAGAATAGTGAAGTGAGAAAGAATAATATTTCTAATTAATAATGCTCAGCATGTTGTGGGGGAGATACAGATATGTGTATTGTATAGCTTCAAGTCAGACAAACAATGTGCAAATAGGCTTTAATTTTATAATAAGGCTTTCCTATTCTATGTATGAATTAAAAGGTCTGGAGTTGTTAGAAACACATAATAAGTAAAAAAAAAAAAAAAAAAAAAAAGGAGGCCTGTCACTGTTCATAGAGTTTTCATCTCCTCTTAGTAAATGTCTTTGGTTTTTACAGGATACCTCACATGTTTTGAGCAAAAGAGCCTACGATGCACAGGTAAACTATTCTTGTCACTTTTTCTGATGGTGTTACAGCTCCTTGGTGTAATTATCTACAAAAAGAAGAATAAGGATCTAGTTCCCACAACAGAGTATTCTGGTTAGGGTTAGGTAGTTTTTTCCCAGTAGAACTATGTATTTTCACTCATTACCCTTACAGAAAAATGAGTAATTTCTTGTTTCCTCACAGAATGAGTCTTCTACTTCAAATAGCAGCCACAGTAACCCCCAGGTAATAACAGTGTCTATTGCATGATATTGCAAAGACTTTTGTGAGAAATCTAATTTTCACTCCTGAAAATTAGATTTCACTCCCTGATCTGTGCTGAAGGATACTAGTTTGATTTGGCAGCATTTTCCCTATAATATTATGATTTTGCAGTTGTAAATAATTACAATGGGGCCAGAATATACTGTCTCCTCATTCCATCACTGAGCAGGTAAGCATTGCAGGTGTTTGTTTTGATAATATTTTGTAAAATTTGCTTGTAAAACACAAAAGAAACAGGTTTAGAATCCTTTTTTTTTAAACACTTATTTTTAGAGGCATTCCTGCTCTGGTGATGGTTGTGCTCAGATACATAATTCTGTTTCATTTATAATTTGGTAACAAGGTACATCTTAGTGATGGTGTACCTTCTGTTACAAAAGTAGGTCCAACTTTCCCATTGTGTAGACTTGCATTCTGCTGCAGTGGTCTGTATGTTACAGAATTATGTGAAATTGAACTGATCCAGAGTGACACCTAATTCTGTATTTCTTAATATTTTGTACTGTATTGGTACTCATCAGATTCCCAGAGATCTGGAATCCCACTGTACCCAACATTAGATGCAACACTAGCATAATCCTCTGTCTCTGAGACTTTGAAGCCTAATTCAATAGTACAGTCAGATCTCTGAGCTCCAGAGAGTAACAGTTTCCTTCATTAGTTTTCCTGATAGCCATTCCCTGTGTATCGTATCCAGTCACTAAGTTTCTTCCAAATTGATATTTTCACAAGGATTCATAGAGTTCTGAACAGATTCTGTTTGTTGGTTCAGGGAAATAACATAAAGTTTGTCTGTTTCTTCACGCTACATCATTTAATATATCTTAGATTCTGATAAAATGCTTCTATAAAAAATAATTGGATTCTTCACAGGGTGGATCATTTATTGCAACCCATGGATCAAGTCAGGTCAGGATTTTCGCTATTTTTATCTAGTTTTATCCAGATAGCTTGCTGGTAGTTGAAGTAATTAAATTCAGGAGTCAGCCTTTAAGTCCAGTCATTTGGCATGGGGGATTGGTGATGATATGCACTGAGTTATAACTGAAGTAACCCTGTTCAGATTAGATTTATCTGAAATGTCTCTCCAAAACCAGTTCGTAATACTGCTTCAATTTCACACATGGTTTATTGGTGAGAACACAATGATGATTCTCTGTACCCTTGACTACCCAGATAATTCTCTCTTGATGAGGCATCTGCAGGGACATAGCACGAGAGATGTAGTGTCAGCCTAGCATCCAAAGCAAATGTTAAAGGTACAGAGCTGTGCTGTCCCCTCATTTGTTCTAGATGTAGGAACGGTCACAGCTACTTTGTAGTCCCACAGGCTTTATTTCCCCAAACACAGTTTCACATCTGAAAATAAGGTATTCTTTTAAACTCCCACAATCAATAATTATTTCTTTTTTTTTTTAATTTATAGGGTGGTTGTGTTTGTCCTGATGGCAGCAGTGGTAGCAGACAGGTAATTCTTTTTCTGAGTTTACACTTTCATCTGCATAGTAAATTAATCGCCTAGTAAGTATGGACAGCACACTTACCAGTAATAGTATTGGGCAATGCTGAACAGTATGATGAGTTTCCTTAGTATGGATAGAATTATATACAATGAAAACATAGAATCATAGAATCATAGAATGGTTTGGGTTGAAGGGACCTTAAAGCTCATCCAGTCCCAACCCCCTGCAACGGGCAGCGACACCTCACACTAGAGCAGGTTGCTCCAAGCCCCTGCCTTGAACACTGCCAGGGATGGGGCAGCCGCAGCTTCTCTGGGCACCCTGTGCCAGTGCCTCAGCACCCTCACAGGGAAGAGCTTCTGCCTTAGATCTAACCTGAACTTCCCCTGTTTCAGTGTGAACCCATCACCCCTTGTCCTATCGCTGCAGTCCCTGATGAATGTGTCCCACTTTAACTGCATAGTTACCGTTTGGCCACTAACTTTTTGTAACTGTGCTTGGTACTCCACATGCTGTCAGTTGACTGCTATGTGCTCTTTCATAACTTTCAAAATCCAGAGTAAATATGCTCTGTAGTAGCCATAGAATATAATCCCATCCACTTTAGGTTTCTTGTCCTTCTCACAGATGCAATAAAATACTGTGACTAAAATGTCAAAATCTGATAAATATTTTGAAATATAGTCTCTTAAAACAATATTTAAACTATCTTTTCTCATGAAGAGCCATTGCAATTTCATGATCAGTGTCTCTGGATAAACTTCTCCTAGGCAGTGCTTTCCTGCCAGGATAAAGCCCAAGGAATGCAATTACATGGGCATTAGAGACTAGTTTTACCCAACTTCTGTCTTGAATTGCCCTACTTGGATTTTAAAGTCACCCGCGTTCTACCTAATAACAGTTTTTAAAGCTTCTCTCAAAGCTGCATTTACATACACCCATTTGAATGGTGTAATATTTTTGTAGGTTTCAAGTTCAACAAGAACCATATTCTGGGTTATTATTTCTATAAAAAAGCATGCTTTATTTAAACACACTAATTGTGTAAAGAAATTACTGCTTCCTGATCTGAACTGTCATTAACTTTAGCATAGAGTGATAGTAATTTTGGCCAGGTAATACCGCCTCTTCCCTGTAATTGAGACTGAGCAGCAATCATGACCTACGTGTTTTAAAATAGAGACTTTTCTATTGAAATACTTAATATTGAAGCTTCATCAAGGAAAAGCTTTGTTGTGTCGTGTGATCGTAATGCTATGTAAGCAAATCCATTTACAAGGGGAAAGGTGGACATCTTTCATTCTAATAGTCTAATAGGGCCGCCTTCTTTGCGTGCTGAAATAGTCAAAGCTATGCATATTTAAACCATCTTGTGTCAAAGGAAGCAATGGGTTTGCCTTATGTGGATCCTCAGATTCCTCGCTCTGCAATTATTCCATTTTTTCTCTAAACCTCATCTAAAGAGCTCAGTCTACAAGTAGACTCTGAGGAAGCAGTCTAGCCATAGAATAATACTTCATCTATTTTGCATATAAAGGGGATGTGGCAGTAATAATGGATGTTACGTACCGGTAAATATTCTTCTCCTTTAAGTGAGCTGAAAAATCTGCTCTCCTAAAGCCTATTTACAGTTTTTTCAAAACATGATCAGGGTCATGACCATCTGTGACAATACAGGGTCTGCCAGGTTTGACATCGGACTCCTGGATTAGAAAGGGTAAAATGAAAAGTAACTAGTACTTTGAGATTTTCTAACCTGAATGAGAAAGTACGTGGTAAAGGTTTTTTTATCTCTAACAAAAATAGCCAGCATTCTCTTCTAATGATTTCAGTAGTGTCCTCTTTGAAAGCTGTATTTTGAAAGAACTAAAACTCAGAAATGGACTCACTTAAATGTCTGTTTGCAAATAAATAGCTAGTGTGTTTTCATTGCAGGGAGCCCCAGGTTCTTCACACAGCACATATTCTGGTAACCAGGTAAACGTGCAGATAAATTGCCCTGTTCAGAAGCTCCATATAAAACGTTCCCTGAAGAAGTAGCCAAATATAAAGCATTAACCCATTCTGTCTTCTGCACAGGGAGGGCCTTCCTTCTATCCTGGAGGATCCTATGGACAGGTAGCTGTTCTTCCTCCCTTACCAGGATAACACAGACTCCCATCATTCTGGTTCCTCCACTCCTGATACTGTGGGTGCTGTGACTTGCTATGATACAGTTGTCTCAGAGCAGAAAACTTGCATTAACCCTGCTGTAACCTAGTGGTGTGAGGTTTGACAGAGAACAGCACAGAAAGGAATCTGCAGGTTCCTAGCAGAATTCAGATTTAGCAGGCTAAGAATGTTACCACCAGAAGATTTCTTCCACTTAAACACTATTGGACTTGATTTTTACATAGGTACATAAAAGTTAGCTCAAAACTAAGAGAAAGGGTATAGCTGAGAACCAGATATGCTGGTATTTAAATACTCATCTTGTCTGCAAGAAAATAGCTTGTCTGTATTGTCTTTTCAGGGCAGCCAGGGTTCTTCCTATGGCTCTTACTCCGGTAACCAGGTAAGTCTTGTGATCATCTGTGCCTGCACAGGAGCAGCCTAAAAGTCCTCCTTGAGAGACCGTTTCAACTACAAACCAGTAATTCTTACTGTTTTCCCTACAGGGTGGGTCTTCCTTCTATCATGGTGGATCTTATGGACAGGTGAGTGTTCCTCTTCATTTGAAAAGGTAACGGAGGCTTCTGTTATTCCCATTCCTGCACTCCCCATACAGCGGCTGTTGTGAAATGTAACACCCAAGAACTGAATTGACCAGTTGTAATTTGCACCATGAAGTCTATCAGAGGAAAATATTAAATTGTGTTTACGACTTCCATGAAATGATCTTTCATCCAGCTAAGAAAATCAGTGATAACAAGATCTTTGTTCTTTGACCATATTGGCCTCAAAAGTGAGAGTCAGGTCCATTGCTATTTACACGATCCTGTTTGCAAAAAAATAGCCAGTCTGTGTTTTCATTTCAGGGAGCCCCAGGTTCTTCACACAGCACATATTCTGGTAACCAGGTAAACGTGCAGATAAATTGCCCTGTTCAGAAGCTCCATATAAAACGTTCCCTGAAGAAGCAGCCAAATATAAAGCATTAACCCATTCTGTCTTCTGCACAGGGAGGGCCTTCCTTCTATCCTGGAAGATCCTATGGACAGGTAGCTGTTCTTCCTCCCTTACCAGGATAACACAGACTCCCATCATTCTGGTTCCTCCACTCCTGATACTGTGGGTGCTGTGACTTGCTATGATACAGTTGTCTCAGAGCAGAAAACTTGCATTAACCCTGCTGTAACCTAGTGGTGTGAGGTTTGACAGAGAACAGCACAGAAAGGAATCTGCAGGTTCCTAGCAGAATTCAGATTTAGCAGGCTAAGAATGTTACCACCAGAAGATTTCTTCCACTTAAACACTATTGGACTTGATTTTTACATAGGTACATAAAAGTTAGCTCAAAACTAAGAGAAAGAGTATAGCGGAGAACCAGATATGCTGGTATTTAAATACTCATCTTGTCTGCAAGAAAATAGCTTGTCTGTATTTTCCTTTCAGGACGGCCAAGACTCTTCCTACAGCTCTTACTCTGGTAACCAGGTAAATCTTGTGGTCACTTGTGCCTGCACAGGAGCAGCCTAAAAGTCCTCCTTCAAAGACCATTTCAACTACAAACCAGTAATTTTTAATGTTTTCTCTACAGGGTGGGTCTTCCTTCTCTCCTGGTGTATCTTATGGACAGGTGAGTGTTCCTCCTCATTTGAAAAGATAACGGAGGCTTCTGTTATTCTCATTCCTAAACTACCCTTTGAAAGAAGGAATACTTTTTCTTGAGGGAGCCAAAATAATAAACGTGGTTTTATTTTCTGTACAGGGTGGGTCTTCTGCCTATGACAGCAGTGGTGAATCCTATGGTCAGGTAAGTAACGTGGTTTTCTGTGTAAAAAGGGTGCTGAGGACTCCTATATACAGCTGTATTCTGTATTTTGGCTCTTCATTTTAATGAACATGGTTTTTTTCTTTGTGGAGTGAAGATTACATCTACTTTTAACTAAGTAACCTTAAAATTTATGCAGGAGTAAAAAGTGGGATGCCTCCAACCATTAAGGCTTGTTCTTCTCAACAAAAGTAGCTTTGAATCATCTGCAAGGTGAAAGTCTCTCCAAAAGTAGAAATAGAATTTGAGTTTAAAGGATGCTAAAGGAGTGCTTTACAGGGACATGAGTTGCTCAGTAGCCATTCTGATCAAGTAATATTCACCTTTTTTAAATATCCCTACAATAAGCATTAAAATATTTTCTTTTTCCTTTTAACAAAATAAAAAGAAACAAGTCTGTTTGCAATATGAAAATGATTTATGTGTTCTGAACAGGGTGGATCTTCCACATACAGTGGTGCTGGATCTTATGGTCAGGTAAATGTTATTTGTCTCATACATCAAAAGCTCAAGCTCACTGTGTTGGTTCTTCTGTGCACTGGGTTCTATATCTCAGTTATTTTGAAGTGATGCCCATTTTACTTTTTGCTTGTCTCTCCTGTGTTTACCCTTTTACCACTCCAAATGTTTCCATAATGGAGGGGTTGTGATGCACTATAAATACTCTCTTGCTGACTGTGCCACTGTGACTGTTCAATGCTTTAACTATTGCCCAGGGAGGTTGTGAATGCTCCATCCCTGGCAGTGTTCAAGGCCAGGTTGGACGAGGCTGTGGGTGATATGATTTAGCGTAAGGTGTCCCTGCCCATGGCAGGGGAGTTGGAACTAGATGATCTTAAGGTCCTTTCCAACCCTAATGATTCTATAATTCTATTTGATCGTTTATGCATCAGCTCATTCGTGAATAAGATGTTTTGTGCATTTTCTTTACCTCTGCAGAAGCTGTTCCAAGTCTAGGGGCAGGCACAAGCTATATTTGAAGTCTATATTTATGAATGTGAATGTCATTGGGGGATCATTCTGTTGAGACTATCTTATGTTTTGTTTAGCAACACATTTTAACTAGCCCAAGTCATACCTAATTATTTATTAAAACTAAGAAGACATATAATCCCAATTTTTTCATAGCTGTGCTGCTACTTCTAGAGCAGGTTCTAGAAATAAAGCATGGATAGTGGGATTTCTGAATATAAAGAATGGTTAATTTTGCAAATCAACTTTATACAAAATTTTTCCTTGTAAAAACACACATTTGCAGGGAGAGTTGGGATTTTTTAACCTCTTTTGCTTAAGCAACAGGTGAAGTTACATATTTGTTTCTTTTCTTGTGCATTCACTGGCTTAGGTACAGTAGGAAATTCTAAGTGGCTGCTTATTCTTATTCTTCTATTTTATATCATTCACCAGCAAGGTCATGTGAGAGTCCTTTTTATATGAAAAGAAATGTTTTTTCTTTATTTTACAGGATTCGTCTTCCATAGGAGGCAGTGACAGTGACAATGTAAGCATTTCTTCTCAAGCATAGCAATATCAGCATTTGCTACCTTTTTAAGTATCTAGGTGATTTCCCGGACCTTTACCTTATCTCATCATCTTATCTTCAAGAGCTCCTTCCCAGTACATTCTAATCTTCTGTGTTGGTTAGTAGTTTTCTGCAATAACTTGCTTGAAATGTTGGGTTTTTATTCTAGGGATAAAGGAAAGCATAGATTTAAATTATGTCACATTATTGTGCTGTGGTATGGTAAGGACTTGGCAAATTAAAACTCCATTTACAACAGTTCTGACTTGCAGCTGTCAAGATTTCTTGGAAGTCTTTATTAGAAGTAGCATTTACAAAGGAAGCTCTTTTTTCTTTATTTCAGGATTTCCATTGAAACTCAGTGTATGCTCAAGGTATACAGAACCAGAGACTTACAGCAATTTAATTGGGCTACTTTTTCACTGACTAAATTTAATAATACTGATTTAACTACAAGAGCAGCATTATCGATATGTCAGATCAGCCATTCTTGTTCTTAAGGGTTATATTTTGTGATTTATTTCCTCAAGAGCGTATGCCATTTGTGTTTACTATTCTGGACTCTCAACAATTCCCACAGATTAAGACTTTCAAATGCAATTGCTCTTGAAGTCCAGATTTATTTAAAAACTCAATTTTTCCTTGGTGTTTTTGTTTGTTTTTTTCTTTACCCTTAAGCATTTTCTCATTTTATTTTATTCTTTTTCTACAATACAACTTCCCTTCTCAATCCTGCACAGACTAGTTCCTGCTCTTGCCATCTCCAAGTCACATTTCATTTGTGTTTTTCTAACGCTGGATATATAAGATTCAAGTTCCTGCATCTATATATTGCATAGGAATGGTCTCTTTCCATGGAGTGTGGTGACAACTGCTTGCTTTTCTGCTTAAGAACATGCCTGTCCTCCTGACTAGAGTATATTTCCTATTTATTCTGGTGGAACTGTTAATACAACTTTGTAGGTTTCGTGTCTCATTTTCTCACAGTTTAACTGGATCTCTAACGACTGTTTTCCAGTATCCTGCTTAGCAGGAAATTGTTCTGTAAAAATTCAGCTGTGCATGTCAGCCACAAGTATAGTATGTCATTAGTTTCCACAGTTTCTGTATCAAAATCTTCTTGTGGATATTCAACAAAGCTAAAATATGATATCACAGAGGGCCCCAAGGCCTTCTGAAGGAAACAATGGTATGAAAGAAACTAAGGTACATCAACATTGGTGTGTTCCACTGAGCTCTTACAGGAACCAAGACAGCATTTAAAGTGCTGCTGTTTTCGACTATAGCATTCTAAGAGGAAATAACATAGTTTGAGATGTGATCTCATTCTTTTGTTAATGCTATATGAGGATTTAGCTTGCCAAAGAAATGCCATTCTCCAGAAATGAGCAGAGAAAGAACTTGAAAAAATACTGCTTACCCTACAGCCTACATCTTTAACCTTCCCAGCAAGCAGTGGTATTCCTTGCCTTCCACCCTTGCTTAGAAAAAAAGGGAACTATTTGCTGTGCAGTAACTAGATTCTAACCTCTTTTAGGGCTCCAGCTCACTATCTGGCAGCCAGCAGAATGAACGGGTAAGTACTTCTTCCTTACATGTTGCCAGGGTGTATGCCCCAGGGCCTGGCAACTCCTAGCCACCTAAATTACAGCTTGTGTGGAAGCTGTCATAGCAGCTTCCAGTGTGGGACAGAAAAGTCCCACAAGCACAGAGGGAATGAGGATATGGCTAAAGTACTGCTAGAAATCCCAGGTGATGCTGAGGTGTACTCTTGAATCTCTAACATTACAAACCACAGTAACACAATTTACTTGTTCAGGTTCCTGCACTTTTTTACTCATTACCTGGCTGCAGAAGGCTTCAATACCATGATTTGTCCAACATTATTTAAGTATAACCCTTTGCTGTAATGTGCTGTATTACTCAGTTCTGAAGGCTTCCATTTTCCTGTCCTTCATACATGGCACGCATTTTATTTATTCTAATGAGAATTAATTGACACAGACTGAGAAATTACTTTGTTGGAGATATAAGAACTCTTTAATCATTGCATTCAAAAGAATATCTTTCACTAAAGGAGCAATTGTCAACAGGCATAAAGGAACATGTGCTGTGTTAAACAGAAAGACTTTTGTTGTTGTTCTTAAACAATACATAAGAGAAAATTAAGGAATGTGGAGAAATTCAGCTTCCATCCTGATCTTTCCAGGTTTGGGGGTTTTGGGATTTTTTTTCATGTAATTTCAATGCATTTTTCCAGGATTTTTATTCCCCAGGAGGCAGCCAGTCAGGTGGACATGTAAGCATCTATTTTATTCCTTATTTGCAGTTCCCTTCCAATAGAACATGGCTGTTCTATTTCGATTGTCCTGATGAGTAAATGATACCCAACTGTTTATCTCCTAGAATTTCTCATGACATCTGGCATCATGTCTTGTAAAAACAAATGGCAAACTGTTTTTAAAAGAATAATGATTGAAAGATTAAAGAAATGTGTGTAAGACACAACGTAGTCTTGTTTTCCAAAAACTATTGGAAACAAAAATAAATTGGGTCTACTTTTTGCAGGGCTCATCCTCTCAAAGTGGTGGCTACTCCAGTGGACAGGTAAATACTTGACCCCAAGTATCTGTTATACAAAAGCTTGAGCCCCCATATTGTACTACAGCAATCTTTTATCTGGGAGCAAGATTCATTTGGTACTCAAACACCTTATCCTTATGTATCTCTATGTAAAAGTCCAAGTGTAAGCAGAGTGGTCAAAACACTATTCATCTATCAACTGATGTCCTAACACCAGGAAACAAGTGAAAATAAGAAATATTTGATATTAATTTCTATTGTTAACTATTAATTAAGTTATTTTTATATTTTTCAGGACTCCTCCTCATCTGGAAGCAGCCAGTATGGTGGGCAGGTGGGAAATGTCTCTTCATTGTTGGCTTGGTTTTGGTTAAGGGGTTTGGGGTTGTTTGTTTTTTTTTGGGGGGGGGGGAGGGTGGGGTGTTGGGTATTGGTTGGTAGGGTTTTTTTTTGTGGGTTTTGTTTGAGGTTTGGAGGTTTTTGTTTAATTGTTTTTCCCCCAATGTACACATATCAAGAAAATATGACCAGATTGGCAGTACCTAAAGTTCCAGACTACTGTGGGGTTTTTTATCCTCATTAATCTTTCTATAGATAAAACTAGGTTAGTAACCAGATAGATCTCTTCAAACAAACTTTAGAGAGTAAAAGACAATTGGTGGTAAATCAAACGTACATGTCAAACTTAAAGAAAGTCTTTTAAATGAAAATATAACATTTACAGGGTTCAAGTTCTTCAGGAGGCAGCCAGTATGGTGGACAGGTATGCTTCCCTTTCTCCACACAGTTCAGTTGTGCTTGTGGCAGGCACTCATGATTTACTTTGCCTTTCGTACATGAGAACTATGTTCTGCCAACACTGTCCTTTCTGCCTAAAGCCTCAGCAATGTCATATTCTTTTTCCATGTCATTCAGACATCCTGCAGGCCAGAGTCACCAGTACTGACTGAGTGGCAGTTGTACTGGAACTTCTACCCCTGCTTTGTTGCTATATATTTTTAGTTCTTACCCATTTCACGCAGATTGAATGTGGGAAGTGAGGCACTGAATGGTGAACTCCTGGCCACCTCTCACTTAGGCTTATCGGAGTAGAAATCACATGTTTCTGTATGGAAAAAAAATTGCCCTCTGTAGTATGACTTCGAATGTTTTACTTGTGCTTTTAGTGAGTAAGGTTTTGAAGGTAAAGACTGTAGATAACAAATTAGAAGATAATTATTTTAGAAGATTTTTTTCTCATCAAAGCAGTAAGGACAGGAATAGTTGCATAGGATGAAGAGAACAGAAAACAGCCTAGTTTCTAGAAGATGGGAACTTGGACAATTATAAATGTACCTGGGATGATAGCAAAAGTCATCTGAGTTGTAACTGAGGTCCCTCTCAGTCCTGTGCTCCTGATAAATATTTTCTTCATTCTTTACAGGGTGGATGTGATTGTTCTGGGACAAGTTCTGTAAGTGTTTTTTTTAATTATTTATTTTCTTTTACTAAATTATTTAACTGGAAAATTATCTGTGGCCCTATTTATGTCTACGTTACTTATTTGAATGTACTCTTAATTTTATAGTCATTGCTCCTTTGGTGACTTATATATTACTGACATAGTAGGAGTTACTTCTCATTATGCCAAGATGAAGAATGAGGAATTACAGAATCATTCAGGTTGGAAAAGACCTTTAAGATCATCAAGTGCAGCCATAAACCTAACACTGCCAAGGCCACCACTAACCCATGGCACTGAGGCCTCGTCTCCACGGTGTGTGAACACTTGCAGGGACGGTGACTCCAGCCCTGCCCTGGGCAGCCTGTTCCAATGCCTGAGCACCCTCTGGGGAAGGAATTGTTCCTCAGCTCCATCTAAACCTCCCCTGGTGCAGCTTGAGGCCGTTTCCTCTTGTCCCATCCCTTGTTCCTTGGGGGCAGAGCCCAGCCCCTCCTGGCTCCATCCTCCTGTCAGGCAGTTGTAGGGAGCGATAAGGTCCCCCCTGAGCCTTCTCTTCTCCAGACTGAACCCCCCAGGTCCCTCAGCTGTTCCCCATCACACTTGTGCTCCAGGCCCTGCACCAGCTCTGCTGCCCTTCTCTGGCCCCACACCAGCACCTCAATGTCTCTCTTGTAGTGAGGGCCTCGGAGCTGGACATAGGATTCGAGATGCAGCATCACCAGCGCCCAGTGCAGGGGGACAGATTGCATTAAACAGCAGAATTAACTGACAAAAGATCTATCATGTAGGAAAGTTAAAATAATATCAAATGTATAAAATTGCCAAGCATTCAGAGTTGTCTTAGAAATCAATGTTTACCAAATTTAAAAAACAAAAACAGAACAACAAAACACAGCCAAAAAACCTGAGCCACTTCTCATTTGTGCTTTTAACTCCATATGAAATTATTTAGGCTGTGGTCCATCAATATCTAGTATGTAAAGGACATTCCTGCACTTTGGGTAGCATTTTTATTCATTATGCAATGAGTTATGGGTAGATACAAATGATTCTTTGTGACACATGGTCTTCCAGGCCAAAAAGGACTATTTGCTATCTTGGCAAATTAAGAAACGTAAGTGAAGTGTAAGTGTAATTTAATTGCAGGCCGGGGTATTCCTCCTTTCCAATGCCACAGAACAGCCATTCTAAGGTTTTATTTCATTTTTAGTTTATGATCAAAGACAAAGGCTTTTTTTTTTCTTTTTCTCCCCATCCCACCTCCCCCTTACAGGGTGGATCCCCTACCTTAGTCAGGAGTGATACCTCTGCAAATGTAAGCAATATTCATCAGCTTTTCAGTGTGCCCTGGTTTTGTTTTGTCAATATAATGGATAGAGAGGTTAAAAAGTGTCAGTACCTAATAAAAGTCACAAACTTTTGTAAAAAACCTTCCTCAGTTACAATTAAAAGTACACACAGGACATTCATGCAATGCTCACAGTTTCTCTTTCCATCTGAAATGGTATTCATTCAAAGAGGAGTCTTTGAATGAAAATGCTGTTTGGCACAAACACAGGTACATAACAATATTTTGGGTATTAGTTTCATTGGCTTCCTTGGCATTATGTCAAAATATCCCTAAGGGCATGGATTTATGTGTTTATATTCTTCTTAGATAATTTACCACAAGAAAGATTAGTGTTCATAGATAGGAATTTTAATTTATCCTGCATGGGTATCTATCTTCTCTTTTGCATGGATATTTATCTCTTTTGCAGGAGAGACCTGTTTAGAGCATTCCCAAGGCCAGTTCTGTTCATCATGTGTTAGGAAGTTATGCAGCGTATGTCACTGGAGCTCTGTGTGTACTGCACTAAAGAGAGAAAAACTATTTGGGTCTTTTTGTACCTGCTACAGAGCTCTGCGGCATTGTTACCATTGTTGCCAGGAGTGGCATGAACTAATAGATACCAGGCTGGCTTGGACACAGCTTTCTGTCCAGACAAAAAACAGTATTACATGATAAACAGGACTGCTGCCTTGAAGGAAAGAGGAATGTGTCAAGAAAATATTTTTACCCACCTGTGTTCTACATACCTCATATTATTGGTGCTGGGATTTGTTTCCTTTGAAACTTCCAGTTGGGACTGGGTTTTTTTTGTTGTGCTTTTACTGGCTTGGCTATCTTTGGACAGCAGTTTGTAATCAGGGATATTGTGCATAGATTGAGGGAACGAAGTTATTATGTCTACACCAATAAGTACTGCAACCTGCTAGGACTGTTTCACCTTACAGAGTGAAACAGCCAGTGCTGATGAATTGATGGCCACACTGTACACATTTCAGGAAGGGTTTGCTCTGGTCTGATCCCATGGATCAAAAGTCCATTTGCTACATGAACGCACTAAGTATTACCCTAGAAAGCATTCTACAATTTAGGTTAACCTAAAAAGTATCCAGTTAATTCATTCCAAGACTCGGTGTTGTTTGTTTTGCATCATGGAGTGGGGACTATCTCAAAGCACACAACTGATCTCTATTTTAATGCACCCAACACCTCAGCATGGGAGAATGGCTTTTGCGTACTGAATGTAGATCCTGGTTCTCCCCCAACTCTATGTTCTAGTCCACCTCAGAACATTGTCTTTAATATCTTCTTCAGAGGCCAATTGAAAAGCCATTTTACACAGTTACAATTCCCAACGAAGGCCACATTTCTGATAGATGCTTAACGTTATGTACTAAATGCAAACCAGTTTCATTTCTTTATGAGCTTAGCAGCTCTTGTGGAAGCTCAGAGTACTCAAAAGCTCTGTGGGACTCTGCAAGAATGAACTTTAAAAGCTTTTTGTGGAGACGTCATTCTTCAGTGTGCTGATTTTAAACAGAAAGAAAGAAGCTGCCTGTCCTTCAGTCAGATCCTTTAAAGTGAAACAACAGGTATTTCCTTTCTGAAAGGTCTCTGGAGGCATATATCGTGATGGACAGGTGCAGAGTAAATTTGAGCTGTATTCACAAAGTAGGGAAGGCTGGATTTTCTATTTTGAGTAGATTTTAAACCCAAGCAAATTAAAATTAAAATAGGGATGTATAAACTGCTGTCTTTCAAGAAATTTTGCTTTGAAATAGTTCTGTTGTTAGAGAAAAGTAACCAGTTTCTCTGCTTTTCTTTCTTTTTTTCTTTTTCTTTATTTTTTTCCCTCCCCAGGGCTCATCTTCTTCTGGAGGCAGCCAGTACAGTGGCCAAGTAAGTACTCATTCCAACAGGAGAGCCAGCTTGTGATGGTTGTTCACAAACTCAATTCAGTTCAGTTTTTATATGGGTACTATGTTTAAAGAGCAAAAACTCAGTAAATGAAATTCAGCATAGAATTCAATATGTCCCAAAGATTATACATTATGGCTTTTTTAGTAAATAGTGCCCTTGTTTTTGTAAGACTTGCATAATGAAGCTCACACAAAACCCAGGTGTGGGTAAAGAACAAATCAAAATGTAGCATTTTTGATTCCTAGTGGACCTAATTCCATTAAGAAGAATAACAGTTCCAATCTCCCCTCTTCAAAGAGACGTCTTGTTGTATGAACTTGTATGTCCAGTGAACTTGCCTATTTTGGTTTTCAGAGACCTGTTGGGCAATTTTTACTGATAGCTTTGGCCCAGGATTCAGCTTTCCAAGTAGAGAAATGCCATTCTCCTGAAATGAGCAGAGAAAACACTTGAAAGAATGCTGCTTTAATCTTCCCAGCAAGTCATACACAAACAGAGCAGCAGGGGTTTTGTCTTCCACCCTTGCTTAGGAACTTGGGTATTCTCCCACGGTACCTTGTAAGGTTTGAACTCTAGTTATTAAATCATACTGAAAGTCCTGCTCCTTTGCTTCTGTTGCCCTGGAAAAGGGCAATCACGTTTTGATTTAAGGAAACCCTACAGCAGATAACTCACTTATTTGGTACCTTTTACAGGACTCGTATTCCTCTGGAGCTAGCCAGTATGGTGGACAGGTAAGCTCTTCCTTTCATACTTGATGTGATATATTTGTTTGACCGTTATTTGACTCTTGTCAAGTAAAGGATTACCCAGATAGCTATCTCAGTATTCCAAGAAACTTCATAATGATCTATTCTCTGTAGTAGTATTGTGAATTCAAGAAATACAAAGATACAGAGTTTATTCTGGGAAGATTACAGTCAAATAACAAAATACAGATGTCTTTGACACTCATCTCCATGAATGAGGTATTCAGAAATAATTGGTTTTCAATATTTTTCCAGGGGGCATCTTCTTATGGAGGCAGCCAGTACGGAGGACAGGTAAGCACTGATAGTCCCCACTTTTGTTTCTGACCTATGCAAACTTGTAGTTTATTTATTGTCTATCTGACTGTCAACCTTAGCTTGACTCATCTTAGTCTAAAATCTTCTCAATAAATCTTTGTAGCATTCTGTGCTACTATGATTAAACTAAACAAGCTCAGATAAAGAGCATTATTTAAGACTAAAAATAGAATGTGAAATACATGATTGACTCAATTGGCTCTTGAAATTTTCAGGATTAGAGGTCCTGTCTTTCAAAAATAAACTCATGAGGCTGACCAAAACTTTTCAAAGCCTCATGAATTGATTCTATGATTCCGTGAAATGGGTGTAAAAAAGTTTCAGTTCCCTTTTTGTTGATATTTAGGGTTCACCTTATTCAGGAGGCAGCCAGTATGGTGGACAGGTGAGAATCCTTTCCTTGTAGTGTCTACTACTTTATCCAAGAGACTTGATACTTATCTGTGTAAAAGAACATTTTAAGGAGGTTGAGGTTTTTTCCCCCTCATGTTTTATTTAATGTGTTGCTAAACATATAGTAGTTATAAATGTAAGTGATACAAAGCCCCAGGAGAGCTTTTAGGAGATGTAATTTCTGATGCATCATAGTAAATGCAGATGAGTCTCACTCCTTTTTCACTGTCTGGTTCAGTCTACTCAGTTTTGCACTGAAGGAATTGGGTATCTCTCCTTCATATGGAGTACTGTTTAAAGGAGCACTATGACATGGATATAGAGATTATTAAATTCTATTTGTTCAGGGTTCATCTTATTCAGGAGGCAGCAGCCAGTATGGAGGACAGGTAAGAATCTCTTCCCGTGTAGTCCTTATTCTAACACCTATCTTCTACATCAAAACTTGGTACTTTTCTGTGGACTGAAAAAAATTGTGTTTTGAATAAAATTGGGTAATAGATGATCAAGTATCTAAAGATATGTGATGTGAAACAATATAGAACCTATGAAGGCCCAGTACTTCTGTTGTATCACAGTCAATGCAGCTCTGGCTTTGTTTCGCCCTCCCACATGCCCTCCTCATTCTAGATCTGTTTCCCTTCTGCTGCTGTTAGGGATTCTTACCTCTAACAGTAAAGGGTGGCTGGATGCAGACTGCATTCCTTCTCTACCTCAATCTATGGAATACCTCATCCCTTCAGCAAAATGCTGTATCAGAGTTGATACCAGAGAAGCAGTATGTCTCACCAAGTGAATGGGGAGAAAGTCAGGATTTCCCAAGAGGTGTTCCATGTCCTTGTGAAATGAAAGATGATGGAAAGGTTCCTGGTGCTGCCTAATGGTATAGCCTTTACTATGGTGTAAAGTCCCCAACAAACTCATCCTTAGCCTCTGAAAACATTCATTGTCTGATTTATTGGAGAGGAAATCAGAGGAGACATTTTCAGTCCATATACAGTCTCCTGAAACTAGGTATATAATCCCAATAGCTCATGATCAGTATTCTGGATGATTCACCTGTTACAGACTATCTCTAATTTGCACAGAAAACATACAGGGATAGGTTGGGTGTTTATCTTTCTGTAATCCTTCATTGTATAGCAGAGAAAGAAATAATCTTTCTTTCAAAAACCCTTAAAAAAGCTTTTTAATAGAGAAATAATTGGCACCTTTTCTTCAGGGTCCATCTTCCTATGGTGGCAGCCAGTACGGAGGACAGGGACAGGTGAGAATTGTTTTTTCTGTTTTTTTTTTTTAAGTTGTTCATGTTTCTCTCTGGGTTTTTTGGGGTGAAAACCAGAACATTTTGTAAAGGGGTGGCTTACAGCAAAGCAGTGTTTAGGCAGAATACATGAAGTTACGACCTTCTGCTGTGTCAGCCCACTCAGGAAAGTCAGCCTGAAGCTGACTCTGATTTAAACTTTACTCTTCTGTTTAAACAGTAGCCATTGTAAAAGCTACTAGATTTCAGTGTGGTTAGAAAGGAAGTGTTGGCATTCCTGTGATGCTTAAATCCATGGAAGAAAATAAAAGTGTGTTTTTCCATGCCAGGTCATACTTAAGTTAAAGAATGTGCTCCAAATGTAAATTCTTTCCCACTTTTTTAGGGTGCTTCGTCAGGAAGCAGCCAGTACGGTGGACAGGTAAAGCTTCTACTTTCATAGTATTTGCAGTTTCAGGACACAATTCATTTGGAAAACTGATTCATGGTTTTTGCAAAAAAAGGAACATTTTAAGAAAGAATAGCTTTAAGCCAAACGGATTGAGGATTGCCAAGTATGGGTCTGTCTGCTACGTCAGATCATGATGTGAGCAAATGAAACAGGGACGTGTGTGACTGCAGGGAAATGCTTCCTCAAACAACCTGTGGTTCTGAGAAGCCCATTTTTGTTGTTATGTTTAAACAGAAGTGATTTGAAAGTCTAAGCACCACAGAGAACAAGTGAGAATGTTACTCATTAACACAGAAATAATCAGTTACTCCTTTTCTCCAGGGCTCTTCAGGAGGCAGCCAGGACAGTGGACAGGTACACTTTCTTTTCTCCACACAGTTCAGTTGTCCTAGTGGCAGGCACTCACAATTTACTTTGCCTATCTTTCCTTCACAACAACTGTGTGCTGCCAACACTGTCCTTACCCATTTCATGCAGAATGAATGTGGAAAGTGAGACACTGAATGGTGAACTCCCGGCCACTTCTCAGTTTTATCACCTAGTAAGCCTCCACTGGAAGTGATGTGTAGTGTTTCCTGTAACATCTGTAGCATGAAAGAGTGCTGCGTATATTCCAGGTGCTCTGGCCTCTTACTCTTTCAGTGGGTAAGGATTTTACTGCAAGTTTTAAATGAGAAATTAGAAGACTCTATTTAAAACTTTGATCAGTAGGTACACAGCTAGCCTGAAAGGATGGTAAAGAAAGAAACTCCTTTTTAAATGGAGTTTGGTGAGTCTATGAGCAGGAGTTTGGAGTCCGTTTTCTTGCAGTAGCAGAATGTGAGTTTGATTTACTAATTCAGAGGCTTCCTTCAGTCATAGACTCAGGAAAATAAGTTTGGCTGTTTTTTATGCAGGGTGGATGTGTGTGCCCCGGTGGAAGTACAGTAAGTATTCATTGGTTTTCTATATTGTTCATAGGATGTAATTCCCAAGGAACTGCATTTCTTGAAATCATTCTGACTGTGAATTTATATGTATGATGAAGTTTTTTTCACATTGTGCTAAAATGAGGAGTTTTGAACCTGCTAAGAACAAAAATACAAAGTGACTTGCAACTGTTCCTGTATTCAAAATTAGCCACCCAGACACACTTCTGTTTTCAAGGAAATACGTGGGAAATAAATTACCCTTTCCCCACCCTGGATTAAACAAGTAGTAATACTCCTGGTATCTGTTTTTAATACTATGAATAGTGCTAACTCTGTAAAATATTCAGACATGAAAAACTGCTTCAAAGCTTTTATTTCTTTTGTTTTGTAAGAGATACCTGGAACTTTGTTAAGAATCTGTTTCCCAGGTGTCTCATAGTATATCCGCTGAGGTTTGGACATGTGTGTGTAATAGTGCTCTTCTTATGATGGTTATTACCAGTATGATTGAGCTAGAGAAACTCAGTTCTAAAATCTTGGCCCAAAATAGCAGAGCTGTACATTTAAAAAGTTAAAGCTGTTTCCATTATTCTGTCTAATGGGTATATTCCCTGTACTCGGGTAAATACTTAAAACAAAAATGCACACACACAAAAAACAAAACAAGACCCTTCCCCCCAACCTCTCCCCACCCCCCACCCCACCCCCCTTTGCTGAAATTCAGCTAATTTACTTTTAAGGGAAGGTTCAGTTATCTGTTGTCTCAGAAGAGTCAAAATTGCTTAGATGACTACTTCTCTTTCTCAGATTATGAAATCAAGCAAAACCCACATGCTATAAATACACCAGTAATGGGATATATGCCACTTCTGAGAATCTGAAGTACTGAAAACATGTAAATTATCAGTTTACTTCTCTTTGCAAACAAATAATTTGAAGAAATGAGGATGAACTAACACTAAATTGTTTACTTCTTTAATCAACCAAATAGAAAAGTATACTAGTCGTCAATGTAGATGACTTTATCACTGCAATAGGTCAGTATGTTCTCTTGGTTTTCCTATGCATGACATTGTATTCAATTCAGAGTAAAACTTGCTATTTTTGTTGAATACAGGGCTTTTATGCAGGAAACAATTACCCTGGTAGACAGGTAGGCAATTTGTCTTTGACATTTACACAGATTAGTTCCTTGGGGATAAGTATGGCACAGTTGCCAGAATTGCCCAGAGCCATTAAGTATTCAGTTCAGTTTAGTCACAGAGGTAGGGACAGTAATTTCACAGAGTGCACGTGGCTTATAGTGAATTGCTCTTGACATTGCAGTTACATCTTTCTGTCTACTAGAGACAAAATTTCACTGTGTAGCTCTAGAAGCTTTCTTAACTTGAAAAAACACCGGAGACTATTATGGGCTTCATCTCATTGCATAAACCACTAATCTGGTGTGCAGAGAAGTAGCCATTTGCCACTGCATTAATAGCTATGTATTACTGTTCCAGTTAATCAGTGCCATGAGTATTGTTTAGATGAGGTCCAGGTTTTTGATGCCAGGTGGTATTTAAAAACACCATTTACAAATGTTTCCCCTTTTTCACAGGGTTCATCATCCTCTGGAAGCAGCCAGTATGGGGGACAGGCAAGCAATGTTTCTTTGTTTTCAAGATCTTCTTCCTACTTGCTATTTATTAAATGAAAAATAGGACGCAGTGCATCTGCTGCCAGGCACCTTGTCAGAGTCCTTTTACTCTCAATAAATATCTGAAAACAGGGGCTCTTTCTCAGTAAATGAAATGGAGTGGCATGAACAAACTCCAATGTAAAGACACTGCACAGATCATCATTTTAGTTCTTTTACCTCTTTTGTCTCAAGTGATGATTTTAATTCACCATTTTTATGTTTGTTTCACATTCCTATGATACCAAAAAACTCTATCTTCTCTGTTATTCTTCAATTATATTATCATTATCTTTTTTTTTGTGTATTTGTTTAGATTAAATACTTAGAAACTTGGTACAACATCTACCAATAGGTATTGCTTTGAAAATACAAATTCTGGTGTGTTACCCGCAATAATACTACTTTACTCATCTTCAGCTGCCATTAGAGCCTCTTATTGTAAGCTGCTCCCTATGTACCTTTTGTAGACTTTGTAGTTTGTCACTGAGTGAGAAATCTTGCTAGCCCAAAGAGTTAACAGATGTAACGGATGGCTCTCTAATAAGAAGGTGGACCATATTTTTCCCTAGTATTACTCTGTTTGCAAAGTTTCACTCTGCTATACTAAAAAACTAATTTCTTTTTACTCCATTGGCAGGCATTTGAGTTCAGTATCACTCTATTAAGATAATTTCTTGTAGCATAGAGAGGATTTTTAACAGCTGCAACCCAAATCTTTCCAAAATACCTCTTTTCTTACAGTAATACACATGAAACAATCTGAACACATTTTCCACCTAGAAAATCACAAATAAAGTATTTTTTTTTCCCCTCTTGAACAGAGCCACACTTAAAGACACTTTATACCTGTATATTTATGTCAGAGAATAGTCTTAGCAGGTGTTTTGTGACTGTTTGCCAAATTTATTACTTTTAAGTGTTGAGAAACTTAGAAGAATTAAGGCAGAAGTGTTTCCACACTCCTACTGGGATCCCCTGTCAGAAGTTCCTTTTATTAGGTTTCATTCTGCGCAGAAAAACAAAAAAAAATGCTTAAGCATTTAGGTTTCTTGTAATTTTTTTAATAGGGATCCTCAGGAAGCAGCCGGTATGGTGGGCAGGTGGGTATATTCTCTTCCCACCCCATCAGTCCTACAGCTTTCCCTGTACTGTCTGGATCAGGTCATTTACTTGATGCTGTAAGATACATTCATCTGGCCATGTTACTGAGCTTAAATAGTTGAGGTAATATTGATTGAAGTTGTTTCAGCAAGCTGAATAGAAGAATTGGTTACAGTGAATTACTGCTCTGTGTAAAACACTACCACTGCTATCCTGTATTTCATAACACCACTTTCTTGATTCAGCATAAGAAATTGCCATCATTTTGATTTGCAGTAGACAGCTGAAGTTTTAGGTACCCCAGTTACTTTTTGTTCAAATAACATCCAAGTAAGTTTGTCCTAAATATTGCACAAATTGTCTCAAGACAGTGATAGAGGATTTATTCATTCAATTAATAGATGTTTGGTTGACTTCTTACAGGACTCGTATTCCTCTGGAGGCAGACAATATAGTCAAGGAGTAAGTAAAAAAAATTCAAGTTTACCTTTCTTTTTTCTTACAAGCCTGCTACAAATATATATCCAATTAGATATGGAGCTCAACTTCTGAATTAGTTGTAGTCATCACAGAATGAGGTTACAGGATATTATTATTATTATTATTGCTACTATTATACTTCTCAACAGCTATTTCTGTTTAAATTCATAGTAATCAATGCTCTGTGCTCGGGGCTCACTTTTTCACTGACTTTATGTGCATTTGTTTTAAGTATTCTGCATTGCTTTGACAGGAAGAACACTTGACATTTGACTATGCGTATTTTCCTCTTCTCTCATTTCAGACCACTTTTTCTTACTATGTAATTCAGACCTTGCTGTCATTCTCGTTCGATAGAAAGAGATATAAATAAGCACACCCAATGTTTTATCTGTTATTAAAAACCAGGCACAACTGTTACATTTTCTTGTGCATGAATCATAAAGGTGAAAGATTTTGTGTATCATATTTGATGTCATTTCTTAAAGAATCAATGCTTGTCCTACTGCACTGCCATTCAAATAAGCAGAGCAACTTTGCTAGAAAGCTGCATAAGTTTACTATAATATATATTTTTCAGTATCCACCTTTATTTTCATTTACTTTGTTATCACAGCTTTCTTCAAGTAGGAAGAAATCTAACTGTAGAGTGATTGAAGGGGAACTAATGTTTAATCGGACCTTATTATCTTTTCCCTTTCCATATATTAAACACACTGTAACTTCAAATCAGCTCTTTCTACTTGAGTACTTTCAATCAAATTCTCTATCCAATACATCATTCAAAAGAACACTTGTAATGGAAAGATGTTAATGATCTGTGTTTCAGATAAGCTTTTCCCTGGGATTTTTAGTTGACTAGACACAAAATAGTGTTTGTTCTTCCATGGTCCTTTACTCCAGATGGCCAGAATATACTGAAGTACAAATAGGCTTAGAGTCAAAAATGGGTATCTTTTTTTCAGGGCTCACCTTCCTCAGGAAGCAGTCATCAAGGAAAGCCAGTAAGGATATTCTTGTTTTCAGTATTCCACAACCAAGTTAGAAATGTGGTATTGGGTTTGAAAATAGGTAACAGTAATGAGGATGAAACTTAAAATTCTGTTACAGTTGTGAAGTGTGACCAGTAAAAGATGAAATACCAGGTTCAAACTTGAGCCTTCGGATGAGGCGGCATTCATTCCTGCCATAGCAAAGTTTTGATACGCTCTGTTACTTACTCATAGGGTCATTCTGCTAAGAATGATGTATTTATATAGCAGGATAACTGTTTCAAACTTTGTAGTTCAGTTAGTGATACACTGCTTTGAAAACCCCCTGTTCATGGAATGAAGAGGACAAAGCTGTGCTTACTCAAGACCATTCAATTAAAATACAGGGCGGGGGGAAAGGCAAGGAAAATGGTAAAATGAAGCAGTCAGTAGCAAAACTACTAATATCTAGGGCATTTTCAAGCCTGCTGTGTGCTCTTTGGGTACAACTCACTAGGAGGCTCATACAACAAAAGTAAATGGCTTATAATTATTGTACAGGGCTCCTCTACCTCAGGAAGCACTTATTCTGGGAAACCGGTAAGAATAGTTTCATCACAGCATTTTCACCTTCTTTTCTTAGAAAACAAAGAACCTGAGTAGTTGACAGAGCAATTTTGGGCTGGTTTGTGCTGAAGAGAACATTGTGTATTAGTTCCATTTCTATTAGAGCACATTTAAAGAAACTGCTGTTGAAAATACAGCCTCAGCCTGGGAAAGCTCTTTCAGTATCAGTTATAGTTTAAATCTGAACCTGCCTTGCTTCCCATTCCAGTTGGTGGCCTTGTTACAATTTGTAATCCTCTGCTTTTCAGTTCCTGTTCCCTGTGTAGATTTGATAGGCTCTGCCCAGTCAATCCTTCACTTTTTCTTTTTCTTTTTTTCTATAAGCTGAATTGTTGAGTTTCTCCCTGGCAGGTTACTTTGGTTTGCACTCTCTTCCCCCCTTACCCCCTCCCTTTTTCATAGTCATCAATTTTTTACATCCTCTTTTAATTGTGGGGATGGAAAACTCTGTAAGGAATAGGGTAATGGAATGAGACAGAAAGAAACTTTTGCCCTTTCAGTAATTTTAGCTGAAACTTTCAGATGTCAGATGAGGTACTTCTAGTTACACACTCTCTCTATTTCCTTTATTTATGCAAAGCTACTTTCCTCTTGAACAACTTAAAGCCATGCAGTGGGTTAAGCTATGGAAATTTTGTTGTTCACAGACAAAATTGTGTTCAAAATCCCCAAAACTGGGAACACTTTTAGATTGATTTGTTTGTTTCTTTTCAGAATTCTCCTTCCTCAGGCGGCAGTCAAGTGGTAAGCACTTTTTGTAGTTTCTACTCATTTCTTTCTCTACATGTTGCAGAAAACTGAAAGCGTTGTTTATCCTGTCAGATATCTATCAGATTTCCTATCTCTGAATAAAAGGTTGAGAATATGTGCATGATAATAAAAGGAAATAGTACCAACAAAAATGAGAAAAAATGGGAACATAGAAGTGTTACAAAGCACATAAGAAGTACAAACTTTGAATCTTGCCTATCACTGAAGACCTGTTATTTACGTGTACGTTATACGTGGATGTGATCTTGTAACATCAGAAGTGTCGGCTTGATAAAAAAAGTTAATAGGAAAAGATTATTCTGAAACTTTCCATGCTTTTATAATAGTAATACTAGAACTATTTTGAATTGGGTTTATCAAATTGCTCTCTTTTTTTTACAGAGCTCTGCTGGGAAACACTCCACTCCCGGATTCCTGCTGTTATTCAGTGTTTTGAGTGCCTTTGCTCTCTCTGCTGCTACATCAAAATGGTCTATATGAACTTCTGAAAAGTTGTTTGGCATCCTACACATGGATTATATGCTATAATATTAGATTAATTACTTGTTGTAAGAAAAACAAAATACCCTTAAGTTGAATTGGCAGATACTACTTGGCTGTTATGTTCTATGTGTAGCTAGTATGTCATGCCTGTCATTAGTTTACCTTTTGTTTTAGTCATTAATAGATATCATTAGTTTTGTCAGTGTTTTAGGCATCATTTTAAGAGAGCATATTGTACCCTACCTATATGGTTTATTTTTATTTCCCACGGGCAATGCAAAGAACCTGAAATCTGACAGATGCTACAAACAACTCCTTAAAAACTATTTGGCTACTGACAAAAGCGGAGGAGGTCAAACAAATTGTTATATATTGAAACGGCCTGGTCATCATCAGATGAAATAAGGCTAAGGTGAACATCTGATAAGCAGTCCTCCATGGGACAGAAGAAAAGATGCTAGAACAATATCAGAGTATTGGGTTTAGCCCAGTGGGCAAAAATTTTGGGGAAAAAAAAAACACATGGGACTAAAATTTTGGGAAATTAATTATTCATTAAAGAAGCCAAACAGCTCAGAGCAAAGAAATGCTGAATTCTGTTCAAATACCTGAAGTTCTGTAGAGAAACATATGAGGCAAATGCACCCTAGATTAGGCTGATAATCTAAAAGCTGCTGAAAACCAATGCATTTTCCCTTGGGAAGGAACGGAAATTTAATTAAGTTCATAAAACTGGTAGTTTCTTGGCTCCTTTTCTCCAGTATTTAGTCTAACCTGTGATACCAGATGTATCTTCAAGTTTAATATCAAGAATGATGCTGACATCTGCAAGCAGGCACAGTAAATGTGGTCACAGAAAAACCATGGCCCATTTTTGAGTTCAGGAAAAGTTCCACATCTTGCAGCAAACTCTTCTGGTACTGCCAGAGCTGTGTCTGTATGTGCAGTGGCCATTGCTCTTGACACCCTGTTAGCAGTGGGGTGTCTGCACCGACACTCCTGCAGCTCCAGCTAAGCTCCTTTGGTGTTAACAAAGTGCCTTCTCCTACGGAGTACTTCTAATTATTGTCTTATGGAAAATGTGCCTAGTATTAAAGTTACATTTACTTGTACTGTGCTTGTCCCCTATGGTTTACAATTGTAATTGATGAAATACATTTCCATTCAAGTCCTGCTGCCAGCTTCAGCGGGGCAGGGTGTCACTTGTGCTGCACAGGATGCACTATGTCAACCACCAGTAAACCAACCTAAGTACCTGAAGCTGTAATTGAAACATAAAGGAGTTTTGCCTAAATATGGTCTTCAAAATTTGGTGGACAATTTGTTTCTTTGCAATAGGGTTCTCTCTGGGATCTCCATATCTTAGTGCGAACTTGCCTTCTCTAATCAGTTAATCATGGATTTCATACAAAATGCTCATGTCTCTCACTGCAGACATGCTCTTATTGCCAGTCCTCATGCAGTGTCCCCAGCACCAGAGCCCTTGCTCCATCAGTGAGACCCTGGCCAGCAGGCTATCAACCCACTTCCCTGATGAGGGAAAAGGTGTGGGCATTGTCTGTTTGGACCTAACTAAAACACTGACAGTAAAAAATACTGTCAACAGCATTCTCTTGGAGAAACTGGCTGCTCATGGCCTGGATGGGTGTATTCTTCACTGGACTGGCTGAATGACAGAGCCCAAAGTATGGTGGTGAATGGTGTCACATCTTGTTGGTGACCACTCACTAGTGGTGTCCCTCAGGCCTCCGTGTTAGGGCCAGTGTTGTTTAATATTTTCACTGATGATCTGGATGAGGAGATCGAGGGCACCCTCAGTATATCTGCAGATGACACCAAGCTGGGTGGGAGCGTTGATCTGCTGGAGGGTAGGAAGCTCTGCAGAGGGGTCTGGGCAGGCTGGATCCATGAGCTGTGGCCAGTGGGATTGAGGTTCCACAAGGCAAAGTGTGGGTCCTGCACTTGGGCCTGCAACACTCCAGGCTTGGGGAAAAGTGGCTGGAAAGCTGCTCATGGAGAAGAACGTGGGGGTGCTGACTGACGGAGCTGAACATGAGCAGCTTGTGCCCAGGCAGCCAGGAAGCCACCAGCATCCTGGCCTGTATCAGCACCAGTGTGGCAGCAGGGCCAGGGCAGGGACTGTGCCCCTGCACTGGGCACTGGTGAGGCTGCACCTCAAATCCTGTGTTCAGCTCTGGGCCCTCACTACAAGAGAGACATTGAGGTGCTGGAGCAGGGCCAGAGAAGGGCAATGGAGCTGGTGCAGGGCCTGGAGCACAAGTGTGATGGGGAACGGCTGAGGGACCTGGGGGGTTCAGTCTGGAGAAGAGAAGGCTCAGGGGGAACCTTATCGCTCCCTACAACTGCCTGACAGGAGGATGGAGCCAGGAGGGGCTGGGCTCTGCTCCCAAGGAACAAGGGATGGGACAAGAGGAAACGGCCTCAAGCTGCACCAGGGCAGGTTTAGGTGGAGCTGAGGAACAATTCCTTCCCCAGAGGGTGCTCAGGCATTGGAACGGGCTGCCCAGGGCAGGGCTGGAGTCACCGTCCCTGCAAGTGTTCACACACCGTGGAGACAAGGCCTCAGTGCCATGGGTTAGTGGTGGCCTTGGCAGTGCTTGGGTAAGGGCTGGACTGGATGAGCTTAAAGGGCTTTCTTCTCCCGAGCTGGCTCCCCCCTCGCTCGCTCGCCTCGGGCCGGGCCGGGCCGGGCCGCGCTGGCTGCCGCGGCGCTGGGAACGGAACGGAGCGGGCGGGTCCGCGGCTGCAGCCGGAGCCTTCGCGGTACAGGACCGCGCTGCCGGAAGCACCGTGTGTGTGGTGAAGCGGAGCCGGCGGCGAGCGGGGGCTGGTGCTGCAGGTGGGGGCCTGGGCTGGGGCCGGGAGCGGCGGAGCCCGGTGGAGGCTGCCGCGGGAGGGTCATGGATGAGGGAAGGAACTCGCGGGAGGCCTTTGAGCGACGCTCGGGGTTGGTGGATGGGGTGGGAAGCGGGTCTGTGGGAGGGGAAGAGAGGGATGGAGGAGAAACTGAGGGAAACGCCGGTAGCCGGAGTGGTCTTGTGGGGGGCGGGGGGCGTGGGGCATGGGGCATGAAGGAGAACTTGCTGTGGGGGAGCAGCTACAGCTACCTGGAAGGAGGCTGTGGTGAGGTGTGTAGCGAGGTCTTTTCCAACCCAGTTGATTCTGTGCAGTTGGGAAGGGAGGTGGATGTGGATGTGGATCTGGTCCGCAGCAGCAGCGGCGGCGGCGGTGGTGCTGGGGTCGTGGCCACTTGGTGGGTTTGTTGTCTGTGTGCGAGCAGTACTGTGGCGAGGAGGTCTCCTGTGCTCGGTGTAGCCCTGGGGTGGAGGTAGCACAAGAATTACGAAGTTAACACCTCGTAAGTACTGACATGGTGGCACATTCACACGGGGGTTTCAGGTGGGAAATGTTTTAGCAAAGCAAAGCTTATGGATTGTGTCGTAAAACCAGAGGGTGCAGAGATAACGGATGTAGTGAGGTAATGCATCGTATGGAATAGGCTGGAAGGTAAAAGATAAACACCAGCAGGTACTCCCATCTGTTTCATTTTAAAACTGTGTTTTGCATTTGTGAGGGAGACTTGGGTACCAGAGAAAAAGTTTTTAAGGAAGGATTGGGTGGAGAAAGCTGAGACTGCTTTGTGCGATGGAGGGTGTGTGATGTGGGACATGTATGCAACAGACCTCCCGAACTGAGCAACCACCACAGCAGGAAGTTCATCTGTTGTGGTGTCCTCTACAGAGCAGGGTTGGGATCTGAGGCAGCCTTTGCTTTTTGGAGGATGTGTATGCAGGCTGACAAAATGGGGTTTGGAATGAATGTTACGTGACAGACTGCTTCTTCCCAAACCTCTGCAGTTGACTTATCTGAACTCTCTATGGACTGAGTTGAGCCAGACCCGTTCAGCTCTTCACTGTTAGTTTTGTACATGGGGCCTGCTCCCCTGAAGCTGTTGCTGTGCAGACACTTTGCTGGAGGAGACTCCAGCTCTGTGGTGTGTGCTTTTCTTTTAGAATAGAATGGGCAACATCTGATTTCTTTAGGAGCTGCAGGGTGATTTTGAGGGAGGTGATAGTTGTGATTCATGATTCCCCTTGTGCATTGTTAGGCATTGTGAGAACCTGTGATTGAGAGTTAGTTTGGGAAGATAAGAATCTTCCAGATTTTTGGGATGCATGATGCGCTGGGTTGTAGAAGTAGCATATGCAGCAAAAACACTGGGTTTAGGAAGGACTGTGGTAGTTGCAAGTATGAATTTGCTTTATTTAGAGCAATGTGTTGTTAGGGGTGTCTGTATGTCTTTAACAATCCTACAGGCTTCTTACACAGCCTAATTCCTAATTTTGCTAGTTATGCTGCTGTTTGCAATAACAGAACAAAAAAGGCAGGGATCGTCCAAGCCAGGTATCTAGGCAAAAGGAATCATAGAATCTCAGACTCCCAGACTGGTTTGGGTTGGAAAGGACCTTAATTAAGATCGTCCAGTTCCAGCCCCCTGCCACGGGCAGGGACACCTCACACTAGAGCAGGTTGCTCCAAGCCCCTGTGTCCAACCTGGCCTTGAACACTGCCAGGGATGGGGCAGCCACAGCTTCTCTGGGCACCCTGTGCCAGCGCCTCAGCACCCTCACAGGGAAGAGCTTCTGCCTTAGATCTAACCTGAACTTCCCCTGTTTCACTTTGAACTCACCACCCCTTGTCCTATCACTGCAGTCCCTGATGAAGAGTCCCTCTCCAGCATCCTTGTGGCCCCCTTTCAGACACTGGAAGCTGCTCTGAGGTGTCCACACAGCTTCTCTTCTCCAGGCTGAACAGTCCCAGTGTTCTCAGCCTGTGTCCGTATGGGAGGTGCTCCAGCCCCTGATCATCCTCGTGGCCTCCTTTGGACTTGCTCTAACAGCTCCATGTCCTTCTGATGTTGGGTACACCAGCACTGCACACAGTGCTGCAAGTGGGCTCTCATGAGAGCAGAGCAGTGAGGCAGGGTCCCCTCCTTCAACTGCTGCTCACACTCCTGTTGATGCAGCCCAGCACTCGGGGGGGTTTCTGCGCTCAAGCGCACACTGAAGCAGCTCCTGTTCAGTTTCTCATCGACCAGTACCTCCAAGTCCTTCTCCTCAGGCTGCTCTGAATCTCTTCTCTGCCCAACCTGTAGCTGTGCCTGGGATTGCCCTGACCGAGGTGTAGGCCCTTGCACTTGGCTTTGTTGAACTTCATGATGTTCGCATTGGCCACCTCTCCAGCGTGTCCAGGTTCCTCTGGATCCCATCCCTTCCCTCCAGCATGTCGACTGCACCACACAGCTTGGTGCCATCACAGACTTGCTGAGGGCACCTCAATCCCCCTAATCAAATGTGTCTGCTTAAAACAGTTCCAGATTTGGAGTATTAAGCGAGGGCAACACATACTTGATTTTGGTACAGGCTTGCTAGATAGTTATTCTTCTCTTATTATTCATGGATTGCTTAGCACCTGAGTTTATTCCTCACCAGTTACTCCAGTTCATACCCATATGCCCTCTGCTTGCACAGTGTCAGTATCTTCACTGGAGCTCTGCAGGCTACAAAGGTGGGTGACATTGATAGTGGGTGTCCCTAGAGGGGAGGAGAGACTCTTAAGATCTGTACCTCTTAGGATCTAGTATACAAATGTAAGATGGTTAGGAGTTAAGGATTTTCCACTGAATTTTTGGACCTTCTTGTCTTACAGTCATACCCCCTGTAGTGCACTGTTCAGCTGTCTAATTTCATTTGTTACTACTAGCTTTCAGCAGTAAGTGTCTACAGATTGATTTTCACTGTAGTATTAGTTTGTGTTACTCATGCTGGGTCACCTTGAGTGAGGGTGGCTGCATTGCCTCAAGCACTGAGACTTGATTAGTAATTCATAAATAATGTAAGAGTAAGCTGTAGCTTGTATTCAGTGCTCAGCCTTTCAGCACCTTAAGTCAAGTCCCTTCATTGGCTTGAGAGATGTGCAGGATTCAGGCAGCTCTTGGCATTGCCCTCCTGTGTGCTTCAACTGAAACTGAGAACTGAATGCTTCCTTGCTCCCAGAGTCTGACCGTGACTACTAGGATCTTTCTGTTCTGTGGTCCATACAATGAGTGCAGTGTATGCACTGTTTGAAAAGAGAGAGGCAGTTAAGGCAGGTCGTATCAGATTTCTGTGCTGGCAGGCAGAGTTTGGCTTAATGACTGTTATGTCAATATAAAACTATTGCACTACTGTGTGCGTAGTTGAAAGCTTCATCTTACAAGAAATATTGGTGTTAGATTTGGCTCAATGATGGCTTGAATTTCCTGAATGCTGAATATTTATTCTCCGTATGTAATTTCTTTAATAGTCATCAAAACAAATTCTCCTCGGTCAAGGAAATCTTGCCTTTGGATTCTTAGGCTTGGTGTAAAGGATAAAAGGGGATGGGGTGGGCTTAAAGAGTATTTAGCCACAGATTTGGCATTTAAGGTTCACAATGCCCAACTTTTCCTTTCTGATTCATAGATTGGAATGGTGATTTATTTTTTTTAATTCTCCCCCCACAAAAGAAAGAAAAAAAAAATTCTGCGAGGTCTTCAGAACCGTGTGTTTGAACTGCTGTGTTTTCTGTCAACCTAGAGGAAAACCTCACCTGGGTCCCAAGCAATCTATAGCATTATCTGAAATTAGATGTTAGTTAATATATAATTGCATTCCCTTTGTTAGACTTGGCAGTGGTGCAGTTTCCTGGTTGAGTGTTAGGCCAGTGATACAGCCTCTACTATACTTGGCAAAAGTCTAGGGGTTTGGAGCAAAGTTGAGAGGAAATCATTGCTTGATCGTTAGCAGTTACAACTTAATGTGTAACTGCTCTGTGCACCAAGTGCCCTTGCTAAAAGGTACCTGCATGATTTTAAAAAGGCCAAATGTGGTGGTTTAACCCCACCCAGCAACTAAGCCCCACGCAGCCGCTTGCTCACTCCTCCCCAGTGGGATGGGGGAGAAAATGGGAAGGGTAAAAGTGAGGAAACAACTCGTGAGTTGAGACAAATGCAATTGAACAGGGAAGGCCAAAGCCACACACACAGGCAGAGGAGAACAAGGGATTCATTCACCACTTCCCATGGTCAGGCTTCAGCCATCTCCAGGACAGCAGGGCTCCATCATGCGTAACCATTACTTGGGAAGACAAATGCTGTAACTCCTCCTCCTTTCCCCAGCTTTATGTGCCGAGCCTGACTCCATACGGTCTGGAGTATCCCTTTGGTCCATTGGGATCAGCTATGTTCCCTCCCAGCTCCTTGTGCACCCCCAGCCAGCTCGCTGGTGGGGTGAGAAGCAGAAACAGCCTTGACCCTGTGTAAGCTCTGCTCGGTGGAAGCTAAAACATCCCCGTGTTATCAGTACAATGTTCAGCACACATCCAAACCAGAGCCCCATACCAGCTACCATGAAGAAAATTGCCCTAGCTAAAACAAGCACACCAAGATAGGGTACTAGATAGCACTACCTAGATAGGTACTAGATGACGTTGCAGGAGCAGGGTCCACCAGCATTCTGCTGTGTTGTGCTTGCTGTCCTTGTTGTGAAGGTATTACTTGAATGCAGTAATGTTTTCAATTATTTTCACCGGTTAAGATTTTTTTCTAATGTCAATGAAGAAATTGGAAACACTGCCTGAAGGAAAACTTCATGTGAAAACATCTCTGTTACTCAGTTTCTGCTAGAAGACGCAAGAAAAACTTTGCTAGAGGATTTGCTTTGAATAACGCTTCTGAAGAAGAAGACAAGCTCTAAGAAGAACATAGCTTATTTTTGCCATAGCGTGCTCAATACACATTATAATGTATCCAAAGAGAAGAATGAGTAACAAACCAAAAAACAAAAGCAAAAGGAAGGTAAGTTTTGAAATGATGGAGTGAGTTGCAGTGGTCTAGGTGAGGAGTGCCATGTATTTGGGGAGGAGCAGCTGGCAAGTATAGACACGTGGGAGGGAATGAAGGAGAAACCTCTATCATATGAGAAAGATTGAAAACATGAATAGCGATCTTTTAAAGTGAGAAATAGGAGGTTTAAGATTATTAGCAATATTTATAACATGGTTTATGAAAACAATAAATACACAGATATGAAAGAACACACATTGGGAAGGGTGGGGAGAGAAAGAAATGTGTTGTTGCATGATATCAGTCCAAATTTAGCACTTCAAATATATATATGTAAGATCTTGTTCATAACCCAGTTCAGCAGCATTTACTAGATTTGGAAAAGTCTGTGCACCCTCACTACTATCTGAGGTATTTATCACAGAATCCTAGAATACTTTGGTTTGGAAGGGATCTTTAAAGATTAGCTACTTCCAACCTCCCTGCCATGGTCTCACTAACCTCATCCTAAAAACTCTCTTCCTTATATCCAATTGAAATCTCCCCTCTTTCAGTTTAAAATCATTGCCCCTTGTCCTTACTGCAGGCCTTAGTAAAAAGTCTCTGTCTGTCTTAAAAGCTCCTGTTATATATTGAAAGGCTGCAGTAAGGTCTCACCAGAGCCTTTTCTTCTCCAATCTGAACCCCAGCTCTTCAGAAGAGAGGTGTTCCATCCCTCTATTCATTTTTGTGGCCTTTCTCAGGTTCTGCTTTAACAGGGCCAAGTCTGTCTTCTGCTGGAGACTCAAAGCTGAATGTGGTACTCCAGGTGGGATCTCATGGGAGCAGAGGGACAGAGTCACCTCCCTCAAGCTGCTGGCCATACTACTTTTGATGGAGCCCAGGATAAGGTTGGCTTTCTGGGCTGCAAGCATACATTGCCCACTCATGTCCAATTCTTCGTCCATCAGCACCGTTACATCCTTCTCCACAGGGCTGCTCTTGAGCTGTTACCGAGCCTGTACTGATACTGGGAATTGCCCCAGCCCGTATCCAGGGTCTTGCACTTGGGCTTACTGAACTTCATGAACTCCATCCATTTATTTCTATACCTAATGTATTTGTTGCATCTGGTACTAATTTTGGTGGGAAGAAGGCTATATTGAGTTCAAGTGAAAGATATATGGAAAAGAACTTTCCTCTGAGGGATGTAGTTGTTATAGATAGTAGCATATTATTTGTTTGTTAGCCAACACAGGGAAGAGGGTAATGCATGTGTAAATGTGAAGAAGGAAGTAATAAAAATAGGTTCTTCAGGTTCTGTGAGCTCTTACTCCACCTAATAATTGTCTTTTTCCTCTTTGTTGCCAGCTTATTATATTTGTAGAGGTGTAGCATCAGCACCAGGCTCACATTCCATTTGAGAAATAGGAGAACACAGGGCTATTTCTTCAATCTGCTGCCGTGGTTTCAAAGCAAATGGCCAGGAAGTGTGTCCGTATCCATTCCACTGGAATGGAGTAGTGTACTGTACTTCCCACCCTTCTGTGGGGCAGATTCTGTCACTGCTTATTTTCTAGCTGGTCTTAAAAGTTTTGCTAGAGGCTGCAGACTTCAAGTTACCCTTCTGCAGTTTTAAGAGGTTGGTTGTCTGCTTCTGTTTGACTTTGTACTGTAACTAATCTGCAAGTGCCTTTAGTTTGGTTAAGCAGTCTTAAACTCGTTGATCCAAAAATGGAATAAGCACTAGCAATAACTTCTGTAACTTGGCTTTTTACTGTGAAAGACCATCAGCAATGAAAACCTTTCACAGCTAGGCTAGAGGAAATGTAGCTCATGTAACGCCATCACTGTGAAGATTGCAAGCATAATAGTAGTTAGGTTTGTTTTTTTTTTAAATTTAAGAAATAATGAAACCAAATGAATATAATAAAAAGTGAGCCAGCTTCTAAAAAAGCTTTCTTAGTAATTCAGACTGAATTTGTGAAATATAATGCAGAATATTGGATAGTTTGGGATACTGAAGGAGCTCTCAATGTAACTGATGCAGGAGAAATGCACAAATAAATGAAATTCAGATCATTTGTGGATGAGCTTTCATCTTTCTTTATAAAACAATATGTGAATATGTAATTTCAATGAGCCTAAAACATGCTATCCAACTAGATACTTGATGTTTGATAAAGTTGAGTCTTAACAGTTCTATACTTAGTTTACTGTAACATATTTTTATCAGGATTTGTACACAGGTGCTTGGATCTGTGAAGTGGTCCCTGCTCTCTTGTTCTCAAAGATGGGGTTAGGCCATGCTTGGTGGAAGGATGTCCTTGATGTGCAGCATAACTTCATCTGTGGAAAATGTCTCCAGACAGTCTCTAGGCTCTCAGCTTAACTAAAAAGTATTTCAAATAAATAAGTCGTGTCTCTTTCTAGAGGTCTCCTTTTTGGTTTTAGTATTTTAAATACCTTAAGCTGAAGTAATTCTCTCAGGTTTTGACACTCCTACAAATTCAAGAACAGGATAAATTCATAACCTGATCCTTAATTTTGCACGAAATTCTCTTACTGTAGCTATCTGGCAGCTGAGAAGCTCAGAGGTTTACACCATCACATCTGTAAAAGACAACAGTTAAGAAAAGCCCTGCGTTTTATCCACCTGTGTGTACCGAAGGTGAAGGTTACATGGCTGCAAACACTTGGCTTGAATGCTGACTTCCTATATAGACCTGCCTTCCAGCTCTGTCCCTGCCTTCCGTGTTGCTGGCTGTAGAGTGTGTCTACATGGTAATACTGAATAAACTAGGAAGGAGCGGTTTACTTCTTTTCACTTAGACTAATAGAAAAAAAGAACAATAAGCCAAGTCTCTGAGTTAACTGATGTGACAGGCCATGTGGCAGCCTGGGAGTTAGCACCTGCCACTGCAAGATACAGTTCAAAAGTCATTGAGTAAATGTGACCACTCAACTTTGTGTCTTTGAATTGGCAAACCTAAATCTGATTTTTGGGACACAGTACTGAGTAGTTTGTCCAAAGCCCAGGAAGAAATCTAAGGCTGGTGGTAACTGTATAGGAAACACATTGAGAACCGGGTTCATTATTGGTTTAAGACAAAGTGTGAGCTGTTACTGAAGACACTTAGTATATGATGCAGTTTGTTGCAGTGAGAGTAGCAGAAACTTGTGGCTAGAAGAAAGCAATTACACCTCTGATAGTAGCCTCTAAATCTAAACCTGCTGTGAAATGCATTTAAAGATGGTCCAGCCCTTTGCAGGTTGGTGCTTAGATCCTTTTCTGGATCCGGGAGTGCCCTGTTTGCAGAGTTTTATGAGCTCATACGCAGCTCTCTTTAAAGAAAGGAAGAGGGACCAGGAGAGTTGATAAGATAGTATGTGTGCTCAGTAAAGGGTGGTTATTTTATTGGCATACATAAGTTTCAGTGAACCAACTATTTGTAAATACAGCAAGAAAATTCACACACTTGTCCTTTACAAGCCTGCCTTGCTGGCCACTGACAGGACAGCTCTTAACAGATACCCTTATTTCAGCTAGCGCACTGGGCACTTAAAGTCTATTTTGTATGAGTTTTGGAAACTCTGAAACTGCTTTAGTGAATTATGGCAAAGAAATGCTTCCTGCTACTGGCACCTTTTTGAGACACATTGGGAAAGCTCCCTCTTGTATCACGATTAGTACTGAAGACAAAGACTGTAGTTCAAGGAACTAGTGTGGTATGTATTCCTTATGGCTTTGCTGATGGGCTTACTAAACTGTTGACCTAGTTGGCATGTTTTCATGCTGAACGCTTTGATACTTGCTCATAAACAAGATAGTAGTGATTTGCTTTTAAAATTCCATTTTAAGCTGCTTAGTAAACAGATGGTTCTATTTCAGCAAGAGATTCACATGAACATTATTTTCTGAGATTGTGACCAGTTTTGAAGGTTATAAAATTGATCTCTCAGAATTGGGAACATTTGTAAAACCCTTTGTCACTTCACAGGCTCACAGAAGGCAGAAATTTCGGTCCCAGTTCAGGAGGGATGTGTGTTCCCATTACCTGTAGTTTGTCAGAAGCAGTTTGAAAAGTGAAAGCCAAAAAGTTAAAAACTTATTTAAGTGTGCTTGGATGAAATCTGGTGGTGTTCCTGTTAGCCACAGCACGTTGTGTTTCCAGATTGTCAGGTCTCAATACCAAAAAGTGAGGTAGATGGAAAAGGTGGAAAAAATGTTGTGCAAGTTGTCTCATGTAAGTGTGCATTCTGCAGTGTTTTCCCCAGTAGCATGGACAGACCTTCTGATGAACTTCAGTTCTGTATTTTCTCCCAGTGGATTTTGAGTTTTTTCCCTTTATCTCCGTCTTCTCTCTGCTGCTGAAGAATCTGATCTCTGTTCCTCTGGAGAGTCTGATCCTTGTATGTCCCCTCTTCATCCCTTCCTGGCAACTGTTCTTCTCATTCTCCTCCTTGTTTTCAGGTATAGCAAACCTGTTCTTCAAAGCTGTTCCTCTGACTAACTGATCTTCTGCATTTTGTTGATGGGGATGCATAATTCTACAGTTAACATCCTTGTGTAAAGGGTTATTCCACCAGAACCTGTGGGAAAAGTTAGCAAATCTTGAATGTTGCCTGCAGTTTTCTTCTCCTTCATTTCTGTCTGATTTATATAGTTCAGTTGTGTCATTAGTATTTGTTTCTTCAGTGAGTTAAATGACACCATAGTTCATACAAATGTTATCTTCTATTAATCATAGAAACATAGAATGGTTTGGGTTGGAAAGGACCTTAAGATCATCCAGTTCCAACCCCCTGTCATGGGCAGGGACACCTCACGCTAGAGATTCCTTATTAAGATTCCTTAAAGGAATCATTTTGTATTTCTTCTCAGTTTCTGCATCCTGGCATCTTTTTTTTGTCTGAGATGATTTTAGAAATATTTTTACAGCCATATCATTCTCAACGTAAACAATTTTAGTGTGCAGGATACAAGTATGTACTTCCTATCTCTGTGGCTGTTGGCAATTCGTATTTGTTTGCAGTGTCTCTTAAGCATCCGATCCATGCTGTATAGGTATTAATTTGAGTTTGTCTGTTTGACTGGAGCAAATCTATTAATGCTTAGAGACAAGATAAAGGCAAGTCAGAAATACTTGCATATCACAGCTTTCCAGATCTCATAGCAATGAAAACTGTTACGAAATGCATCTTGCGCTAGAGAAATGCAGTCGAGCAAGAAACTGCTCCAGTTTCAGCTACAAATATTTTGAGGTACCAGCACATCCTTCAGCAGTGGTACAAACCTAGATAATGAGTCAAAACTTATGTGCCTGTAGATGTAAAACATGCACAGGGGCAGCTCTGGCATATGCATTCATAAAGTATTGCTTATCCATCTCTAGCCTTCCAAAAGTCAGAACGGTTATTTATTGTCTTGACTCTTACTACTTTTCTTTTACTTGAAAACATCTCTGACTTCTAATACTTATTTGATTTTACTTTTTCATTATAAAGCACGGCTCCATTTTTGAATATATGGGCAGTGAAGGCAGTAGTAGTTAATCTTTTATAGCAAGCATTCATTTCTGTGGTATGGAAACTCTTCTTAGTATGAAGAATAGCAGAAAACGACACAATGTTCTGAATGTAATGTCCTTGTATTGTGCTCGCAAAATGCAAATTGCATTGAATCTGTTAATCTTCTGCACTCAGTTAATACTTCAGTTGGTGACAAAGGGCAAAGGAAACCACCTCAGCTTGGTGAAAGTTCATGATAGAGGTGAGGATGATACAGCTTTACTAATGTAAGGTTTGTGGTGGTTGGCGCAGTGTGAGAAAGTGGGTGCAATCACCAGTCATCTGTATTGAACCAATTGAGCAGGATAACCAGCTGGACGGGTTTGGTGCTGCCTCCTTGCAGCTCCTCCTTCCCACATGTTCCTTTCCCACAACTCTCCTTTTCCTTCAGCATCAGGCATACCTCATTTCCATGTAAAGCAGCACAGCCCTCACCCTGTGCTGTGCTGGCACTGTGTCATCTGGCAAGGCAGAGACTGCAACCTGGTGGAAGGGTGAGAAGATCTAGTTCTGAGAATAGCTCAGTGCAGCAGGGGTGCTGGGCATTCTGCAGTGCCACAGCTCCTTCACTTTGGGAATACCTTCTGAGCCTTCACCTACACAGAGAAATCCAGCATTGATTTACCTCGAGAGGTTTCTTTAGTGAAACCAGTTATTGGAAAGCTAATTACCAGTTATTAGTCCTTATTTTACTTTGTTGTTACTACAGCTAAGCAATATTGCTTTTCTCTATTAGTTCTCACTCTAATATTCTGATATGCTTCCCCATTTGTAATCTCCTATTTGAAAAAACATTTCTAAACTGTTCATCTCCTTTTTCTTTTAAAATATCAGATTAGGTTTGTTGTTTTCATTTGGCTGAGCTCCCTGGATAACTTCTTTTAACATGCCAATTCCCATGGGAAACCTCTATCTGCAATATTGCCTTTTAAGCCTGGGTTTGGGTTTTTTTTCTGTTTCAGGAAGAAAAAAGTCAAGAAATGTCTACCAATTTAAAATACCTTTCCTTGAGCATCCTGGTTTTTCAGACCACAAGTTTAGTCTTGACCATGCGTTATTCTCGGACGCTGAAGGAAGAAGGACCTCGTTACTTATCCTCCACTGCAGTAGTTGTTGCTGAACTTCTGAAGATTTTGGCCTGTGTTCTCTTGGTCTACAAAGACAGCAGTATGTGTCAAATTTTGCACCAAGTAATTTTCCTAATCAATATGCTGTATTGTAGTGGCAACTGCAGAGCAGCCATGTCAGTACAGGCGTGAAAACAGCATTTCCCTTCTCGTGTTAGAAATGTTAGAAATAGTCTTGGAGTGACATTAATCATACCTCATTCTTCAACACAGGAAAAAAGATATTGTCTGTTTGCTTGCAAGAGTTAACTCTAAAGAATATGGATATTGAGGAGTTGAAAAATGAATTTTCTATTAACAGGTTAAAGCTAATAGTAGAAAAGAAGCCAGGCAGCTGTGTTTGCTCAGGCATTTGAAGACATTCATATGTAAAAGTAGGAAAAAGTGAAAAGCTTTAAGGTGTCCCAAGCATGAATAATAGGGAAAAACCCCCGAAACGAACAGCAGATGAAGAAGGGAGAAAGCAAGTTCATTATTACAGGAAGAAGTGTAGGTTTAAGCTTGAAAAAAGTATATTCAGATTTACTCCAGCTCTTACTTTGTACATTCTAGACTGAATTTATCTGGTTCCTTGACATATATATGTGATCTTCAACAGCTTAAAAATATCATTGTATATTCATAAATATTGATGACTTGCTTCTAAATGTGCACTTTTTAGATGACATTCACCTTGAAATATTGACATAGTTTCAATAAGTTGTACTTAAATTCTTCTGAATAATTGTTCTAGTTTTGATATTCCTGGAAGACACCTTGCAGCCCTTTTTCCTTGCATATATCTGAGTCTCATGAAAGTTAAACAAACATAGTATTTTGAGGTCTTGACAGCAGTGATAGCTTTAAAAAGGAGGCAACAATCTTTAAGTACAGAATTCTTTTAATATATTAATATATATATATGATATTTATATATATCATTCATTTATATATATTCATATATATCCATATCCTCCCCCCCTGCATCCTTATAGTGAATGTCTATTTCTTTTATTGTTTCTTTGGGTAGAGTGCAATTTACGGACTCTGAACAGAGTGCTACATGATGAAATCCTTAATAAACCCATGGAAACTCTTAAACTTGCTATTCCTTCAGGGATTTATACTCTTCAGAATAACTTGCTGTATGTAGCATTGTCGAACCTCGACGCAGCCACATACCAGGTACTGTACCTTTGGATTTCTCTGTACCTTTCAAATCCATCCATGAATTATGCAGTAGTAACTGTTTCTGGGTTCTTCTAGGTTACGTATCAACTGAAAATTCTTACCACAGCATTGTTTTCTGTGTCCATGTTGAGCAAGAAGTTAGGTGTATACCAGTGGCTTTCGTTAGTAATACTGATGACAGGAGTGGCATTTGTTCAGGTAAGTATTAGCAGGTAGTTTGAGTTTGTTTATTCAAGGCACGTGGATTTCTGTGCTTACTGATTCCACCAGCTTCACATGAACGCCAGAGTGTGGTCACGAGCTATGAATCATCACTGGCAAGGGCTAGAGGACACCAGAACTGGTTCAAAGAGAGAAGATAACACTTCTTTTGTGTCCCAGTGCTCCCCTGTAGAATGTGACAGGAGCTCTGGAGCAACCTGCAAATAACAGTGATAGTATTTGCTAGCACGCTTCTTGAGACATGAGGGACTCACTGATCTGCTGCTGCTCACAGCGTGATATGTTTTCAGCACGATAAATTTACTTGAACTTTTTCAAGAGGCAAACTTGGCCTCTGTTCTAAATAGTGCAGGTACAAGGGGTTGTAGTTTTTAGAGGGCAGGATCATGGAATAAGAGACTAAGTTCTAAGAATTTTTAGCAGATTTTAGCATATCCTAATTTTTTGTTAAGGATTTAAAAAAGAATCAGGATTACATTTTATAGAATTTTCAAATGTAATAATTAAAAATGAGAATAAAACATTCTGATAGCATCTGAAAGCAGAACATCTGAAGCAGACTTCAGTATGATTTCTGTCTATGGCATTGCATTTTATTCTGTTAGCAGTAGATATATTGCAGGATTTAGCGTCACAAATTTCATGTTTAGTCATCTGTATAATCACTGAAGAGAGGCACATGCAAAAGTCAACTGATCCAACCTTAAAGGCAGCTTGTGTATGTGGTTTTCTACCTGTGCTTGTATTTATAAGGTAACTGTTGGATTGCAAAAGTTGGTGAGTATGAATGACCATCACAAATTATGCTGGGATTGAGAAACAGTTCTGCCTTATAAAACGTAAGTCCTGGCCCTGTTTAAATTGAAGGGTGTTCTCCCATTTCAGGCACAGGTTTACTCCTTACAAATACGCAGAAAGAAAAATGATGTCTTTGCAGGCTTTTCTAGGTATCTATGGTGAAAATACAAAACTTTGCAAGCATGGGATTGTATTTATGCTAGAAAACAAACTTGCATTTTATAGGTGCTCCTGACTTGATTTTACCAGTGAACGCTGTGTAACTGTTTTTACATCCAGTGGCCTTCAGACTCCCAAGCACCAGCTGCTAAGGAGCATTCGGCAGGATCTCAGTTTGTGGGCCTGATGGCAGTTCTGATAGCTTGCTTTTCCAGTGGATTTGCTGGCGTTTACTTTGAGAAAATCTTAAAGGAAACCAAGCAGTCTGTGTGGATCAGAAACATTCAGCTTGGTAAGTTTCATTCAGGTCATCTCCTGGAGATACCACATGCTGAAGAATTAAGATAAATGTGTAATATAGAGTACTGAGTCTGGTAGAATATACCATAGAAGCAAGAGATGGTGTAGTTTTTTGTAGTTATGGTTGGTCAGACACTGCTATAGTCAAAAATGTCTGAATATCAGCAGTATTTTTTTCCTTTCTTTTCCTGTGGCTGTGTTTTAATTATAAATGGTTTCAGCTAAAAACACAGAACTGCATTTGGTTATATTTTAATAGTTTTACATGCCCATAATGATTTGCAAATTGAGGATAGAGAAGGGGCTCAAAACCTCTACTTGCTATCTGCTAGTATTTATTGTAGAAGTAGGGGAGGGAATACATCAGGAAAGGTTATGTTAGGGAATTCTGAAGGCAGAGAAGGGTGAGTAGCTGGGGCTTGGTCCAGGATTTAAGGGAAGATTTGGTGCTCTGGATGGAGCTACAATGTAAAATCCATTGCCAGGGAAAGCTGACTATTACCACTCTTAGTTTCCATGATAAAAGTGCTTTGGTGGGCGACAATGAGGATATCTGAAACAATTTCCAATTAAACAGTCATAATTGCCAAAAAAAATAAATCAAGGATTTCTTCAAACATTCTTCAGATTTTCTGCAGTGCACAGAAGTGTGTATGAAAACAAGTGAGTTCATTGGTTTGATGACCAGGTGACCTGGTCATATATTGAATGTTCCAGTAGTCGCTTTGTGAAAAACATGAGATCAGGAGAGGCTGCATCTAAACATGAACTGTTGAAGGTAATGAGTAACTAGGACTGTGATATATGAAGACAGAAATGCCTGTGCTAACAGTGAGAATCAAGTCACCTGCTATGGAGACCTCATAGCAGCCTTCCAGTGTCTGAAGGGGGCCTATAAGGGGGCCTATAAGGAGGCTGGGGATGGACTCTTCATTAGGGACTGTAGTGATAGGACAAGGGGTAACGGGTTCAAACTGAAACAGGGGAAGTTTAGATTGGATATAAGGAAGAAGTTCTTTACTGTAAGGGTGGTGAGGCACTGGAATGGGTTGCCCAGGGAAGTTGTGAATGCTCCATCCCTGGTGGTATTCAAGGCCAAGTTGGACAGAGCCTTGGGTGACATGGTTTAGTGTGAGGTGCCCCTGCCCATGGCAGGGGGGTTGGAACTGGATGATCTTAAGGTCCTTTCCAGCCCTAACTATTCTGTGATTCTGTTCTTAATTCTTTTTTGTCAATGAGCTTAATTTGCCTCCATACAAACTCAGTAGAATATGTTCATTATGAAGATTGTTTTCAGTTCAGAAATGAAATCAATGTTGTCATCTTCTGTAGCTTTTAGAAAATCTGTAAAACATGAAATCACTGTTTCACTATACATCAGTGCATCCTTTCTGCAAGTGCACGGTAGTGAGTTGCCTACTTAAGATGTCGTATCATTCAGGAGCAAGTCAGTTGTAAGCAAGAGCTTTGAAGTAGAGCATTTCTTAAAACACAAACAACAAAACCTGTATGTCCAACCTGGTTTTCATTTTCATATCCATAGACAATTATTAGAACTGTAGAAAAAAATGTAAAATGTATTTTAGAATAATTCTTGGAAAAAATGTAGGTTTAATGCATCCCAGGCTCAGGTCAGGGATGTATGAACAGTTGATTAGTTATTTTAGCAGATTGATTGGAAAATAGAAATAATTGGTTTAATCTGAATGAAATCTAAGTTTTTCATTCTGCCTACAAAAAGAATTCTTGGCAAACAAAAGGTTTTATGTCTGTCAGAAAGAAAAGTGATGAGAATAGAGGCCAACTTTTCATAGAAAAGGAATGGAAAAACTGCTCCCTCTTTCCTGCTCAGGACTAGAGCCTGAATCAGTCATAGAGGAGGTATTTTGTGTTACGTCCATGCCTAAGGGGGTTAGGAACATTTTCCCAGATGGTTAGAAGAACACTATACTCACCATATGATACACATTTTGATCTCACCTCAGTTTCTTCCTTTGACATTAAGTCTCTGCTAGTAAACATTCACTGTTTTTGAGGCTGTTGAGACCTCATCAGAAGAATCCCACTTCCATGATCCTTGTCTGAATTGCGAAACTCCCAATTCCAGCTCTTGCTATGTCAGAGCCCATCCCCTGCAGTGAATGTGTTCCCTGTTCTTCTCACAGGTTGTAGTGTGACCTCAGCCTTCAGGCAGGACTAGTTTCAGGAAAACTGAACTTGTTTAAGTGAATTTTGCTATATGCCATAAGCAAAAATTACCACATTCCAGTAGAGAGCAGTGGAAGATAAAAGCATCCTACTGGAAACAGTCAAAACTTGTTATAAGTGTGAAAAACAGCTTTTAAATGAGAATATCTATTTGAACACTGGCTGCATTTGAACGTGATGGTATCACAAGGGGCAGTCCTGTTTTAAAATGGGAAATATGTGAGCAGTCCTTGAGGACAAGGAACCCGTTTGCATGTTTTTCACCTGAAGCTTTTAAATCAATCTTGTATTTTCAGGATTTTTTGGTAGCATATTTGGACTGATGGGTGTATACATTTATGATGGAGAGCAACTGTCAAAGAATGGATTTTTTCAAGGATACAATAAACTTACTTGGGTAGTTGTTGTTCTACAGGTGAGATAACTTCTATCACATGTTTCTGTGGAGGCATTTGGGATTTACTGACTGGGGAAACTAATGGGTGTCGTTAAGCTACTGCGAATTCTATAGCCAAAAGTCTGCTCTATCGCTATTAGAATAAACCTCTAAATAAAACCCTTGAAAATATATAGCAAGTATATGTAATACAAAGTATTGTGCAACATGAAAGCATGTGAACTTTATTTCTTTTGTGATTTTTAATAGAAATAATATAAAAAAAGCCCTTCCTCTTATGGGTAAAAATGCAGGGTACAAGCACTTCCACTGATTTAATGATGGTAATATGATCAACAGTTTCTTTAATGGGGAAGGAACTTCTCCAATATTTAACAACCCATATTCATAACATAAATGTAATGCTCCTAAACATAGACAAAACCCTCTCCTAAAGTAAGTGCATGTTGTTAAAACAGATGCTCTGAGTTGAATTTGCAGGTTGCAAATCCAAGCATTACTATTTTTTGCAGGCACTTGGAGGGCTGGTGATTGCTGCTGTTATAAAATATGCAGACAACATTTTAAAGGGATTTGCAACTTCTCTCTCTATTATACTGTCAACATTGATCTCCTATTTCTGGCTGCAAGATTTTGTCCCTACAAGGTAAGAAGTCTTTTCCATGTATATACAACTTGCACATGAAAGTTGAGTTTCATAACATACCATAGGTAACAGTTGGCAAGGTTAAATTTCCTGTAAGACAGAGCCCCCCACAGGTCAGGAATAACTGGCGCTCAAATCTTGGCTCTTGACAAGCCACTCTGGCAAGCTCTGGTTTAATTCATTGTCCCTTTCTCTCCTTTTCCTCCCTACCCTACCTTCCTCAGTGTGTTCCTCTCCTGCTTTTCTCTCCACATACATGTCTCTTTGCATACACACATGGAAGTTACACTACAGCAAGTACCATAAAGAATCCCATATTTATTAGTAAAGGAATCCAGTATTTATTAGTGAAAACAACTTGACCAAACAAGAAAGGAAAATGGTTGCTATAGGCTTCTAGGCCCAATACACTGCCCATAAGTTGTGTGAATCAGATTTTAGTAGCTCTGTACACTGCAGGGTTTGTACATGGTTAGGTTCCACAATAGTGTTTGTCTTGGCAGTGCATGTTAATATGTGGAGTGCAGAAGTAATATTCCAACCTTCTTGCTCTATTCCAACTAATATTAATAGGCGTTTGCTTATAATTGACACACACTCCTCATGTTACACATACTCATAGTATAAAAATACTTTGAATAATATTCGCAACTTTATCTGATACAAAAACCCCATCTTTCTATCTAAAAGCACTTGCAGTATAAGCAGGACTTTACATAAACATTCAAAAAGGGAAGCAGAACGACTGTTTAGGCTTAAAAAGTAGAAGACATTGAATTTCAATTATAAGCAGCCTGTATTTGTCCTATTAAAACAAACGTAGAAAGTGGTTTAGGTATTTCTGTGTGCTCAAATGGAAAATAATAAGTAACTTGCCAGCTTCTGCAAACATGGTGAAAATGGAAACAGTGGTAAATAATTAAAGGAGGTGAAGCCAACTAGCAGCATGTAGAACTTGAAGCCATCTTATTTAATAAATAACTTGATTCAAGTTGAGTTAATCAGACTTTATCTTTAGAACCTGGCTTACGCCAACTGAATTTATTTGAACTGAAACTGCGTAATTGTTTCTGTGCTTCAACAAATATCTTTGATTGGGACAATAGATGTGAAGTGCTAAAGTGCTTGAATGTGTTGTGATGGAACGTGTCCAGAAACAGGCTAACTGTATTCTCTGAAGGATTATCAAGTCATGTGCCATAGTTTTTATAGTGTTTGGTTCAGAAGCTCAAATTGTCAACACTGTCATGTCTTTATGACAAGGTTCTTTTCTAACACGTGTACTGATCATCTGTTGGCTTTGGGTCTTTTGTTTCAGACTTGTAACTAGCAAAACAACCTAAAGGCCTATGTGTCACAATACAGAGGATGCCTTTATTATCTTCTCCTTACATAAATCTTGATGTATCTGCCAAAAATTAGATTATACTGACTTGCAAACTGTTTCTTGGGCCGCAGGAATTTGTTTTGACATAAGCTTTAGACTTCAAAGCAAACACGACTCCAACAACATGCTATGTGTAAGATGTTAGAAGTTCCTGGGTAACTGCAGCAATTGCACTTTAGCTTCTGCTTGCGTTTTGCAGAGAGCTTTAGGCAAAAGAATGGGGAAAAAAATAAGATTGTTCTGATTACTTTTGACAGTTGTTCCATGAAACTGTAATTGTAACGTTCAGAATGTCACTATAGAGATACATTATTTTGTGGATGTAAATGTCTTATTTCAACTTCTTCCTGCATCCTTCTATAATAAATATATGCAAATTGTTTTGTTCTTTATAAATTGGACAAACACAATTTATCTGCTGTGTTCCCACAATGTCTTGTCTTTGATTGTAACACATAAAAGAAGTTGCATCAACTGAAACAAGCTAACTTTTTTCTTTTTTTTTTTTTTTTCTCCCTATCCTTATTCTATTCAGTGTCTTTTTCTTTGGAGCAGTCCTTGTAATAGCAGCTACTTTCCTATACGGTTATGATCCCAAACCTGCAGGAAATCCCATTAAGGCATAGCACACTTCCTCATCAACCTGCTTCTCCAAGATCATGCACTGGGGCCTTGCTAACAATGGCATGTGGAAAGTGTCATTGTGCACTGCAAGGAAAGGATTCCTACCCTGAATCTATAGAAGAAATGCTTATGAGTAGTTCTGAACAGCTGGAGGGGTTGAAGGTGATGATACTGCCTGTAACTGATGAGAGGAAAAAGAAAAAGGCAGGGGATCTTCCAGTGCAACTTGCTAATAAAAACATGAACAAAAGGTTTCCAAGAAACTGCGATTAGGAATGTTTACAGCTTTGACTGGGATTGCATCAAAAGAATTTACTGTACTGACTGCTGCAGAAATCCGTCCTATGCACTCTTTGAAAGAGCACATGACAACATTGTCAGATTGTATGGGTTTGCAATTTGACTGTATTCAATCTTAGCAAATAACGGTTTTTAACTGTTTAGTTACATGAAATCAGATGAATACACATCATAGTTCTAAAGCAATGGCTCTAATTAGGTTTCCTATGAAGACTGTGAAGATTGCAGTATGATCGAAAGACACTTTCATAATATCCAATATTTTTATATTTTTAGGAGGCTGATTTAATAACAAATCTGTTATTAAATTATAATAATATAACTGTTGCTTATATAAACCTATTGTAAGAATGTTAACGTTCAAAGGAAGAAAGTCAGAGTGAAAGCTGGAAATCTTTGTGGATACCTCAGCCATCATCAGGATAGCCTGTAGTGTTCCAACAGATGGGAAAACTCTGCTCTGTGAACACAGGCTGGAGGTTGCTCCACTAACCTGGTACTAAGAGTAGGGTTATGACAGAGTGCTTGCTCAGAGGTAATGCTCATTCTTTTTATTGATTATAAATCAACTTCTTGGTAGAACCTTCAAAGTAGATCTTATGCTTTAAATATCCTCTGGGGATTTTTTAACCACAATTTAAAACAAAGAGCCCGTAATAAACATTCTGAATGCATAATTGCTGTCTTTAACAGCTCCATCTGCAGCTATTCTGGTCTATCATCTGTATACTGTACTGTACTTTTACAGAGGTGTTTTCTAAACAAGTGGTGTTTACTCATGAACTTTCCAAGGCTTTTTCAGGATGTTTCTATGTAGTGGCTTAATTTGAGATTATTTTTTTTCATTGTTATTATTTTGTTCTGGGAGTCCTTGAGCCGACACGAGACCAAAATGGGTTCTCTGGAGCTATTCAGTTTAGTCGTAGAATTACTTTAATAGGAAACATAATGCAAAAGTGATTAACTGTGCAATAGGTAAATATAAAAGCATGCTGTTCTTCTGTTTTAAACCAAAACCAACCTTCTTAAGGAAACCTGGATGCAGTCAGAACTTAACTCAATTAGACTGTTATGAACACTTCACTTGCTGAAGTATTTGCATATAACCAGAAACACACCAAAAAAAAATAAAAATGAGGGACCTAATAAACAAAAAAAGGTGTCTTAAAAAGCACTTGTTTTCAGGAGGCCTATTCACAATAGATAGTTATGTAGAGTGACTTCTTACCCACACATAACACTTGTGAAGATACACATTTATATAAACCCCATCAGTAGTCCCTTACCTATAGAATGGCAAGTGGCACAAATGTATGATTTCCTTCGTTTCCCCCTCATTCTCTTTCTGTCTTATGCTAATGAACACGTGAAAAGAGAGATGTTTTAAAATGTTAACCAAAGTATCACATCCTCTTTTCCACATTTTAGCAGTGGATTGACAAGGAGAGTCTGGAAGAGGGCTCTGAGATTTTTTTAATGAAGTATTATTATTGGGAAAGGAGAAATTCCACTTGCATCAGCCAAGCAAAAATAGTGGTTTCCCTCTGTTGGCAGTGACATGGATTATCAGCTTTTTTGGTTGTTTATCATATCAGAGCAAGACATTAAAGAAATTTCAGAGTCCAGGGCTTGCTGAGCTTTGTGAGCTGTGAATCTGTCCCAGCATGCCATACTTACAGTCAAATTGGTGGTCAAAACTATCTTGTATTACCCTAACTTGGCATGCTATGTTAATCTTCAGCCTTTTACCTATAACCCTTAATGGGACAGAATCTTTCAAAAATTAAATGTAGCCATTCGGCCACTAAAATGCAACACGAAGTAAGAGAACAGCGTAGAGCAGTGGCTCACAGCACTGCTTGTGTAGAATGGAAAGTGCAGAATGACCCTGAAATGATGGAGAAGTTGGTAGTAATATCTGAACTGGAGCTTGGCTTACACGATGATACTTTTAATTGCAAGTATCACAGTAGTGGAAATGTTCAGATGATATAATTGGTTACTTAAGCAGCAGGTTGAGAACGCTTTAAAGCTGGGTGCACAGGAGGGGACCAAGTAGGCCACATAATCACCACATTGCTGGAATTGTGTTACATATAACCCAGGTTCAGTATTTTGGGTGAACCTGTCAATATTTGTCAACAAGGAACCATTTAAAGGAAATAATAGGAATATGTGCTCTTTGCTTTTGAATAGGATGTCCTACAGCTTTGGAAAACACTGTATCTACTGTACTAAGGAACAGTAACTCCTGTCCATTGATCGGTGACTCTTCTGTGCTTTCAACTGACAGTTCCATTAATGTTTTCAGTAGATCAACATACACTTGTTGCTATAAGGGAAATACGAATTTGCATTTTTAGCTGGCATTCCTTCGCCCTTTCCAGGCTAAGACTCTTGTCTGAGGCCCTCCAGATTGAAAAGCATTATTCTAGACAAAGGGAGACCGTGTATGTTTCTTGAGAACAGAAAAGATTTGAGGAGGGATCAGTGATTTCTGTAACCCTTGCAGTCTGTGAGCGTATGCACATTTTCTCTTTGAGATACCTTTGTATCTTAAAACTTTCAGTCTATAGCTCGTAACTAACCAAAGAAGCATAGCTAGCACAGAGCATCGGGAAGTAGGGGGTAGCGTGCTTTGAGTTTGCCCTACAAGCAATCTGTAGGAATCTAACGTTCCAAAAACAAACCTGCTTTTCTGGACTGTTTTTCTGACTTTTAGTCAACAGATTCCTTAGTTTAGTTGTATATTTAGGGGGCTAAGCTATACTTAGCAGAATTTTATTTAAATATTTATAAAATTATAGCTAGGTATTTATTTGCAATAACTTCAATGATGTGATTTTTCTTTAAGATTTGCATAATGGGAGTACTGGTATTTATTGAGTAATTGGATATTTGGTAGTTTTATTTGAGAATCTCTGGGATACATAGTAAATGGTCACATAAACTTAGAACTGTCTTCAAAGTAAAATAAACCAGCAGTTCAGTGGTGAAAAATCTTGAGTGTAATATAAAGTAAGATAAACTTTTCTTTAAACGTATTTCTGTGCTATCTGCAAGTGCCCAGGAATCTTTTTTCTCAAAGGATTCAGGTAATTTTACAGTCCTGTTCAACTTCTTTGCTTTAGAGAAACTGCAAGAAAACTTCCCTTTTTGTTTGCTTAATAAGGGGTAGATTCATGTTCTAGATCTGGCTTCTACAAGATAACACCCTGAGGGTTTTACTGTAACTTTTTTAAACTGTTGTTTTATTTTTCCTCAAAAATGGATTATTTTGGTAGCATATGCTTGCATTTCAGTTACTCATACCGTCTTCTCTGATTTTTGGAAGTATGTACCTGGTTTGTGTTCCTAACTTATTTTTATGGCTGTAATTCGAAAGACTGTAATGGATTATGTTGAATTGTTTTAAAATCGATAAATGAAACCTTGCATTTCTTCTGGGTTTTGTTGTTAATGTATTTCCTTATCAGCTGCGCATGTTCTGTTGTATTTAAGCTACAATCACTTTCCAAATTTGAAGCTGTTGCTCATTTTTCTCCTGTGACAGTTTTTCTTGCTGGATATTGTGAATGAGGAAGATTATTCACTGTTTTTTCCTCCGAAATCCATGCTTTGTAAGAATGAGATACTAAACACGACAGTTTTTTTTATGTATTAGAAAGGTAATGTTTATCTATAACATGGTTTTACACCATATATGTGGTAGTGTATCATTACCTGTGGTGCTTGGTTCTTGTAAGAAAGTACAAGAAGTGTTTCCTTGCTTTTCTGTTCATCGTTCTGTTGGTAATACTGAGTATTTTCCACAGGAAGTTATTTAAAGAGTTCTGCTCTTTCCAGGTAAGCTCTTTATATGCTTTTAGGTGCCTGGAATTAACGTATTTTTTTACTGAAAAAATGTAGGGGGAAATGCAACAAAATAAGTGGAGGTAATGAGATGGTATCTTCTCCAGTTACTGTGAATCCAGATTCTCTTCAGTTCAATGCAGAGCTCTTTCTGGAAGCAACAGAATTCTGTCCTGAGGTGTCATTCAGTGCTCGTTCTTGAATGTCTGCTGCATGTTTGCATCCAAGAGTAGACATGACATGTTTAATTCTTGCCTTCAACCTTCCATCGCTGTTCTGACTGTAAATTAGCCACATCCATTCCATTAGCAATGTACAGCTCAGTTGGAATTCCTTCTACGCCAAGCATATGTCTACATTTGCTGTCACGAGTTAACACTTTAGATTTTTAAAAGCTTGTTTTTATTGTCAATATATTTTAAATTTAATTTTAAATATATGATCCCAAATATAAATAATATATTCGAACATTGTAGCAATTTCTAAGATAGTCCTAGGATTTTGTATGTGTTGATATTCATGTGTGATTACACTGAATACAGTTCTAATACATGGTCTTTACAGGCAGCCTGGAAATAGGTTATTTTTTTGGTATAACACTGCTGAACCATGGAATGCATGGTTCTTTTTTTAAACCATATTGAGGTAAAATACTGTATTTTTTTTTTCCCTCCTGTATGTGTAGATAATGTCACCACAGTAATCGGTTAAAATTAAGCACTAGCTTTGTTAAGAATATGATATAAAACTGAGAGCTTTCTAAACGCAGAGGCTTGCCTTATGCATATTTTGGCAGAAATAAAACAATGTTTTAATTAACATTCTTATTTCAGAATATAATTTTTTGGCATAATTTTCTATAAACTGCAGCATGCTCTTGTAAGATGTTTGCTAATGGTGTCTTTGAACATACAGCTTACTGCATTGTGCCAGGAATTTCATTTTGCGTGAGACATGCTGCTTTTTGACCACTGTGTCGTGCCTTCTTGTTGAATCACATTCGAGCAGTGTTCTTGTGACTGTCTCTGTAGTCCCCTGGTCTGAAAGCCCTGGCCTCCTTGTTCAGGACTGTGGTTCCTGAACTGGAGGTGGTGGGGAGCCTCTGGGTATCAAGAACCAAACTACAGGGTAGTGTGCAATGGTGGAACACCATTTTGTGGTACCAGCTTTGTACAAGAGTTTTGTCACAAGTTACCAGAAGGTAGCTGGTGATGTAGAAGCTTTTTTTTCCCCCTTGTTTTGAATACTGACTTTTTGACTGCAATGTAAGTACTATACAATATACCCTCTAGAGTACAACACAATCTGTTGATTCATGTTCCAGTTTAGAAATTGAGAGTTTTTATAACTGAAATTTATAATATATCAAAAACCTGAACAGAGTTCACAAACATATTGCTGTAGATGGTGTATAACACATTTTCCTGCCCTTTCTTGAAGGTTGTTTCACCAGCTGTGCACCAGTAATTGTCAGGACACTTCAATTCTGTCTGCTTTTTTTTGTTAGTACTGCTCTGATCTTAGTGATGACATGCAGCATGATTTCAACTTTTTAGCATCATTTTCAGGTCGTTATAGACCTAAACAGAAATTAAAGACCTAAAACCAGAAGTTAATTATTCATCAACTAAGCAAAGGAACAGAGTACTGGGATGCAGGGGATGGAGTTCTTCAAGTTTGTCCTAAAAGCAATCTGTAAGAGTGTTAATAGAAACCATTGAAACCATCATCTGTCTGGGGTTCCCTTGAGGATATGGTAAGTACTCTGTCCATTTTCATTTAACTTCCAAAAAGATGGTACTGTCTTCTACAGCTAGCAGGTAGTGTTATGCATTTACGTTGCATAGAAGGTTGAACACTACAGGTGTTTAGGTGTAACAGGCATTTTTTGTTTCTCTTCTTCAGGAGATTAAACGTTTGTCAGGAATTTGTCTCTCAGTTAAATAATGGCAGAGCGGATTATGTCAGGATTGGCATGGGTAAGTGGAGTTTGGTATCTGAGAACATGTAGCTGGCTGAAATTCATGACAGTAAAAGCAAGTCATGCCTATCTAGAGTTGATTCTAAACGTATGAATGATGAATTCTTACTTGAATTGTGTCTGCTCAGCAAACTTGATATGTGAGTGCATTTCTTTAGGGAGGATATCAGTAACGGGGGTTGGTCTGATATAATAATAAGGATGTGGATAAAAACCCTGCTGTTCAATCAGCCTCATTACACAAGGTCTGCTGAGGTGCATTAACTTCTTTAGGTGAGTCCCTTACACCACGTCACATCCATGTTTGTGTGTGACTTTCCCACCAAAATGTAACAGCACTGTCTCCAAGGGGTAGGCTTGAAACTCTGTCAGAATTTTAGGATCCCTCTGCTTTTCAAGAGAGAAACGCTGGACCAAAATTGTCACACACTTGGCGTGACTTACTGAGACTTGTGACAAAGGACTGGTAATAGCAGAGGCTGCAAGTGCCCTTTCTCCCCTGTGGGTAGCCTGGTAGGACCACACTTTGTATTGTGAGCTGGAGTCTGCTTGCCTTTGTCTCACTGTGAGAGCAGAGTGGATCCATTGGCATGAGTAGGGCTGCACCTTGTGAAATTCCAAGTTCCTTAAAAGCTGCATTATGATGACATAAGAAGGAGCTTGGTCTCAAGGCTAATAGTTTAACTTAAGTGCACACCATCCTAAGTGTTCAATGATTTGCACCCCTTTGTGATTACACACCCATAGTGCTGCCTGTGGTGAAAGGGAACTAGAGCGCAGGTTTGCCTTAGCAGTCACTGTTGGTATGGACAGGGAAGATACTCCTATGCAACTGAGGTTTTGGGGGAAACAGTGTTGCAGGAGCAGGAGAGATAAAGATAGGCAATAAGAGGCCTGGCAGATGAGCAAAGAAAAGATGGGTATGAGGATGTGGCCATGGAGAGCTGTGTGTTAGACTGTGAATGAAATCACACTGGATGTGCACAGACATCGTTCCTTTTAGTGCTGCCAGACATCAACCATTAAGGAATTTCAGAGAACCACAGAATCAACCAGGCTGGAAAAGCCCTTTCAGCTCGCCCAGCCCAACCCTTACCCCAGCACTGCCAAGGCCACCACTAACCCATGGCACTGAGGCCTCGTCTCCACGGTGTGTGAACACTTGCAGGGACGGTGACTCCAGCCCTGCCCTGGGCAGCCTGTTCCAATGCCTGAAGAACGTTTCCAAGTTGGATTTTTAAGCTGGATCGCCTCAGAAGCTATGGACTTTGGCCGAATTCCAGGTATGTCCTGGAACAACTGACTGGGTTCGCTCCTTTTTCCCAGGCCCCCAGCCAGCCGGGGGAGGGGAGGAAGGCTGGGAGGAAGGCTGGGAGCAGCGCTGTGGGCTCGGCTGGGAGCGGGCAGGCACAGGCCTATCGGGGCCGATGCGTGTGAGGGGTGCGGGGCTCGGTGCGCCGGGGCTGCCGGGGGAGCGCACCAAGAACCATGGCGGCGCTGAACAGCCGGGACCCCGGTCCTCCCGCCCCCCTACCCCCCCACGGCGGAACGCGGGTGGTGCGTCCTGTGCACGTGACCGGCGTCCGGCCAATGGGGCGATCGCGTGATGCGCGCCGGCTGCGCCGGAGGGTGTGGGGGGAAGCTGGCCAAGATGGCGCCGGGTGCGTGAGGGCAGGCGCGGCCGCGCGGGGAGGGAGGTGAAGACCCGGCTGCCGGGGAGCGTCCGCTGCTGCCCGCGCTCCCCCCCGGGGCTGTAGGATGGTAAAATGACCCAGGGTGGGAAGAAGAAGAAGCGCGCCGTGAACCGCAGTATCATGCTGGCCAAGAAGATCATCATTAAGGACGGCGGGACGGTGAGGCCGGGCGGGGCCGGGCGGCTGTGGGGCGAGCTGGCGGTGCGGAGGGCGGGCAGCGGAGGGAGAGGGAGTGGGGGCCGGTGGCCCGCGGAGCTCGGTTTCGGTTTCTTTTCTGTTTCGGCCCCTCTAGTCGCGTTCTGGCAGCCCGGGCTGGTTCCCTTTAGGCAGTTGGCAGAGGAACACCTGTGAGAGCGTCACGCTAGTGCGGGTCGCCAACAGTGGTGTTATCTGTCAGCTTAGGCCGGTGTTTAGGGCTCAGGAGCGAGTGTCGACTGAGGAGTCGGGTGTAGGTAGTTGCAGATCACTTGCGTCTGTGCGCGACCATGCGGTATTATATCTTAGTCCTAACCTAAACCTGACTTTATATTGGACATTATTGAAATGGATCTTTGCAGAAGGAATCGCAGCTGCATCAGGGCAGGTTTAGGTGGAGCTGAGGAACAATTCCTTCCCCAGAGGGTGCTCAGGCATTGGAACAGGCTGCCCAGGGCAGGGCTGGAGTCACTGACCCTGCAAGTGTTCACACACCGTGGAGACGAGGCCCTCAGTGCCATGGGTTAGTGGTGGCCTTGGCAGTGCTGGGAACGCTTGGACTGGGTGATCTCAAAGGCCAAAAGGTGTACACCAGCCTCGGTGAGTGAAGACAGCTGTGTGCTTGGAGCAGCAGTGGGCTGCACAGTGTCCCGGTTCGGCCTGGAGGAGAGCAGGAACCCCTCCGGTGGTGCTAGTGCAAAGGCTGGCTGTGATGTCTTCCCCTGCACAGAGAGTGGATCCCATCACAGCTGCCTTCTTCTTCCTGAGCCTGAGAAAGAGGAGTCCTGTGAGTGGGACAGGGCATCAGAGAAGTCCCATGAAGGGTAGTGGCAAAAGTGGTTTGCAGTTCTCTCCCGCTGCCTTGCTTCCTCTTAAATACAGAAATTGTGTAAAGAAAGGAAGCTGCTTCGTGTTTTGGCTGCTGGAGCTTGGTTTTGTTTTGGTTTTGTTTTAAATTGACGAGTAGCATTGCTTCCAGTGTAGCATTGCCCCTGGATTTTTTCCGCTGTGGTATACTATGTAGCTTCTAAACACAGTATCATTATTTCAAATAAAGAGACATCTTGACAGCCTAAATTGCTGGTGGCCATTCTGTTTGTCCATTTGGAATAATAAGGGAGAGGATGGAGGTGGTAGAGGCACTAGTGACCATGTCTGGATTACTTAGTGGAAAGAGGCAAAACTAATTCCAGTGATGGGTGTTGATGTTTCCTAGGACATGTTTTCCTGCTCTTTGTAAAGGTGGAATGTATGATATTACCCTGTACAAATGCTAAATTCAAGTATTTTAGAATGGCAATAGAAGCAGAGTACATGTTGTTACTCACGGGACATGGTGCTTCAGAATCTCTGTCTGGAGTAATCATTGGTTAAAAAATTGATTAAAATTCAAGTGTCTCAACTTGAACTTTCTTTTGCTGAGAGAGGAGAAGGGATATTCTAACACTGCATGGAGTGATACCTGCAGTACCACACTCGGTGCTTCCCATTGGTGCCAGAAGCAGAGTGCAAACTCGCATGAGTTCTGTACCATTTTCAGTTGGGTTTAAGGAAAAATGGGCTATAAACATTAGATGAAGGTATGCAGATTGATGTTAGATAACAAAAATACCATCTTGTGATACTGCCTGCCTTCAAATAAATGTTTTGAAAATGAGTTTGTTTTACATATGTTTGTAAAGTCTGGTATGGTGGAGTATTCGTCATAATGACAGCAAAACTTTATGCCTGGATTGTTTTTTAATGTTTGCTGAAAGGTTTGAGCAGCTGCCCTTGCTCTTGTCTCCTTAGTTTCTTTGCTTACCCAGCGTGCTACGTGACATTATGGGAAACGGGTGAATGTCTCCAACTGGCAGACCAGCAATTAATTAAGCATCCAAGTGCCTGTTTCCAGCCTGATTGGTTTAGTTTGAAACTATTGGGCATCTAAGATGACTCTGTGACTGTTGCCAGCAAGAATATACAGCTGTTTAATGAGGCAGTGTTGCAGGCAAAAAGATTTTTTCAGATGGGAAACTTCAGTCAGTTTAATTTATTGCCACTTCTAATCAGCAGGTCTGCCATGGAAAGAGGAAAACAAGCAGGTGGGGAAACCTGCTGTTGTCTCTACAGAGCCTCTCCTCTTGCCACAGGTTACACTGAGGTGGTGGGTACTGCAAGAGACTGTGTTGGTGCATGGTGGTATTTTTGTGGTGGTCTTTGCAGCTTAGGAGCTGCAGCACAGGACAAAATGTGCGCTGGTGTGTACTCAAGTGTGTGTTGTCACATTCACCAGAGGAGCAGCAAAGTGCTTGGTTTCAACACTGTTCTTAATTTTGCCTTCCTTTGTGAGCAGTTGGAATTCGTCTGATGTAAGATTATGCATTTTGGAAACAGCCTTGAAATGAACTAGGAGGTACCCCCCTCGGCAGTGCTAGGGAGAGGCAGAGCTTAGTACTTGCTTTGGAGCCTTTGCCTCCCCATCAGAGTGGTAACAGCCATCATCATCCATGTGATGCCTTTGTTGCTTTCAAGGTTACTCTGTTGTCAGGTGTGTGTTCTCAGGGTTGCCTGACATATCCATGTTTTATCATGGGCATGACTGACAGTACAGCATGCTTGGTTAAAGATGTTTTCTCTCTAACTAGAAAAAGGGGCATTCTTAGTACTGTTCTGTGCCACAGGTTCTGCCAGAGACTTAATACGATTGGCTCTGGCTACACGGTTGCAGGTGGGAGTTGCTGTTACGCTGATGGGAACATCCTGATTCCGGATTGTTCACACAAGCATATCTTTTCTGTGCCTTATCTCCAGGTGGAAGGCTTCTGGTTTGGTGGCACTTAGGTTATTGCATCACATGACAGACACTATGTTAGCCAGTTTGTAAAGCACAGCGGGATGGGTGTGTGGAGTGGGACAGGGCTGAATACCTAACACCTGCACTGGACTTGTTGGGGTAGGAGGGCGCATCAGACTTGTCCTTGTGGGCTGAATGCACATCATATATCTTCGTGTGCTGTAATATCTCCACTTCTTCAGTTCCTTCCCTCTTTCTTCCACCTCAGGAGTATTTTTGCTATGTTATAGTTGCAACCATCTTTAAAAATAGCTGTAGAGGTGATAATCTACATGTGACTAATACTTCTTTTTTTATATATAGATCAGAGTGAATAATAGTACCTGTGATAGGGGAGCATAAGCAACAAGAAAGCAAGGAAGCTTGAGGAAGCTGGTGATCTGAACATCACCTCTGCTTGTTTCTGCCAATGTAATGGCAACACCTGATCAGGTTCTTACAGCGGGGTGACCTGGCAGGGTCAGGAGTCACCAGCAATTGAGCTGTGCAGGATAGACACTTCAGCTGGACATGGAGCTTGTGTTTGCTGCCTGTGAACACAGTGCAGTGCTTTTGATGCTCAGTGCCTGAAGGGGCTGGAGTCGTTCCTGACTCCAGCCTCACCTGCTGTAATACGCTGGGGTCATGAGCCAGTAAAAGTGACAGGGATCTGGGGGCTGTAGGAGTGAACCTGGCTTCATGAGAGTGTTGCTCACAGTTTGTGCAGAGCTGGATAGATTTTAACCCAAAACTAAAGTAAGGGTCGTGGGTGGAAAGGGAGAGGAATTGTGGGAAGTGAAGATAATTATAGCTGCTTTCTGTACCTATAAAGACTGTTAATCTACATCCTAAAGAGAGCAGGCTATAAAAATAGCAGAAATATCTGTATGGTATGTCTGTATTTACTGAAAAGGGCTGGGGAAAGAAAATGAACACAGGCTAAGCTACATTTGTAGCTCACCTGTAGGATGGTAAATATTGGTATAGTTACTTTAGAAAATTATTATCTTTTCTAGCAGTAGGGGTGAATGGCCAGTGTGGTTTTCTGTACTTCTTACAGTTGTTCAGAAGGCTTTCCTTCCTCCATCCCACCCCCCCCACTTGTTGGAAATACTGGAATCTGGAAAGAAGGGCTAGGTATGACTTGCATAAATCTTGTCATAAAAGCAAGACTGTAGTATTAACTGCCCTTGCCTTCAAATTGTGTAGTGTTTGAGGTTGGAAGGCACTTGTGAACATCTCTAGCCCAGCTACTCATTCTCATTCCCCAGACAGGTCAGCTGGAGCAGTCCTGTCAGGTTTGGGGGTGGAGACTCCGCAGCCTCACTGAGCAGCCTGTTCCCCAGGGCTTGTTTTGTTCCAGGTTTAAGTAGAATTTCCTGTATTTCAGTGTGTACCTTCAGAGCTGGCCCTGATGCCTCTGAGAGGAGTCTCACTGCTTGTCTTTGCTCCCTCCCATCAGATATCTATACACATTGGTAAGACCCCCCTGAGCTTTCTTGAGAAGCAGCGAGTTTGCTGAGTACAAGTCTGATCAGATCGGTGGTACTCTTGTCACCTCCAGACAGAGCCAGGAAGGTAGATGCTAAGACAGCACTCATAAGCTTATAGCATGCTCATGAGATTTCTCAGGAGTTACTCATCCCGCCTCCCTCTGAAAATAGCTAGTGCACCGTTTCCTCAATTTGCAAATGATGAGCTGTGGCATGTTGTTTGACAGGCTGGCATTTACAGGTCTATGAGATGAGCAGGTTCTCCCACCAGTGCTCTTTTTGTTCTCCTCAAAAACTGCTTCTGATTATACTAAATCACCAAATAATTTAAAGTTCCTTACTTCAGATCTTTTATCTAGGTCTCTTTCTGCAGCTGGGGCACATTTTGGCTAACGTAGGCCTGCTGTCAGGATTTGGGAAGTGATCAGTGCTGTTCCTGAGCTTCACTTCTAGTGTTCGTTCTTTCAGTTTCTCTTCCCTGATTCAGAGCTCAATTTTGTCTGTAGCCATGGTGCCTTTTAGTAGCAGAAGTACTCTAAAGCTGTTGGGCAGACCGGGTTATCGGGCTTTGCCATGTTTTGAAATGACGAGAACTTGATTTCCATGCAACATTGTGTGGTCTTAAACATTTTTTCTCGAGGAAGAGGAACTAACTCCCCAAAGAAGAGGCTGTCTCTGCTCTCACCATCCTTGTTCCCCAGACTGGCAGTACAAGTGGTTTATTTTTCACTTTGAGATGGGAGCAGACTTTGTATTCTGCAGGGGATTAAGACGCTTCAGGATGATGGTAGCAGAGGGTTAAAAAAAGGAATGTCAGAATACCAGTTAGCTTGAGTAACTATTCCAGGTTCTGAGTCCTGTTCCATTCCTTAATCCTTCTGTTTGTAGTGTTCCCATGCATTTCTCGTGACAGTGGTAGATTATTAGATGTTTTGATCACCTGGTTTTTCTCTTGTTTTAGCCTCAAGGAATAGGTTCTCCAAGTGTCTACCACGCTGTGATAGTGATCTTCTTGGAGTTCTTTGCTTGGGGACTCTTGACAGCGCCCACCCTGGTGGTAAGTGATAGGCTGAAGATTCTTTTCACTGTATGGGAGATGGGACATTTGCTGCAAAGGCACTGCACATCTTCTGAATTAAATGACAGTTCTATAGCATTGAGCTGCTCTGTTGTGCACATGAGAAGTTTTGTGTTTTAAATCCCTGGAAGCAGCAGTGTAATGGGGCAGCAGGGCTGTTTATGTGCAGTCTGCTAATGCTCAAGCTGACACGTAAATATGTTCTGACTTGAAACCAGCGAGACGGCAGTGAAATCTCTTTCCTTTCAAGGTACTACAAAAATTTAGCACATTACACGTTAAGGACAAAAATACACTTGAAATTTGGTCAGGTTTCAAAGGAGGGAGATCTTTGCTGACCTGGCTGTGCTTGAAATGGAGGCTTCAGCATACAGACCCTGTTAGACCAGTCAGGAGCTTCCCTGTGATTAGTGAGCCAGTCATCCCAGCGTGTTTGTACCAAATTATTTTCTAATGGAGTTAGTTGCTTTCCGTCTGAATTTAATCTCTGAGAGTGACACATGCTTGCAAATTAAAAGGAGCAAAGGCTTAAAGATCTCCAAGCAGACTCCACCTAAAATGCAGTCTTGATGCAGCTTGGTAAGCTGATGTTGACCAGGGACAGTCTCCTCCTGGAGATGAGCTGCACTTTGGTCACTGGATGGAGTCCATCTCGTGTGGCACAGTCAGACTGAGCTCCTGTCTTACCTGCACAGCTGGGCTCTAGCCACCGGGTGGAAAGGCACTTGAGAACGATGGGGTCTCTCCACTCCCTCCCCAGGTCCCACAGGTAAACAGTAGCATGTGGAGACTCGAGCCTGAGACCGTTTTCTGGGTTCCCTGTGGTCTGTTTAGATTTCAGGCACTGAAACTGGATGACGGGGATCCTTCCCCAGGTGTGGAGGGAACTGAGGCCTCTAGCACATAAAACTAAAATCTCAACGTGCCTTCCATGTGAATTAAAGACTAAATAGATTATTCGTGGTTCCTCTTGTTTTAATTTCCCTGTATTCTATGGAAGTGTTAAACTCCTGTGGTTGTGCCACTGTAGATGTTGGACACATCACGAGCAGTGTGTGTAGTTAATACTTTGTGTAAGTTACAGTGTTTGTATTTTTTTCTCCAGGTTTTGCATGAAACCTTCCCAAAACATACATTTCTAATGAATGGTCTAATTCAAGGAGTAAAGGTAAGGTGCAAAAGTTTCTAGCAGGCACAATGCAAAGTGAGTGGTGGGACGGAGAGAGAATTGACTGGAAAACATAATCCAGATTTTTTTCAGTAGAGCTTTCACAGTACAAATAAACCAAGGAATACATTGTTTCTAAAAAAGCAAATCTGCATCTTTTAGTAAGATACCGTTTTGTCTCTACCCACTGTTTGGGGTCAGCAAATAGGAAGGCAGTTGACCAGTCCCTGATGGCACCATGTGGTGTTACAATTGGGTAGTGGTTTACTTGGAGCTTGTTGCTGCGGTGGGGCTTTTTCAATTACTTACATTTATGTGAATTCAAAGTACATAAAACTACAAAACACAGTTCATGAACCTGCAGGTGCCACTGGATCATCTGCATTTTGAATTTTGTGTGGTTTTGAGGTAACAGATCTCAAATTGTTACCTCAGCTGTGTGTAACCAGACATGGGTAACACTGGACCATGTTGCCTTCAGTGCGTTGCACGAGAGTCATCAGCTTTACTCAAAAGTAGATGCCTGGCTGCTGTCAGTTTGTGGTAGGATTTGCTGTCGCTGTTCTAACCACTTCCAACTGTTCTAACAGGAAATGTTTTGTTTCGTTTAGGGCTTGTTATCCTTTCTCAGTGCCCCACTCATTGGTGCCCTGTCCGATGTATGGGGACGGAAGTCCTTCCTGCTGCTAACAGTGTTTTTCACCTGTGCACCAATACCACTGATGAAGATCAGCCCATGGTTAGTGGATGCTTTCACACTAGATCTGTTGTTTCTTGACAGCATTGCTTGTGTTTGTGCTTCAAGGAGGGTTGATGATTTTGTATTGCTTTGGTGCAAAGCTGGGAGAGCAGAGTCAAACTGGAGCAGCTGCCATGAGGCCAAATGCCTTGGTGAGGATTTTAAGAGCTGTAGGTTTTGAGCTCTTTGCTGAAGGCCCCACTTCCTACTTCAGGTACTTCTGCCTGGAATGCTAGGATGCTAGATTGATACTAAGATACTAGAATGCTCTCCAGTAAACTGCAGGGCAGAGCCTCTTCAGGTACCTCTGTGAGCCTTTCCAGCCTTCACTGTGGTCACACATCGTTCCTCATCCCTTTTCTGGGAAGTAGCTTGTTTCTAAGTGTAGATTCGTGGTGCAAATGACACGTCTGGTGTCTATAGCACAAAGATAAGGCTTGTGTTGACCTCTCAATGACCAGATTCTCAAAATCCTGAAGTTCCCGATTTGCTTTGGGTCACAGGCATCCAGCCAAAGGTAAATCCAGCACCTCATCTCCTACAAGTTCTTAACCACAGCAGCTTTCTGTAGATGTTACAGAATTCCAGTGCTTGCCCTTGGTGCACTAAGGAGGAGCTGCACAACTGTATCGGCATGTTCAGTTTAGCTTTATCCACGTTTAACTTGGTATTTGTCACGGCAATTTGGGTAAGGTGATTTATTGTTGAACTGTGCTCAGGCTGTGAATAGAGGCTCTTTGTTCCATTTACTGTTCTGATGGGTTGCTTTGCACTGTTCTAGGTGGTACTTTGCCGTTATCTCCGTCTCTGGAGTGTTTGCAGTGACGTTCTCTGTGGTTTTTGCATATGTAGCAGACATAACCCAAGAACATGAAAGGAGCATGGCCTATGGCTTGGTAGGTATTTTTGGGGCCTTGTTCCTGTGTCTTTAGCACTAAACCCTTCAGCAGGGGAAGCTTTTCAGAGTTGTATTCTTGTCTCTTCTGTGGCAAGTTTGGAGCAAGGTTTTTCTGTTGAATTGTTTTTGTTGCCCAGTCCTGTGTCTCTTGAATATTCTGCTTCTAACTTCAAACCTGTTAAAAGCTGTCTTTCATATGTCTGTCTTAGCAGTTGTTACCAGTGTTCATGGTGTAGTTTGGGAGGCTCCGAGTTACCCCTCCATTGTTTCTCACACAAGTACTACTCCATTGTCTTGTCAAAAATCTTACCTTTTGTTTCTGGATGCTGCTGGAACTGCTGCTGTGTGACAGCTGGGTGCTGCCTGCTCCAGTCTCCAGGCACTGCTGCAAGCAGTTTGTTTGTCCAAGTTCTTACACCTCCTCTCCATTTCTCTGTGCCTCCCGGTGACCTGCCCGGTCTCAGGGCCCTCAAGCCCTGCAGTTACAGAGGAGCAGAATGGGAACTAAATAGTTTCTTTCTGCCTGTACACATCAGGAATTGAGACATGCTGGGAAAGAGCCACTGCTACCCCAGTGTCCCAGGAGGAAGGTTACTTTCAATCCCTACCTGATGGAAATGGTTAGACTTGTGAAAATGGGGGCAGGTGGGTAACAGGACTGTTGACTTTTGACTGTGAATCTCACCAGCTGCTCCTTGTTGTAGGTGTCAGCAACTTTTGCAGCAAGTTTAGTTACCAGCCCTGCTATTGGTGCCTACCTTGGTCGAGTCTACGGAGACAGCCTGGTCGTGGTGCTGGCTACAGCCATAGCCCTGTTGGACATCTGCTTTATTCTTGTTGCTGTGCCAGAGTCGCTGCCAGAGAAGATGAGGCCAGCGTCCTGGGGAGCACCCATTTCGTGGGAACAGGCTGACCCCTTTGCAGTAAGCTATGATAATGTGGAGTATTTGTTAGTTGTAAACCTTGAGCTTTTGGGACAGGGAAGAGAATGAATTCACTATGTTTAAGGCTTGAGAAATCACATCTTTCAAGTTTAACTTTGTGTTGCTGCTAGTACTTTGCCAGTGACCACGCAGGGAAGGTTCTGGTGGTACCACAGCACAGCCCCAGGAATTGACAAGCTTTTGGGATTCTTGCTAGGTTGCTTGTTGAATATGAAGATTAAATGGTGCCTAATACTATTTTCTTGCCGTAGTCACTGAAGAAAGTCGGCCAGGACTCAATCGTGCTGCTAATCTGCATAACGGTCTTTCTTTCATACCTCCCGGAGGCAGGGCAATATTCCAGCTTCTTCCTGTACCTCAGACAGGTAACTGAACGTTTTGATACGGATTTGAACAAAAATGAATTTACCAGGCAGTTTGCAGCATGGATGGATGAACGCAGAACGTGGAGATAACCAGTGCGCTTTGCAGCTTCCAGCAGGTTTAAGTCCTCTTCCTGTTCTGGTTTTGTCTCCTTTTAGAGACAAATTGTTTTCTATTTATGCCCCTTTTTTTGTGTGTACTTGCTTGGAAGCAAGGACACACAATGGAAGGAACAAACCAAACACATCCCCACCCAACAAAACCCCCACCTTTTCTTCTAAGTTAGGGAGGGGTTGAATAATGCCAGCTGTGTGCAGTGCATTTGATGTTTATGACACCTTGATACGTACTTTACTGTTCATCATTCAGTTGCCTTTTTTTAATGCAGATCATGGGATTTTCATCGGAAAGTGTTGCAGCATTTATAGCAGTCCTTGGGATTCTTTCCATTATCGCACAGGTGAGTTTCTGCTCTGCATTCCATTGGCTTGGTAACCCCAGAAGAGCCAAGCGCTGTGCAGAACTTTCACAATGCTGCAGTTCCCTTAGGTGAAAACCCAGGCAGGGTTTGGTTCCTTAGCGTCCAGACTGCCTTGTGTTGGGAAAACCAAATCCTTTGTGCATCAAAGAAGAGGTGACAGTTTGTTCATGTTATTTCACAGAATCCCAGCCTGGTTTGGGTTGAAGGGCCCTCAAAGCTCATCCAGTTCCAGCCTCTGCCATGGCACCTTGTACTAGAGCAGGTTGCTCCAAGCCCCTGTGTCCAACCTGGCCTTGAACACTGCCAGGGGTGGGGCAGCCACAGCTTCTCTGGGCACCCTGTGCCAGCACCTCAGCACCCTCACAGGGAAGAGCTTCTGCCTTAGATCTAACCTAAAGCTCCCTTCATTCCGTTTAAAGCCATTCACTGGTCCTGTCACCACAAACCCTTGTCAAAAGGGCAGGTACTTGCTATACAGTTGCTGGTTCTTTAGTGGAGATTCCTGAATTCTTGGCAAATGCTGCTTACGGAGAATTGCACTTGGCTTTTGAAAATTAATTTGCATGTATTTAACATTCAGAATAGAATGTTTTGAGGTGTTTTGCTTTTTTAATTCATTACTCAAGCCGCATGGGTTGAACACTTACAATAAAATGTTGTTTTTCTTTGAAATGTTTCGTTTTTCTCTCTTTTTGCCGGTGTCAGACAATAGTTTTGAGTTTACTGATGCGGTCTATTGGAAACAAGAACACCATCCTCCTGGGCCTTGGCTTTCAAATACTGCAGCTCGCATGGTACGGCTTTGGATCAGAGCCCTGGTAGGTGAATATCGTTGTAGTGTCTGAACGATCCAGCCCTTTCCTGCACGTTACCCTTTGTCCAAGGGAGATGCTCGAGTGTGCATTTGGGTACACATATGTACGTGTGCCCACGCGCCACGGGACAGCGCAGTCACCCATGTCTGTGTGCTTGCAGGATGATGTGGGCTGCTGGTGCCGTGGCAGCCATGTCCAGTATTACTTTCCCGGCTGTAAGTGCACTGGTCTCCCGAACGGCGGATGCTGACCAGCAGGGTACGTGTTGTCCTCATTCAGATTGCGGCTTCCAAGTATTATGTCCTTCTGGCACACAGGGAGAACATTCACCAAGTCTCAACAGCAGCAAAATCAATAGCAAACTTCAGGTGCTGGCTCTTGCCTCACGTTTGACAGACATTTGCTATGTTGTGCAGGTTGCACACAGCAATTTACTCAGTGAGACAGCAAAAATACTTGAATAATGGCAATTTTTCTGCCCCCCCGCCCCGCTACCTTGCTACCCAGTATTGCAACATCATTTAGAGACACTTGCCTGCTTGCATCAGTTTTAAGTGACTGAAGTACTGTCGATCCATTAAAAATAGTTAATTCTAGATGTATAAATATAGATAACGGTGTATTTTACTGTTTCCAGGTGTTGTTCAAGGGATGATAACAGGAATTCGAGGCCTGTGTAATGGCTTGGGCCCAGCACTTTATGGTTTTATATTCTATATCTTTCACGTTGAACTGAATGAACTCCCCATGCCCGAGTCCCCATCAGGAGGCAGCGTGGTCACACAGTACCATTTGCAACAGGTATTCTTATTTTACTTACTGTTTTCAAAAACACAAGCTGGGAGGAGAGCCTGTGCCCGCTATCTCCTGAGCATCACTGTCTGTAGCCTACTGAAGTGTGTAACGAGATTCTTCACTCACTCTTGCCAAGGGTGGTTGATCTCTGTTTAACTTTACCTGGATGGCTTTAGTTTAACTCTTGGAGACAGCTGACTGTAGTTAGGGAACTGCTCACCCCTGTGCAGAGACTTGATGGAGGAGAGGATGGGCTGAACAGCAGCGTCCTGATGTTCCTGTCTCCCTGGCACTGTATTTCTGTTTCACCTTGTATGTTTTGGTTTTGTTGCTCTTTAACCAAGCTTTCTGTACTTGCTTTAGTTCCTGATGGATATTAATTTGTTGAGGAGACTCAGCAGAAAGAACTTTCACTAGAAGAGGAAGTGGGGGAGCAGTAATAGGAAAGCATCTGCTCCCTCTCGTAAATGTCCTTTCCCCTATGGGGACATGTACTGAAGTGCTGAGTGTAGCAAGTGACAGTTCTTCCTTTAAGGTCTCCTTAAGCTCATCCAGTCCAACCTTTCCCCAGCACTAACCCATGTCACTGAGGGCTGTGTGTGTAATGAGCAGCTGTGGTCTGCTCCCGGGTGGCTGAGGGCCCTCTAACCCTGTGTGGTGTTCCTGTTGTTTCCAGAACTCCATCATTCCTGGCCCCCCTTTCCTGTTCGGAGCCTGCTCCGTGCTGTTGGCACTACTCGTTGCCTTGTTTATCCCTGAACACACCAACCTGACTGTCCGCTCCAGCAACTGGAAGAAGCACTGTGGCAGCCATGGCCACCCCCACAGCCCCCAGGCTCCTGGGGAAGCTAAAGAACCATTGCTGCAAGATACAAACGTATGACAAGAATTTAGGAAGGGATTTTGGACTTTGTTTTCCATCAGCAGTTTGGGATACACATTCCAGTTCCATCCAGAATGTCAGTTCTTAAGGTGATCTTAAGAAGTATATTTCTGCATGAAATCCATAGGAATTAAAAAAAAAAAAAAGTTTCTCCAAAGATGTTGCCAGAGTTAATAATTTGCTTTTAAACACAAACTGTTACGTACTTGTCTCTTGCCATGAAGTACTGTTACTACTCAACCTTACCTTGTAGTTCAGAGACAAAACAGACCAGTCCAGGCATGAGCATGTGTCCTTCTGCTTCCTTAAGGTGGTGAGCTTTAATTCCAGTTGTGCCAAGTCTCAGTGAGACACAGTGGCACCCCCGGGGACCCCATTGTAACGGTGTGAAGTCCTGGGTCAGGTGATTCAAAGCCTTAATGTACATGTACTCCAGGAGGAGCAGGGGAATCAGGACCATTTAGTTTCAAAGGCGTAGGGCAGGTTTTTTAGGTTTGTACTAATATGAAATCACAGGAGCACGCTTGCTGAGCAGTCAGAGTTATTTTTATGTAAGTGCATTTACTCTTTCTATCTTTGAATAAACGGGAGTAGCAAACACTTGGTTAAGTGGGTGTTTGTTTTGAGCCTTCAGCGTTTACTGCTGGCTCCAAACCTCTGCTTCCCTATGTACCGTTTATTATACCACTCTATTTCTGATGTTTGCATAATCATACAAGGACCTCAAAACTTGAATACACAGACTGAACTATAAGCTGATGATAGCCTTGAATATGTCCGTGTGCTATATAGTGGCCTTTGAGGACTGTCACAATAACCCTTTTGCATTACAGAGCTAATGTTTTAGTCCTAAATTTTCAGGACCCTTAGTACAGAAGAGAGCTTTATACAATTACTGATGTGAATTTCTCAAAAAGTGTATATTTTTGTGTCCAGTTGTATTATTTAAGTGTTCCTTTGTATAAATTTGTGTATAAAGTATTGTATAGGTTTAAAATGTTTTCATCTTGTGGTTATTGCTTAATGCTTTTTTACCTTTGAACGTTCACCATGGTTGACCAAGAGCAGGAAAAAAAATGTAAATATCCTGTTAATAAAGTTGAATATTTTAATGAATTTTTAAATAATTGTTCCTGTCTCTTAAAGCTTCAACTGAAGTAAGTGGTATAGTGTGTGTGTTTTGTACTGCAGCAAGTGAGAAGCACTGTCAGTGCAGTGGGGCTCATGAGTTAACGCTCTTAAACGGTTACTAATTGGGTTTTGATAAAAATCATTTAATAGTTCCATGGAAACCTTCACATGCCAAACCCAGTGACCATCATACATGAACATGGTGCCAATTTAGAAACAAATATACACATTTTGCATTGCAAACCAAACCACTTAAATACACAGTCTTCTGGATGCACTTAAATAACTAAGGTAAAAGGTACAAAATATCTTTAACAACAAAAGTATATAAATAGCCATTTAAAAAAAAGGTGTGTTTTGCATGTTTACAAGTACTTCCATTCTACACTGAGTAAGAGACAGCACAGAACAAAGCTCTTCTTACATGATTTGAACATTTGAAGCCAGGGAGCAGGACAAGCTGAACAGACTAAGTCCCTCTAAACCTGAGTATCTTAAATGCCTGCAGCCTGACAGTATTAAAGGGTGATTAGTAAAAATCAAGTACCTTTTAGCTGCTTGTTGTGATGCTCTCCCTGGTTAACTGTTCCCATGCTCACCAGGTACCTTCTATGCAGAGTGGAACAGAGCCCCAAGAGCTCAATAGAAAAGTCAGGGTAACCAAAAGTAAAACCTCTGAATTACAATTTTTGACCGTCACTGAATTAACTGTCCATCTTTAATTCCATTATTTGTATGTCTGGATGCAATCCAAATAAGTTTTTTAGATTAAAACAGTCACCCTCAGTTATGAGCTTGACCATTATTAACATTGACAGCACCACTCAGTTCCCAGCACTTTTCAGTTGCATCATCCTTTCTCCGAAGAGTCAAGAGGAATTGGCACAAGAGACCTGGTCTCTCTCAGGGAATGCTGGCATGTCCAGCTCTCCTGTTACAAAACGCACTCATCAATGCCTACGATACAAAGGTCAGCGCACTCGGGTGGGTTTTAGGAAGACTACAGGCTCACCAGGCGGACACTGCGCAACTGCAGGGTCTCGCCAGGGCTGAGGCCGCTTAAAGCTTTATCTTTCCCTTAGGCTCACGCATCCTGAGAAGTCATCAGTGTCAGTCAACACACCTTTTGCAAAGAAAAGAGATCCAGAGTTATAAAATCATGTCAGTTCACATCGATACTTTACTAATACCTTATTACAGTGCATCCAAAAATCCCCCCCCGGGGTTAAGAGAGGACTCCTACTGTTGGAACCCTGTCTGCTATCCAGGAAAATAAGCTGAGGCTGGTGTTGCTGCAGCTTTCGGTGATGGTGTGGCTTTTGGTGGCAAGTAGGGTTTCAGATACTCTGTAGAACAGCAGAAACAAGACAGTGGTCATAGAACCAGAACTGTTACTACGTTTCAAATAAGGTCCCGTTTTACTATTTCCATACATACCTGAGTTGAGTGTATTTTGACTAAGCCCTCGTAAAGGAATGCTGTCATCTTTCCTCTTGAAATACTTTGAATCCAGCCCCAAATTGCCACCACTAGAAAGAAAAAGGCCAATTAAAGTTTAACACACACGTTAATACACTGCTACCTCCAACAAATGTGAACAAAGACTCATTCAGAAAAACCTGAACTTCAGGTAGAAGGACTGCATTCCTCTGAACTTTATCATTTAAAGGTTAAGAACAGTCTAGAACTCATCTCTTGTCTGACCTATCACCCAGTACCCTTCTATCTGTCACCAGGAGGGACAATAGCTTTCTGTTCCTTGGGACTCCCTCCTGAAAGCATGGCTCTTCAGCTGATGGCCACAAACCATGCCCAGTGACCGGTTCAGGCTGCCACAACTTCACATGCCTGAACATGTTGCTGGGCAAAGGCAGTACTGAACAAGCTTAGTACTTGGAACTTTTTGCTCGGTTCCAGACACACATGGAACATAAATGGCTTCATAAAATCATTTAATAAACAAAAACCCTACAGTCCTACAAATGCACCCACCAACACTTACTTCTCCTTATTTGCTGGATGACTGGTTGCAGTCACTGTCTGCACATCTGAACATCGATTCATTTTAGGAAGCTGGGTGTTAAGCTGGATCTGCAGACACAAAAGAGTTGCAGGTGAAAGAGAACCACTCCACTAAGTGTATTCACAGAGAGAACTTTGCAGGGCTCAGTGTTTCTATCCCCCACCTAGCCCTTCTGTGCAGCAAAGCATGCAAAAAGGAGCAACCTAAACCCAAGCATTAGCTATTGCTAATAGTGATACCATTTGAGACAGGGTTTAAGATGCACTGGGATATACAGTAAATACTTAGGCATTTGGAGAAATACCCAGAACATTAAAGCTTTGCTATTTTATGCCATCAACATTCTGAACCAAACAGAAAAGTCCAAGTGCCTGCCTTCGGTCCTGGAGGCTGGGAACTGATGGTTTTGGTGTGTGCTGGTTCTGTGAAGTTCTGGAAGGCATATAAAGGAGAAACGGGATGACTGATCCCTGAGCTGGGAAAGGACGGTCGTTCATGCTGTAAGAGAAATAGAATACATCCATAAAGGAGGAAAACAATTCTTGAAGTGATTGTTTAGAGATTCAAAATTCCAAACTTAATAACTAACGCAAAGTTAATGCTTGCCTGAGGCTTCCCAGTGGTAAGAAACCCACTTTTTCTTAATGAAAACGTGTAACTTTAAATACTTAGAGGAATTGAGCACTCTTAGCTAATAACTATAATCTCATAATAAGCTGTACAATTACACACCCTGTCACTGGTCAATACATTAATTGTAACCAGCTATAACTTAGAGACCTCTTTACATGAATATGCCCTTTCACTACTGAGCAAGCAGTTCACCCACTGCCGGGTGACAACAGCCTGTGTACATGGGGCCAAGGTGAGAACCAATACACTGTGGAATTTACAAAGACAGCAGGATCTTACCCCTTATTTTCATGCTTCTCAATATCACTACTAGTAAGAGTACTCAAAGAGCACACTAGGTAAATATAACTGTTGTGAGGTAGGTAACCCCACAACACAAAAATGTCACCTCCTCTTTTCTTCCCCTTTCACCCTGTGCATCTTTTCCAAGGTAATTTTGCATTGTTTGCGTATTCTAATAGATGAGAGCTTAGAAAAGTCTCCCTGAGGAGGGTCAGGGCATTAAGTAGCACCCAACAGGGTGTTATTAGAAAACAAAAGGCAGAAAAAATCCCCACAAAAAACAAAGACCAAAACCCCCCATAATTCACCACACACACACACACACTAAGGCCCAAGGAAGATAAAAGCACGTTTTGTTTTTCCCTCTTTTAAGGCCATACATTTAAGGCAACAACTACGTCACTGCCCCGCTCTAGTTGTACCTTACCATGCCATGAGGAGAGATAGCAGTCCTAACACCAGCATGAGCACTCGCAGAAGTCTCCAGCTTCTTTGTCATCTGGATTTCATTCAGCTGTTTGTTTAACCATGTGATTACTGACAAGAGAAGACAGAGGCCAAGCTTGCTTCCCACCTCTTACAAGCTGCTCACAACAGCGAGCAGCCCTTCCTCAAAGAAACAAATGGCAGCTCAGAGTGCTCTTTTCCATCTTTAAGCTCAAGCAGCACTAGGAGCCCCAGTCTCACAAAAAGCCCTTTTGCTCCAGGTTCCTGCAGCCCTACATGCGTTCTTGTCCCTCCTCCAGCATTAGCCCCACCACACACACTACCCCAAGCACCAAAGGAAGTTGTGGGCATGCAACAACCCAGAGCTGCATGTAGAGACCACAGACAGCAGCTTATTTTCCATAAACAACAACAACCTCTCTACAAAACAGTAGCACACAGGTGAAGCACTGTAGTTGCTCCCGTTAACTTGCAGGAGCAGGTAGATCGCTACATCATTGTTACAGCAGAAGAAAGGAGATTTCACAGACCTACCATTCTCATTTGTTTTCAGTAACTGTTTACTTTCCTCCAGCTTCTGCATGGTGGTTTCCAGCTGCTCCTGCAGCTTGCAAACCTGCAATATTCCCATAAGAATGACAACACCATCAGGTGCTACTACAAACTGGAGTTGTTCTAAAGTTAAGGAAGTCCAGGCCCAGTATTTTACAGAAGCAGGATGATAACTCCTTCCAGGTAAGCCCTACTTTTAGTTAGGGGCAGACAGAAACCTTTCTGCTCTTCACTTTTTATGATTAAACAATGCAAAGACTAAGCAGGAGAATACATTTAATGGAAGGAAAAGTTCACCCTGTTCCTGCCTCCTTCCCCAGCTTCCACACGAATCTGCCCTCTGAAGGATGTCAATTGCACTGCTTTGGACTCTTAACACAATTCCGTTCTGTTCCATATGGGTGGATGGAACAGATGGGGAAGAGCCCCCCATCAGTTTAAAAAGAACAAATTAAAAGCTGATTACACATTTAAATGTGTTAAACTAAAAGGGTACTTTCTATTCCATGGGAAGATTTAAGACCTTATTGCTGTAATTAAGTTAAAACCCATCAAACCCAACACCCTGCACAGTAACATCTGTAGGAGGGAGGGTTAACATGTCAGTACCTCCTGCTCTTTCATCCGAAGAGACTGTCCGACCTCCTGCAGTTCCCTCTGCTCTTTTTGAAGTCTCTCTTCCTTTTCTGCCAGGAGCTTTTCCTGCTGAATTGTTACTGTGTTTTTCAATTTTAATTTGCTCATGAGCGTTTTCAGATCTCCCTGTAACTTCTTGATAATTTCATTGGCCTAGTGAGAAGAAAAATCATCAGATACTCTCAAGATAAACCCCTGAAACTAAAGAAGACATTTCATAACAATGATGTTTGCTTAAACAAACCTTAAGCAGTTCAGCTGACAGCGACTTAATGGTTGCCTCTAGTTTTTCAATATGACTGTGTTTTTTCTCCGTGCTCTCCTCCAGGATCACCTTTAAGACAACATTGAAAACAGTGTTATAAAGATGTGACAGACATTGCTGGTGATTTCAAGGAGCACCTCAGGAATTCTGAGGACTGATCCTCACAAGAAATTCAGTCTTTGCTTTTCAGTCAAATTTCAGTCAAATTCACCCATTTTTTGTTCACAAGAACTAGCACTAACTGTACTCCACTACCACAACACTAACACAGCAGCAACCCTTGTGAAACTGAATCGAGTGTACTTGTTACGCTGTAATTTAGAATCTTTAACTCCATCTGAAAGCTTCCTTGCTGTATTCATAAAAATTGCTCAGCTGCTAAGCTATGGAGGCTGCACTTCATGTTCTACAGGGCTTTGGAGGAAATGATTTTGAAACTTGAAGGAACCTTTTGTTCTTGTGTCGCATCCAGTACTTCTTTTGTTCTAATAACTAGCTGATCTTTGTCTTTGATCTCTTGCTCCAGAACAGCAACCCGTGTCTGTAGCTGGTTGATGAGCTTCTCTTTTTCATGGCACTCAGCATCCAGAGTACTGTTCTCCCGACGCAGCGACAGCACCTCCTGCTTTGCTCTTTGACATTCCTAGAATGTTGGGAAGGAATTTGATCTTTAAAGAAAACCTGCAGTACTAATTTAAAGACCTATATCTAAAGAGTAACATCATGTGGAACGAGTATCAGCAGAACAAAATTAATATGCTATATTTTCTATTACACGCACAGGCAGGCAGTGTGAATGCTCTAAAACTAGGAAGTTTGGTTATGGGAAATAATAAAGCATACATCTTCTATTCCAGAAAGCTTTGCTTTCAGTTCTCTGACTGTGGAGTCTCCTTTGTATCTCCTTTCTGTTAGATCCTTATTGATGACCTCAAGTTCCGAGAGTCTGTTCTGCAACTGCTGAATACTTTTCTGATGTACATTTTCCAGTTCCTTTTTCTGTTGTTCATGCTGCTGTTGGTACTGAGCTTGTGCCTGTGAGAAGAAAGGAAACCCAGCAGTTATTCAGTGAAGCTGAAAATAAAGGCAGGAAACTTTCATGTGTAAGAATATTGTCAAGTCTCCTCTGTTGCCATACCTGGAGAGCTCTCTCCTTTTCATTTGTCAGCTCCTGGGTGTGTTTGTTTGTTAGAGCTGTAGTATGTGATGTCCACTCATGTTTTAGTTTGTCAAGTTCCCGGTTTCTCTCTGACAAGCTCTGTTGAAGTTTGACAATGCAAATAGAGTTTTACAAATTTAAGCACTTCAGTTAATACTGAATGATTCTTTACCGCTACTTCTTAAAAAGAGAGACATTGAATTCTTAAGAAAATTCTAGATTTCAGCACCAGATGTCAAAATATCTTTAAACAGGATACCTTAACAGAATTTAAACATCATTCTCTAAGCAGGAAAGTAAGGCACTGAGAAGCTAAAGAGCACCTTTCCAACACTGTGGATAAAAGAATCTTCATTTCCAACTGAATTTTCTTCCAACCACTGTTTAGGAGTGAAAATAAGTATCTGCTGATGTTCCTTACCCTTATAATACAAGGTGCTCTAGTATAGTACATAACGTGCATGTGCATACATAGACAGACCTCTGTTCCAAATGAAGTGAAATCCTGGTTTGGTACTCTAAGAAATACATTTTATTCTCCAGTTACATCCTTTGCTTGTTCTGCTCCAACAGACTGACATTCTTTTCACTCACTCAAAGTCAATTACCGTGGCTAGGTAGCGGCTAACCAACCAGCCCACAAGAAGGTACATTTCTACAGATTAAAACAAAGTGCAAACAAAGGGAAGGTAAAGCTGTATGTTACCTGTTGAGTGTAGCTCAGCTGTCTGGTAAGATCCTCTTCAGTTTTTCTAAGCTTTTCTTCCAACATCAGTTTGTCTTCCTATGTACAAAGTGACATCAAGTCAAAACCTTAGCTCCCAAAATACAAGTAGTAGTTAGCTTCCATTTCATCAGCATACCCTGCCTAAGCAACAAATATCCATTATATTTGTGGAAAAATCATCTTATTTAATAAACTTCACATTCAGGAAGATTAAAATAAATTTTAAAGGCATTAGATACAAGGTAAAACCCCTAATAAACTCTTATCAATTTTCTATAAGGGAATAGTATCATAAAGTCTTGCTTACAAATGAGTTGCATGAACAACAGATCTACTGAACTACTGCAAATGTATGGATTGAAATGGCTTATTAGACGGGTATAAACATGACAGCCCAGCAAAGGAGACAATCCCAGGCTATGAAACTGAACAGACAACAGTCAAACTATGAGAGCATTACCTTCTCTTTCAATAAAACCTAGCAAGCTACAAGTGCTAGCAAGTGCACCAACATCGCAATTTTAGTTTGCTATTTATAGCTACTAGCCCTTTGAAGTCCATGAAGCCTCAGAATTACACACACAGGCATGCTTTCCTAAAACAACTGCACAACAAAGAGCATGAAAGTTTACAGGGTTTTATTTTTGCTGTTGCTGTGGCAATGAGCACAAGGCTGTGAAGCTGAGACACTGGAGCATTCACCAGCTGCACTCTCCGTGCACTGCATGTGTAAAATACCTGATTTCCTGCCAGCTTTGCTGAATATACACGTAGCATTTTCCTTGCTAGAGTGACAGTAACAATTTCGGTTTAAAACTTGCACCCAAATAACTGCATGCAATGACATATATGAGCTAAAGTAAAACAATAAACCAAAACATACAATTTGATAAACGCTTCTGAAGTATTATTAAGACTAACAAAAATGCTCAGGTACACAGAGCAGTGACAGCTATGTCAATTTTTCATTTTACCTTGAGGCACTTCAAACAGCTGGCTAAAAACTTCTTTATTTCTGCATCATTTCCTGGTAGGAATTTGAGAGAGAGGTGGGTAAGGTGTTTAAAAGGGTTTGTCTCCACTACATTTAAAGAGACAGGTGTGTGATCTAGAACAGATGCTGAAGACACTAACTGCAGCAAAAACCTAGGGAAAAGAGAAATAATCAGGTGTTTAGCACATTTCTTTTCATGACACTACCTTCATAGATCCTACAAACTATTTTCAAATAAAATATATTTTTGTACGTACAAGAAAAGACAGTCCAGCTTTTGTTTGAACTATGAAATGTGATCCCTATGTTGTAGTTAATACTACAAACAAGTAGCAACTAAAAGGCTTGCAATTAAGAATAAGAAATGTACAAAACTAAGCAGTCTATTTGTACAATTTTCAGAACCATGTCTTAGGAGTCCAAAACCAAGTAAGGCTTTTGTAACCAAACTGGAGAGGAAAGTAGACTCCTGACTTTCAGGTATCCTACAGCCTAGGAAAAATCATAGCCCACATTATATACTTTAGGAAATGGCCTGACTACTAGAGTGGAGCTGTGTGCTCTGCACAAGGCCTCCCTTGATACCCACACAAACAGAAACATGGGAAAAGGCTGCTACAGGGAGAGTGGAGCTCAGGTTGTCCCCCTCACACTTTAATATCTGAACACTGAAATGAAAGACAGAAAATCATCCTTGCCAGAATGCCTTATAACTTTGCCTTCTCCTATGAAACGCAACTCCATGAAATTCAGAGCAGCTCTCTACCACTAAAGCATTAAAAGGAGCAGTGCTGCACCCTTGCTCATCTGCCAGCCTGGGAAGCTTGCCAGCTCCAGATCAGGTGGGGAGACTATCACTGGATATCAATCCCACTGCTCTGTCCTCAAAAGACTTAAAGTTTTGTCGGTAACTACCACCAACTCAGACACATCCAGAGAAGGTTCTCTCGTTTTATGAACCCTTCTCCAGCAGATCAGCTAACAAGTATTTTAAGGACTCCCAACATACACACAGAGTAACATGGCACTCACTTATGACCTACCTTGGGATATCTTTATTCTGTTCCTGAATGCACTGCTGAAGCAAATCGATAAATTTTTGTGGGAAAGCAGAGAAGTCCACCAGGAGACCCTGCTGGGACTTTAAACTGTAGAAACAGGGTGAGGGGGGAAAAATTAACAATATATAGGAGAGTTATTAATTTCCTAGAAAATACTTTGTTTATACCAGTGGAAAGAACTAATTCTTATCATGCCAATTAAAGTTCATCAGCAGAGTATTTTCAATCCTGAATGCAGAAGAAATATAATCACATCTTCGATAGCAATCAACAGAGGACATTTTTGTGTTCAAGACTTCAAATAAGTTACCATGGAACAATAAATGTAGTCCTCTGAGTAGATGCCTTCCTTACAGCACAGAGCAGATAGGGGCACATGAAAGAAGCAAAGGACAATGAGAGGAGACTCAATCTTTATCAAGACTTTATCCAAACAACAAAGCAGATCATGCTGGACGCTCAAATCTGATGGCTGAATTCTGAGCAAGTGAAGCAAACTGAGACTCGGCAATGCAGTTAGCATGCAAGAAACCCAGAAGACAGGAGCTCAGTTCCGAGAGTCCCTGTCCAGGCAAACAGACTTTCCTCTTGCAAGTATTGCCTGGAATACTTCACATGCATACAAGAGTCTATGTGAAGTAGTTACAATAGACAGAAGATGGAAGTAGGAATATGAACTGCGGTACTGTAGCTATATGCAGGGAAGTTAACATCAGGATTCTGTCACTCATCTGAATAAACCTGAGCCAGATCATTTTCCTGTACATGGCTGTTTCACTGAATGGCCAGGGAGAACAATATCACCAAAATTCTGACAAAACTTCACAAGAGAAAAATGCCAAAACTGAAATTCTATGATAACCATTCTAAGCTAAAAATATTCCTTCATTCTTTTTTGTCATTTGGAAATGATTCACATACAAGACATGACAATATCACTTACCTTTGAAAATCTTCCTCAGATATGACAAGGTTATAAAGGAAAAAAGGATCGGTATCATCAGTCAATCGAACAGCTAAATCCTGAAGACAGACATTTAAATATGATTTAAAATACCATAAACCATCCTGTAGGATTGTTTAAACATTGTAAACCAATACTGCAAACAATATTTAATGTTTTTACCGTTTAACCACACATTAAGATAGAACTGTGGCAACTCATTTGAAGGCAGAAAATATTAACATTTAACACAATTGCAAACATTACAGTGGGAAAAACTGAGAAAACTTCCTCACAAAAATAAATAAACCAAGTAAAAAACTTCAACTTTGAGCACCTTTGAGGCTTCAAAGTTCAATGCGTCTTCAGCATTCTGCAGAAAGAAAACTATGTGCTATTTTTCCTCATCATGAAATAGGACTGGCAGCACTGTAATAGATCACAAACACATAATTCCCGTAACTGGAAGGTTTTCATAGCATACTGCTCTTAGAAGTTTAAGAAACAACCTTCTGAAGAGTTTATGTGTTTGAGTAAGCCCCTATGGAAAACTGTAGCACTATACTACTTAGACTTAAAAGCAAACTCATTTGTTTGCTGGAGGTGTACACAGTGCTTTGGAAAAGCTGCCTCCTTGGTAAACCTTAGTCTTTTACTGCAAGGCTGGGCTTATGCTAAACACCTGCTACTGCAGGCCCAGGCTCTCTGTAATGAGGCTCAAACCTGTGTGAAGAATGTAGTACTCCCCAGGCAAGGAAAGAAAGGAAGTAGAAACCTGACAGCTCCTCCAATGTAACTGACGTGACCACAGCACACCTACACATAGAAATCCGAAACCAGTTTCAGTGATTCAGATGCCAGCAACGCTAACAAAACTCTTAATTGGAGGTGGATTTATATGTGCAAGCAGCTTATGTTAAAACTAATGTCAGCCCACTCCAGCCTGACACAGGCTGCACCTCGGTACACGGTCCTTAGCTGAACTGCTTCTTCGCACCTAATATTATCATGCACAGTTAGCAGAATCTTACAAAACAACTGCTGTACTCCTTTACAAACAAATCTTTACTCAGTAACACTAAAACTAATGACATCTTAACATCATGGTAGGTGGATGCACAGTTTAACTGACAAATTAGACATAAACAAAAAAAGATTTTTATACATATATATTATATATATAAAGGATATAACCTCCAACAGTAATCTCATTGCTATTTTTCCTGAGAAAGACTTTATTTTACTGCAAATTTAGTACATCCTTTCTATCTCCACTGGATGAATTCCAAACATTCCAAGACTACCACTTATCAATAACAAAATGTTACATTTATCCACAAGTTGGCATTCTGGCTGGTTAAGATGAGATTTTTGCAAAGACAACTGCTGCTCCACATTCCTCAGTGTTCAGTACATTTACAGCAAGACTGCTCTCAAGCTCTCACTGGGGTTCCTCTGAGGGTCTCTGAATACTTTTAATTTCAAAGTTTACTACAACCCATGAGCTGCCAAACTAAGAGGGCCAAAAGGCTAGAAGACACCATACCACATCAACTAAATTACTCTAGAAATTACATCTAAATTGAAATAAGGGCAAGTGACAGACATACGAATATTCTATTTTGTTTTTCCTTTGCCCATTTGTCCTCTTATACAGTAAAATTGAGATTAATACCTAGTAAATGACACAAATATAACTAAATTCACAAACCTTCTTATGAACAGGATTAGAAATGGACAGTAGCTCAATATTCACCCGAACATTTAATCTCCTGCATGCAAAAAAAAGATGAAGCTTAGTAACAAATCAAGAAAACAATATTCAAACACCATGTGTTCGTAGCTGTATTACAGGAATCAGATAACATTCCAAAGCCACAAACTTAGGCAGGAATATCACAAAAGTGTCCACTGATGACTACTACTAAGATACCTGAAAGCCCCACAGTTTCAGTAATCATTACAGCTCCTCAGTCAGCTCAGGCTTTTTATTGCTTGTTGTCGGCCAAACTTTAAATAGCAAGGTTTGAAACTTCGTCCAGAAGCTGGAACCTTTGCAAAAGTCTGAAATTTGTTAACAACTGCTGAAACTTCACAATCATTTGTACTGTGCTACCTTGTCTTCATTTACTTCTTGCTGAGTGATCCATCCAAGAAGTTACTTGCATTACAGAATATACCCACAGACATCAGCCTTCCTGTGCTCCCAACATGGGAGAGCCAGAGCAGCCCTAACACCTGCACACACAGCCTAATCCAGATAGGACCTACGTTACTGAAATTCACTGCATGCTGAATAGACACTGCACCCCACTTGGAGCACTGTGTGCAGTGCTGGTGTCCTCAACATAAGAAGGACACGGAGCTGCTGGAGCAAGTCCAAAGGAGGCCATAAGGATGATGAGGGGCTGGAGCACCTCCCATACAAGCACAGGCTGAGAACATTGGGGCTGTTCAGCCTGGAGAAGAGAAGCTGTGTGGAGAACTCAGAGCACCTTCCAGTGTCTTAAAGGGGGCTACAGGGATGCTGGAGAGGGACTCTGCACCAGGGACTGTAATGACAGGACAAGGGGTGATGGGTTCACACTGAAACAGGGGAAGTTCAGGTTATATCTAAGGCAGAAGCTCTTCCCTGTGAGAGTGCTGAGGCGCTGGCACAGGGTGCCCAGAGAAGCTGTGGCTGCCCCATCCCTGGCAGCGTTCAAGGCCAGGTTGGACACAGGGGCTTGGATCAACCTGCTCTAGTGTGAGGTGTCCCTGCCCGTGGCAGGGGTTGGAGCTGGATGAGCTTAAGGTCCTTTCCAAACCAGTCTGTGATTCTAGGATTCCTGTGCTTTCCCAACCACCACTACTGAGCCACACACACGGGTGCAGCCGCATCGCCTTATCACTCGGCACAACCCTATCGGGACAGACGTGTGGGCACGCCGGGCCAGCACCGAGGGAGCTGAAACGCTGCCGGAGGCCGCTGTGAGGCCAGCTGCAGGCTGCGAGGAGGCGGCGGCGTCCTGCCGGCGGGGTAACCGCTGCGGCCTGGGAGACGCGCAAACAGCGGCCCCGCCCGCCGGGCTTCAGAACTGAGAGGGCGAGGGGAGGGAGTCAGCGGGGCTGGAAAAGCCCTTTAAGCTCATCCAGTCCAACCGTTCCCCAGCACTGCCAAGGCCACCACTAACCCATGGTACTGAGGCCTCGTCTCCACGGTGTGTGAACACCTGCAGGGACGGTGACTCCAGCACTGCCTTGGGCAGCCTGTTCCAATGCCTGGGCACCCTCTGGGGAAGGAATTGTTCCTCAGCTCCATCTAAACCTGCCCTGGTGCAGCTTGAGGCCGTTTCCTCTTGTCCCATCCCTTGTTCCTTGGGAGCAGAGACCGACCCCACCTCACTACAACCTCCTGTCAGGCCTGTAGGGAACGATAATGCACCTATTTCGAGGCAGAAACCCCAGCCCTCCCGTCGCCTGCAAGGGGGGCCTCTTGTTTCTGTACAGCCCCTGTGTGTTTCCTCCCCACCACGGCCCTCTCGCTTCCCTCTCCCCAGGTAAGACACCACAGCAGCCGCCCCAGCTCTCACTGACTACCTCCAGCCTCGCCGCGACCAAGTCCCCTTTCCCCTTAACGCAAAGGGTCCCCATTAGCAGCCCCAAAGCAAGAAGAACGCAGGCAGCTACCGAGCTCACCGCGCGCAGGACGCTGCCTCTACCCATCAGCTGTTAGGGCACAATACAGAGAAAAGAGAGAAAGAGAGGAGGACAAAGCCTGCCGCTCTGCAAGCCGTTCTCCTACAGGATGCAGTAAAGTTTCCGCTCAGCGGCGAGGCCACCAAACCTCCCTCACCTCTCCTCGCAGCCCGGGCACCTCACTTGCACACACACAGGCCGGTTGAACAGCCTCTCCGCCGCCATCTTGCGCTCCGAACTTCGCGCGCAGCTCCCGCGGAGGAGGAGCCTCAACATGGAGGGGAGGCAGTAGCCGCGGGGGGCGCTGGGACGGCAATGGCGGCGCCGGCGGCGGGCCGCGGCTGCCCGGTGCCAGGGCGGTGCGCCTACTTCGTGGAGAAGAAGAAGCGCTTCTGCAAGATGATCCCGGCTCCCGGGAGGCGCTTCTGCGGGGAGCACGGGCAGCAGGAGGTACCGCGCTGTGCCCCCGCTCCCGCTGGGGAGGGCCGGCTCCTGGCGTGAGGGGAGCCCCGGCGGTATTGTTGAAGGGATGGGCTGGGGCTGTCACTCAGCCCGGCAGTAGCGCTGCCATCGCGCTGCAGGTTTATTCTGTTAGGATCCAATCGCATGTTAAATTCCTGTCCCGGTGTCTCTATCCCCCCGGTTAACCTCCCTGTCTCCGAATAGATGCTTTATGAACCTCGGGTGTCCCGCAGCAGCTTTTCTGGAACAGGGATACTGAATGCATGCTGAAGTGGCGTCTAAAACCTTTCTTTCGTTACTAGGAGGAAAATGGCAGAAAAAGGATTCCATGTCCTCTTGATCCAAAACAGTAAGTAAAATAAATGTTTTTTATATTCTTTGCAAGAGTTCACATGATAAGTGCCATTACTTAATTTGTTTCCCCTTTTGGATTTTAGCACGGTATATGAAGACCAACTACAAAAACATTTAAAGAAATGTAATTCAAGAGAGAAGCCAAAGCCAGTAAGTGCAGTGTAAATATAGCACTACTTCCTCTCCACCGAAGACCCTAAACATTACAGCTTTGCAGAGAACTGATTGTGCTGACAGTAGCTGTGAACTGGAGGACAGCAAGTGCTGCAGTAAGGGCAGCATGGAACCTGAGTAACTACTTGCTGGGGTGGAATTCACATCCTCCACATGCCCTGTCGCTGTAGTTCAGTACAGCTGTTCAGTTCTTGTAGTTCCAAATGAAAATGCTGAATTAATGTTTCGCTAACGTTCTCCGAGAACAGTCTTTCACAACACCATTCGTTTCAGATGCTTGGTGAGAGATTCCTCAGAGAGAGATGGCTTCTTTATTGTTTGCCTTTCTGCCTTACAAGTATTGTACATTCAGCATCACCTGAGAAGTCTTAAAAGGGTCTTTGGGATCAGTCTAGTAAGCACTGACAGCTTAACTCTTCTCACTTGTTCAATCTAGTTAAAATGTGTCAGAACAGTCATTTCTGCTTGGGATTCAGGGGCAGACTATAGAGGAAAAAATACTTGGAATATCTTCTTTTGCAGTATATTCCTCTTGCTATGTACCTTATAAGAAACACTGAAGAACTTAGCTTTTTGCTTCCTGGTAATTAACATAATCAGATTTCCTTTCCTTTTTAAAGGTCTATTTTGTTCAAGATATTAATGCAGGTTTAAAAGATGTAGCAGAAATACCAGAAAAACAGGTGAGTACATTTATTTGTTCTAAAGCTCAGTCCCTACAAAACATGTTGTAATTTGTGGTATGACTTCAGAGCTAGCAAAAATAGAAAGGTCTTGTATTTATGGGTGGTGCTTTCTTTTCTTTTTTTCCTCCTTAAAAAGGTACCTCTCTCTTCTCTATCCAAAGAAGAGCTGCAGAACTTGATAATTAAGTTGAAAAAAGCAAGTAATGGTGAGCTTCCTTAATTCTGAAAATGTTTTACATTTAATTGATTAAATATTTCATTATTAGATTTGTTGTTGGATATCTATGAAAATGTGAGATACTTGGCATTAAACACATGAAGTCATTATCATCAAGGCACAGACAATCCTCCCATAGGTAAATTTTACTCAGAAGAATACACTATATTGAGAGAATGCTAAAACACTGATCTTTGTTAGATAGCTGTCCTGGGTTCAGCAGTAGCAGTCATTTTTTTCTTTTCCTTTTATGTTTTTTGTTTCCCATCAAATACAGTTAACAACACAACTCTGATAAACATACATGATAGATCTATGCTCCCAACAGACTATTTTGTTAGTGCTACAGATTGAACTCACGTCTGAATATGTTACAAAACCAGAAACTCGTAGAAACTGGAAACCTTTACCTAAAAGCTTTGCATTTGCATGCAGGCCTGGAATTTCACGTTAAGGAACAAATACTGTCCCACCAGGCTTTACAGGAAGCCTTAAATGACCCAAGGAATGGGAAATCTGCTTTCAAACACTTGAAACAACAGGTATGGACACGGCTTTACTGATAGCTATAGATATTTTTAAACATGTGGAATTCTGCTGCTGTAAATTTGTGACTGCATTCATAATGCTGGTCACTCCACATAAAGGAAATCTGGTATACAGTATAACTACGCTCTTCAAATGATAGCATATATATATATATATATAACCTTGGAATGGCTGCTTTGTTAAGTGTTAGAAGTTCGTTGGGATACTGAGATGATAAATGGTGTGATGATGTTCAGAATTTTTACTTATATATTCTTATTTTACATTAGCTCAATAAATCTGTGCTCCAAAAAAGAAAATGTTGTGTTTGCTAAGAAGTTTGTAAGAGTTGGTGAGCCTAAGTTTACCTTCTGCATTGTTAGTGTATATTGAACAGCAGGAGTGTTAGGGGAGATGGATTGCATACTGCAGCAAAACAAAGATTAGGAAAGAAGAAAGTGAGAAGTGTCCATTTTCCATACTTTCTTCCCACTACTTTCCTATGTATATCAAAATGTATAACTGCAGCAGAGAGCACTCTGCAGGCACAGAGGCTTCCCAGACAGTCCAGTCCAGTGCCCGTATTTTGGATGGCTCCTTCAAGAATCAGCAGAGAAGAGTATTATGATGTGTACCTGATCCTGAAAATCCATTCCATCTGGGTGGGGTTCTGTGAGCAGTGGAAGAAAGGCAGAAAAATGCTGACTAGCCAGAAGTTATAAACCCTTTCCTCTGTACACAAGATCTTTCCCCTAATCCCTCATGGAAAGGAAGACCTGAAAAAGTCTCCTGCAGTTTGGTGAAGTAATCATTTTCTACCAGGCGTTACAATATTCACTGTGTGTATTTGCTTCATTCATAAATAATCTTTTGATGTTTGTAGGCTTCTATTTTAGGTAACATGGAAAAATTACATTTACTTGGTCCAGGAAGATGTTTTATTGAGTTTGGAGCTGGGCGAGGAAAGCTCTCCCATTGGGTTGATGTTGCCTTGCAGAATGTTGAAAATGTTCAGTTTTTGCTTGTGGAAAGGGCAACTACACGATTTAAGGTAAGAGAAGACTGTCACATTAGCAGGGTATCATTTTTAAACTGTTTTCATTGAAGCTGTTAGTATTTGCTTTTTAGCTTCAAAACCAACATAAAGCCTTTACATTGAAAAAGCTCTGGAAGTGTGATTGCCTACATTCCATACTTTGCCAAAAGCAGACGTATTAGGAAGAACTCTGGGTGTATAATGTTGGAAATGTGCAGATGTTGACCTGCCAGGAAAAAAGTCTGGCATTAACAGCTATGATAATGACTAGTGGCCAGCCCTACCAAACAATCTTGTTCTGTTTACACAGGTGGATGGAAAACATCAAAGGAGAGATTCTGTATTTGAAAGGCTTCAAGTTGATATTCAGCATTTATGTTTAAGTAAGTTCCTTCTTGGCTTGTGTAATTCTGAAATGGTCTTAGTTTTACATTTTGAATACTGGAGGTCAAGTCAGTTTGTACATAGTGTGCTTAAATGGACTTGGTTTTGAAGATTATTCTCAGTGGTGGGTTGGACACAGGTTAATGCTGTGTGCATAGATACTTATATACATGTCTATTTCTTTTAAAATGTTTTGCTTTTTATACACTTACAGGCCATCACAGGTGAGAAATAAACAAAATGAAGCTTGTTTCGAGCTTGCAGGGCTAAATTATTTGTGTTAGATTGCAGAATAAAGTACTGCCTATCATTGAGGTGCTGGGCATCTCAATAACATAGAATTTGTGGGGTCACCTGTCATCAGGAGATGCATTAGTGTCATATTTACATTTCATAGGCAGTATAGAAAGGCTAAAATGGCTAAATGTGCTTCTCAGCTACAGCATTTAATTCTCTTAGTTTGTTTTAGAAAAAGAAACTTTCCTTTGGATGGCTTGTAACTATATGTACAGACCACTGTATTTTTAGTAGTGGTAAACATCTGTTTCTTTAGTGTACTCAAATTATTTTATCCAGAAAAAAAAAACACTGTCCCAATTATATTAATAGAAGTTCTGAGATTGTTGTGGATTTTGTATGTGTGTTTATTTTCTTGGTTTTTTTTTTCCCTCCAGATAAGGTACCTATTCTGGAGAAGAAAAAACTCCCAGTGGTAGGAATTGGGAAGCATTTGTGTGGTGCTGCAACAGGTATGAATTCTCTATGTGTTACCTGCACAAAGTTAGGGTACTAGATCTTACAATGTGAATAGACTGAGCTTCCAAACTGTCCTTTTAACCTTTTCTTGCCCTTTAACCCTTTTCTGGTGAATGTAGCAATAGCATTCTAAATATATATTGACTTCAGTGGAATAGTATATTGATAATAGATGGAAGGCTACCTTAGAAACAAGTAAAACCTGCCTTGTTTTTTATAGAGCAGAACAAAGAGCAGTGAGTGGTGACATGGGTCATACATTTTTGAAAGTATCTTTTTTAACACTGTTGCCTCTACTCTGAAATATCTTTCTAAATCTACATTGCCCGTCTGAAAGGGGATGCTAGGCAAACATATGAGAAGACTGTGTTTCTGTCCTGATGATTTTAAACTAATACACTGTTTCTACTGTTTTATGTGTACTAAGTAGAGAAAAACATCACAGATATGACACCTACATAGGTACTGTTACAAAGATGACAGAGTCAGGCATTTAAGAAGCACCTGCACATATTAAATAGGTTGTGCCCTAGATAACAAACTTTTAGAGCAAATAATTGCATGTTTTACAGGAGATCCTCCCACAATACGCCACTCTGTTAACCAAAGTAATTTAAATCCACATGCGTAGCACAAATATTCAAGACCAAAGACCCTTAGTAGCTCCAGAGGTATCGTAGTATTAATTTAGCATTTAGGGGGTTCATGTTTTCAAAGGATGCTTGTAATTTTTATTTATCTTTCAAGTTGCTTTTTGGCTTAGTTTGTGTATACTTTTGTTCTCTGTAGTAAGTACATTCTCAAGCAGGATGCAGGCTGTATAAGTAATGTCATGGCATTCATTGCTTTGTTGTTGTTTTGTTGTGTGTTTTTTTTTTTTTTTGGGGGGGGGGTATCTGTTTTTTCCCAGATCTTGCTTTGAGATGCTTGGTTGAAAGTTACACAACTTGCTGTGATGCAGAAAACGAAGAGCCTGCACCAAAACGCTCCAGGACTGATCAGACAGAGGTGGCTTCCAACAATTCTGCTGATAATGAAAGCAGTGAAGCTGACTGTAAGCCTGTAGCTGGAATTGTTATTGCGCTGTGTTGCCATCACAAGTGTGACTGGACACATTATGTAGGCAGAGAGTTCTTTAAATCAGTAGGACTCGGACCAGTAGAATTTCACTATTTTCAGAGAATGAGTAGCTGGGCCACCTGTGGCATGCGAGAAACCACAAAGCAAGCCTCTGGAAGTCAAGAAAGTGAAGAGCAAACTAACAACGCAGAAGAACACGAGCAAACATTCGGCAAGCTAGAGAGTGGTCCTGATGCTTTACAAGGGTATGGAAATCGTTTTCTAGCAAATCGACTTCTGCAGAAAATGAACATTGTGTGTAGTGAAACATGAAACCCTTTGGGGTCCTCAAAATGCCTCATTTTACAGAAACTTTTTAATTGATAGAAATATTCTACTTTAAAAATATCATTTTCATGGACATACTTTTCAAAATCTTTCAAGTCACGCTTTCCTGAACTGAACTGAACTTCTAGTGATTTAAGTAGCTTCTTCTAAGCTTACCTATTGATGTTAATTAACAACACTGTTCTGACACCCATTATTGTTCTTTTCCTCCTTTTTATGAAACCAGGATACTTACAGTTGAAGAACGAAAGGAGATAGGCTGCCTCTGTAAACGGCTTATTGATCATGGACGGATTGAGTACTTACAACAACGAGGATACAAGGCTGTGCTACAGTATTACATAGAGTCAGCTGTGTCCTTGGAGAATGTCCTGTTGACAGCTGTCCCAAGTCCATCTTTGATACCAGAGCCAAGTACATGACAGAACATAGGTTACTTACCTGGATTTTTACAAAGCTAATTCATTGCTTAAAAAAAGAAGAGAAAGTTTTAATCTTTCCTGTACAAGGAAAAGGTCTTTTATTTCCCAGTGTGAGTGGGAATTCCAAATATGCAAACCAGTTCGTATCAGTGGAAAAATAAAATCCCTAGGAATATTTAAAACCTGTTGTACGCTTCTTTGCTAGGATTAAGTATGCTTGGTATTTTCGTCCATTCACAGTTACATTCTTTATTCAGTAGCATTCATGACAGGAGAAGGACCAGAAGTACTGCTTTCCACATTTCCTGAAAGACAGTGGGTTAAAATTAGAGAAGTTAACATACTTTATTTTCACTTTGAAGTTCAGGATAGCCTTGTATTTCCTCTTAAAATGTAAGTAGGCGTAAGTAACCATCAGCCTGTGTTGCTAGGGGAGTCTGTTAAGGAAAAAAACTTTGTAAACTGTCATCTTGATGTATTTTTGCTAAATTTATTATTCTCACATGAATTATTGATGACGAGAAAGCTGGTTTGGTGTTCTGACTAAAGAGCCTTTCAGTCCTTCAGGTTTTCAAGTCTTCACAATAGATACAAAATGTTCCCTTGGATCTTCATTTTAGGTGCAGTGAAATTCTCTCTGCAAGTAACAGCTGCCACCGGCGCGTGTTCAAAAGTGCTTGTTTTCATAGACTCAGAGAATCCCAGTCTGGTTAGATTTGGAAAGGACCTTAAGATAATCTAGTTCCAGCTCCCCTGCCATGGGCAGGAGCACCTCGCCCTAGACCATGTCACCCAAGACTCTGTCTGCACCTTTCAACTGTTAGGTTTGAGACTAATAACAGCGTTTTTTAGTCACAAATGATGTAGGAATAGGATGAAATTGGAAGGGTGTTTTGTTTAAGTGACTGGATTTGCTGTCAGGGAAAGCAAGTGGTGGGAAGCATCTGTTTATCATGAGCGTCTCCCCGTTACATGCTGCTTTGATTGTCACCATCTGGACAACATCAAGAAATAGGTAAAGTTGAGGTTCGTAAGACAAACAGTGCTGGAAGACCCACACTGTGTAAACTGATTAAATTGCAAATACTACAGCCAGTCAGCAACTTCCAGTTACCCAGGTTGTAGGTAACTAATTCCAATATTGCATGGTTCCTACTAGAATACATGCTGTTTATGGGAAAGCTCCAGGGCCAACCCCTGATAAACTCGCCCCTACCCTCAGTAAAAATCTGTTCGCAGCTGGTTTGGAGAATGGTACTCAGTTATTAAGATTATTCATGTTTCATTTGTATACATATCCCAGCTTGCTTTTATCCAGCTTATCCTTCCCTTCCTCACTGTATTCCAGACAGATCAGAGTTAATAAAAAAGCCATACCTGTTTTCTTGAGAGATTCCTGGATATACACGTGCATGAATTCGATGCCAAACATTTCCTGTTGCTCCTCCTCTTCTTCATTTTCACATGGAGGGAGTGTTACCTCTAACTCCAGTGGGTTGTCCCTGAAGTTGACAAATCTGACAGTTCACCAAAAAAAGTTACTCTTGCAATAGGTTTTGTCCAGACATGACAACTCTTTTGAAACTGAACTAAGATTCCTCAAACAGTATTTTCAGCAAAAGAAGTCTTTTCTTACACTAAACTTGCCACTATACCAGTAGTATGAAGTAAACTAAACCATCCCTCAGCCTATGCTTAATATATTTGTTTAAAGAGTTGCTGCTTCTTCCAAGCTACCTGAAAACAGGGATTGTTTTACTGGGTTAGATGTGATTTCAGACTAGCATTCTTTCTCTCAAACAGCCAGCATCCAGTAATCCTAGTGAAAATGCAGACAAAAGGAAACTTTCACAGTATACAAAATGATATTTCTGATTCTATCCATGAAAAATGTACATCCGTTCTTTTTTTATTTCTCAAATGAAGTACAGGAGAGTTTTATCTATATCCTTACACCTGAGGCTTTTTGTTTAATTCTGAACAGTTGACTTCTCCGTGCCAAAGTTCTACTTTGTGTCATTTTTGTGTTTGACATGTGTTTTTCCTGTCTTGGCTCTTGCCTTTAGAGAGTGACAGCAAAGGACAATTAGAAATGGGCATTTGGACCTTTTAGAAATGAGAAAATATATTACAGTCTCCTTTTCCATTTGGGACTGTAACCATTGTAGCTTACTTCGTTAAGTGAGTGAGGATACACAAAGCTTTCTTGACCAGATCCTCAGCTGTTGTGAATCAGTGTAATTCTACTGGTTTATATGGTATTGTGTCTATCTGTACAACTACGGACATGTCTTTTCCACTTCCTTAGTATCACTCTACGATACACAGCTCAAGGGAGGCTTTAAAACTTATCTGCTAGTATTTATGTTTCTGTTACTTTTTCTTACCTCAGACTTGTCATGTTCTTCATACAAGCTGGAATATTCCTAAGTTTATTGTTGCTAAGAACAAGAGTACTAAGATTTTTCATATTACCAATGGTTTCTGGCAAAGAGGTTATCTCATTCCTTTGGAGCCATAAAGTGTGGAGATTTTCCATTCTGTAAAACAGTTATTTGTGCAATCGATCAAGATTTAGAAAATTAATCTTCTCAATTATTATAAAAGTAATTAATTTTTACAGTCACATAAGGAACGTTCATAAGAATACAACGATTCTGACAGGAAACCCCATATCCCACATAATCACCTAACCTCTGATCAAAAATGTCATTGGCAAGAAATTATAATTTGATAGTTGACACTGAATTTGTTGTTTATTGAATGGATTTTTCCAGCTCATCCAAAATATCACACTAGGGCTGATAAATCTTAAGTTTGCAGTGAGGTTAACATTGAAATAATCTTTTGAATTAGGATTTAATTATGAGAATTTCAATTCAATGGAGTTGAGACTAAAACATCTTTGAGCTTTATTTACCTGTCAATTGCATCAGGAAGCTCCTGGAGTTTATTCCCTCCCATATCTAACCATTCTAGATTTGGCATGTTGAGAAGGGCTGAAGGGATGCTTGTAAACTGGTTCATGCACAAATCTATGTGTGAAAGCTTCTTTAAATCACTGAGCTGAAAAGAAAGGGAGGTTTAATGGAATAGCTGTTGCATTAGAGCAGTGCTGTAATAATGTTGACTGAAACAAAGAAACACTTTGAAATCAGCAGGACGCATTTTGAAGTTCACAGACACAGCATGGTTTGTGAGTTACATCCTCTGATAATACCTGACAGTTACAGTTCTCACCTGGAAGGTATGTGGGTTTGAAACCTGGCTCAATAGAACAGACCTAAGTATTTGCCATGAGCTGTCAATTTAAAAGCTGTCACTTGCAGCAGGTAACCTGTACCCACATAGATTTTATACCTTCTGCATACTGATTAATAGTGGATATTTTCATTTGAGGATTTTTTGTTGTTAGGTATTACTGTTTGGACTCACTCAGGTTTGCAAGGCACTGATTGCTGTCAACTATTGCCACTACTTAAATAAAACAGGTAAACATGGTTACATATTAATCATCTCTATCTAGGAGTCTAATACCTGGAGATGCAGGGCTCACTCACATTTAGGTCAGTCCAAATTAAAGCTCAATGGTAGGTGAGCAGTTGTTTTTATTCTCTCTTAACAGAACAACATTCATTCAACTCTTTGTACATGAACAGCTGTATAAATCACACTACTCCACAGGTAACAGCTCTGGTAAAGATGCTTGCAATTATGTCCTGGCATATGGTATGCATTTGCATTCTCCGCCATGTGCTAAGACATCAGATCCTCAGTGGGATACACCAGCAAAGACTTTCAGCTTAAACAAATTAACATCAAGTGTATCACTATCCTATGTGCACTACCAAGTCCTTTATCTGGACAAAGTAAAGGCTGGCTCCTTCAAATTCTCAGGCATATGTATGTCCTCCTCACCTGGCTTCAGATTGACTAGTCATATAAATATTGTGTTTCTGTGGAGTGGCTGGGAAATCAATACCAAAGCAAATCTGAAAACATGGAGTGTAATGTTTAATGATAATTGGTTTTGGATAAGTTCAAAACAGGCATTCAACAAAACTAAACAAAACAAGCTAGTCTGTCAGAACCTGAGGAGGAAGATCACAGATACTCCTGTTGACAGCCAGTTCCAGTCTTTCCAGATTGACGCAGTTACTTATTTCCTTAGGAACAGATTTGATTCTATTGTAACTGAGAAGCAGCTCTTGGAGGCTAGTCAGCTGGCCTGCAGAGAGCAAAATGAGAAATGAGACATGTTCATTCTATCTGAGATACAGTATTACTTGGTTTGTGTTACCACTTTATCGTTATACAAGTGCAACTTGTTATCACTATGTATTTTTCAATAGCACTTTTCTAGCTGCACTCTGATGTCCAGTACCTGCTGTGCTTATGTGTGTTTACATGCTTTTGTCTTATGGGGAGTTTTCATAAAGAACCGTCTCCTGCATCTGGCCATCTGTTTGGATTTGTAGGGGATCCACAGTTCCAAGCTCTCTATCTCACTGTCAGATTTCAATTGCCTGGTCTCTAACTACTCAACAGGATTCTTAGGCAGGCAAAGTGCACAAAACCGTCACGTTTTTGTAAGATAGGAAAGCAGCTAAGACAAAGAAAGGACAGCTCACCAATTTCTTTAGGTACACTTTCAATGGAGTTCCGGGATAGATCCAGAACAAGAAGACTGTGAAACCTCCCAATGAAGTGAGGAATTTTCTGCAAACTAGTTCTGTGAAGCTGCCACTCCTGGAGATGGGCTAGTTTCAATAAGCACGAAGGTAACGTCTAAGACAAGAAATAGGAACCAGAAGAAATTCAGGTTGGTATACAACAAGAATATAGGCTTAGGTAGAAGTTGTAGTTGAAACAGCAACAGTCTTTCTTTCTTCTCAAGCCACACTGTAACATCCCCCAAATGAACATCATCAGTGTGGGTCATTC